ACAGAGTTTGAGACCTCCATCCTTCTTTGGTACAAAGAGCACTGGTGATCATGCCAGGCTCTTCGATGGTCTTATGAACCCCTTCTCGAGGTTCTCATCCAAGTACCTCCTCAACTCAGACATCTCCTTGGGTCCCTTAAGGTATAGGGGCCCTTGAGGTGGCTTACCTCCTTCTATCAACTTGAGGTGGAGATCATGCTTGGTATGATGGGGCAGCTTGTCTGCTTCCACCTCATTGAACACATCTCGCAGGCATTGGTATGGCATTGGTATGTCTGCAGCCATCACCACCTGGTCTACCTCCACCTCCATCTCGACTCCTTTGTCTGCACCTGTAGGTACAAAACCAAAGGCCGGGAGTGATGATGGTGGTTCCTCTAACAGCATGAACCCTATGGGTCCATCTTCCAGAGCTGCTTGTAGTATGCACTCTGCTGAGACAAACTCGTTACCATGGAGGGTTGGTCTCCTCATGGTTAGGTCCCCTGCTCTTGCTGCTTCAGGGGGTCTCCTTGGGGGTCAGTCCTGCTCCTGAGTCTTGAACTCCAGCTGGCCCGTATCCCATTGTATGGTGGGTTTGAGTCTCCGTAGCTCAGTGAACCCCAGGATGAGGTCATAGTCAGCAGTGTCGGCCACTGAAGCTTCAACCACACCCAGATTGTGTGTACCAATAGATACCTGCATGCTCACAGAACTATTGATGGAGAGTTGGTGTCTGGTGACACCATGGATCGATCTTGTTTTTATGGGTTTTGTGGGTATTTGGTACTTACTAATGAAAGAATCTGAGACTATGGACAAACCAGCACTGGTATCAGCTAGTATCTGAGCAGGATGGTCTTGAACCATTCCAGAGAGCTCCAGTACTGCTTTGCCTCCACTGGTAGAGAAACATACTTGACAATCTTGATATATACAGAGTGATGGCGAGGAGGTTTGTAGAGCAATGCATGCCATCAGTGCATCACCCCACTGGCATTTCCCTCATCATCACCATCATCGTGCTCCTCCTCCTCATGGTCGAGGTCCATGGGTTGCTGGTATGAGCTGAGGTCCATGGCCTCGGGGTCAGTCTCAATGCTGCCTGTGTGGCCATCTCCTGAGTCAGTGGCCTCCTCGAAGGGGTCTGCTGTGGTGACCATGACCTTTGGTCCCATGGGTCGAGAGCTAAGAGGGTCTATCCTCCTGCTGGGGCAGTCTCTGGCCCAATGGCCGATACCCTTGCATACATGACAGGTGTTGATACCTGTTGGAGCAGGGCTTCCTTGCTTCGAGGTTTGGGTGGGATGATGAGGAAGGGGTCAGTTAGTTGGTCGGTTTAGGTTTCATGTAGTTGCTTGTGTAGTTGCTTGTGCTGGTGATCAAGCTGGATAAGGTTGAGTGGGTTGACGTATGGGGATTGGACTTTGAATTGGCCGAGACCCAGTTCTTAGTGGTGGTGATGTGGCATTTGGGAGTGAGTGTCTAGCTGAGGACTGCTGTAGTAGCATCTGTCAGGGGTCTCGCGCCTGAAACCCAGGTCGGTCTGTCGAGATACTCGGTGACTATCAAACTGTGCGACAGCTATTGTCTCGGTATCGGTGACTATCAAGTTGCGCAGTGACAGCAGGTGGCGTTCGTTGGATATACTATCGTAGGTTTCGGCTGACCTCTGTGGACACTCTGTTCAGGGGTAGCTCGGCACGATCAATATCAATGTTATGATGACACCAAGGTCTGGTGTGAGTGTTGATGATGATGAGGTTGATGGTGTTGATGATGAGATTGGTGATGTCGATGGTAATGAGGTTGATGGTGTTGGTGATAAGGTTGGTGGTGTCAACACAAGTGTCCAGTGTGTTGACTTGATGCTTGAAGTGATCCCCGGACCGCAGTGGACTACTGCCTTCGGTTCTATCTATATCTGGACCGCTAACCTGCTATGGGCGCCTTCGGACGTCAGGTAGTGGTGATACAACACACACACTACGATGAGGAGCAACCTTGTGTCAGCGGTCGCGCGCCTGAAACCTGATATCAGTAGTAGTATCAGTACTATCACTGATTCTGTCGAATTATGCGACAGTGCTAATGGTATTTCGATTCTTAGTGAAATATGCGACAGAGCCTTCTCTGTCACCTTTCTCGTTAGAATCTGTAGCTGTATTATCGTTATGACAGATTTCGACTAACCGCTGTGGACACTCTGTCCAGAGGTAGCTCGGCACGATCAACCTATAATATGACTCTAAGTGAGCTTGACACTGACACCAATGGTCTGGTGTGGGTATGGAATGTTGACGCCGACACAAGTGTCCAGTGTGTTGACTAACGCTTGAAGTGATCCCCAGGCCACAGTGGACGTCTGCCTTCGGTTCTATGATTATCCGGACTGCTGGTTGCTACGAACCACCTGTCAGGGGTCTCGCGCCTGAAACCCAGGTCGGTCTGTCGAGATACTCGGTGACTATCAAACTGTGCGACAGCTATTGTCTCGAGATACTCGGTGACTATCAAGTTGTGCAGTGACAGCAGGTGGCGTTTGTTGTATATACTATCGTAGGTTTCGGCTGACCTCTGTGGACACTCCGTTCAGGGGTAGCTCGGCACGATCAATATCAATGTTATGATGACACCAAGGTCTGGTGTGAGTGTTGATGATGATGAGGTTGATGGTGTTGGTGATGAGGTTGGTGATGTCGATGATAATGAGGTTGATGGTGTTGGTGATAAGGTTGGTGGCGTCGATGATAATGAGGTTGATGGTGTTGGTGATAAGGTTGGTGGCGTTGATGATAATGAGGTTGATGGTGTTGGTGATAAGGTTGGTGGCGTCAACACGAGTGTCCAGTGGGTTGACTTGATGCTTGAAGTGATCCCCGGACCGCAGTGGACTACTGCCTTCGGTTCTATCTATATCCGGACCGCTAACCTGCTATGGGCGCCTTCGGACGTCAGGTAGTGGTGATACAACACACACACTACGATGAGGAGCAACCTTGATAGATTGCTGCTATGCTGACTGAAACTAATGTATACTTATGCTGAAGTGATAACTAGTTATGGTGAGTAGAGTGGATGAGGATCCACTCGACCTATTGATGAGAAAGCATGGTTATATACCTCTTCTCAGCATCGCCAGCGATGCTGCTCCTGCTCTCTCTCCAGAGAGTACCTTCTTCATCGAGTACTGCTCAGGGGCCTCTCCTGCTTGGCACCCCTGTGCCTCTTGAGCTGTGTCGACTCCTTCGACACTGCTCCTCCTCCTCATGACCTGGTGTCGACTCCTTCGACACTGCTCCTCCTCCTTTGATCAATGACAGTTCCTTTGGCTCTTGTCTCTCGAGCCCCTGAGTGGTAACCATCTGCATGCTCCTTGAGCTTGGTCCTCTTCGTGGCTGTGCCTGCTCCTTGAGCTTGGTCCTCCTCGTGGCTGTGCCTGCTCCTTGAGCTTGGTCCTCCTCGTGGCTGTGCTTGGCCCTCCTTTGCATGTGAGTCCATAGGAGTCCATGGTCTCCATGGAGACTGCACTACGACCATGCTCTCTACTGGTGTCGGCTAGGTCTTCGATACCTGTGCTCCTTCCATATGAACCCATGACCCTCCTGCTTCTTGAGCATCCAGGCCCATGACACCACCTTCGGACGTCAGGAAACGGTGATACAACACATGTGCTTCGATGAGGAGCAATCTGTTGATTACTACTTATGCTGACTGTGAACTATCATTTACTTATTGCTTTGAAGTAATACTAGTTGCTTGATGAGTGTAGAGTGGATGGATCCACTCGACCATTCATGACAAGAAGGTATGCCTATATATCTCTTCGCAGCATCGCCCGCAACACTGCTCCTGCTCTCTCTCTCCAGAGAGTACCCTCTTTGTCAAGTATTGTACAGGTGTCTCCAAGGAGGCATCTCCTCCGTATCAGACCTTGTCCCTCCTGTCTTACCTGAGCTGTGTCAACTTCATCGACCCTGCTCCTCTTCTTCATGTCCCTTTCGCCGGTGTCCTTTACACAGCTCTCCTACTTCTGACCAGCAACAGTTCTCTTTTACTCCTGTCTTGTGGGCCCCTGAGTGGTAACCGTCTGCATGTCACTTGAGCTTGGTCCCTCTCACATGTGAATCGTCATATGGACATCCTTACTACCGATCCCCGCGGAATCTGCCACACGATCTTGCTTGCTGCAGGTTCTGGTGGGATTCATGATATCGACGATGCTCGTGCCGATTTCGCTGTGATCTGCCATAGAGCTGATTCTACTGCCGATCTCAGTGAACTCTGTCACAGCTCTGACGATCTACCCGATTCCACGATTCCTGCGCTACCTTCATATGAACTTCGGTCCTTCCTCGTTCTGCGCACTCAGGCCCATGACACCTTGATAGATTGCTGCTATGCTGACTGTAACTAATGAGTACTTATGTTTCTAAAGTATTGACTAGTTGTATGGTGAGTAGAGTGGATGAGGATCCACTTGACCTATGATGATGAGAAAGCATGGTTATATACCTCTTCACAGCATCGCCAGCGATGCTGCTCCTGCTCTCTCTCCAGAGAGTACCTTCTTCATTGAGTACTGCTCAGGGGCCTCTCCTGCTTGGCACCCCTGTGCCTCTTGAGTGGTGTCGACTCCTTCGACACTGCTCCTCTTCCTCAGGACCTGCCTGCTAGTGTCCTATACACTGCTCCTTCTCCTTTGACCAGTGACAGTTCCTTTGACTCTTGTCTCTCAAGCCCCTGAGTGGTAACCATCTGAGCTTGGTCCTCTTTGTGGCTGTGCCTGCTCCTTGAGCTTGGTCCTCCTTGTGGCTGTGCCTGGCCCTCCTCGCATGTGGCTCGTGTCCTCCTTTGCATGTGAGTCTGTAGGAGTCCATGGTCTCCATGGAGACTGCACTACAACCATGCTCTCTGCTGGTATCGACTAGATCTTCGATACCTGTGCTCCTTCCATATGAACCAGTGACCCTCCTGCTTCTTGAGCATCCAGGCCCATGACACTCTGCATTTACCCAAGAATGTTCCTGCCTGCTGCCAAGATGCACCAATTCCAGGAGAAGCTCTGGCGCCACAACAAACTAGCAAATATTGGACCCATTCTGGAGTATAATGCCAATGAATATCACAATGAAAATGTATATACACTTTTGGTCATGAATCTAAATCCATCAGTGAAAGAAGCATTAACCAGACCCAATCAGATACATTGGCATGAGGTGATCAAGGCAGAAATGGATGGTCTTGAGAGCATGCATATCTGGGAGACTGTGGACTGGCCCAAAGACACAAACCTCATGGACTCCAAACTTGTCCTACAGGTCAAGACCAACACAAGCAATGTTCCATATAAGTTCAAGGCTAGATTCTGTGCACAAGGCTTCTCTCAGAGGGAGGGGATCGATTTCGATGAGATCTTTGCCCCAGTGGTGCCCAGGGATATGATCAGGACCATTCTCACAATTGCAGCAAAGTTCAACTGGGAAATAGATTCTGTGGATGTTACACAAGCCTACCTCAACGCCGATCTACATTGTCAGCGGTCATGCGCCCAAAACCTGATATCTGTAATAGAACCGCATCTATTACGAATCCTGTCGAGATATGTGACAGCACTTGTGGTATTATGAATCTTGGCGAAAAATGTAGTAGAGATGTTGCTATCACTTTTCTTGCTCAAAGATGCAGTAATGACTTTGCTATTGCAGGTTCTGACTAACTGCTGTGGACACTCCATCCAGAGGTAGCTCAGCATGATCAATAACTTGAATGTATTGCTTGACACCAAAGGTCTGGTGTGAGTGAGAGGACTGGTAGTGCTGACACAAGTGTCCAGTGTGTCGACTGTATGCTTGAAGTGATCCCCAGACTGCAGTGGACAACTGCCTTCGGTTCTATCTTTTCCCAGACCACAGGTTTGCTAGGAACTGCCTTCGGACATCAGTGAGCAGTGATACAACACACATGCTACAATGGAAGCAACCTATTGAGATTGCAACTTGCTGACTGAGTACTAAGGTATACTTATGCATAAAGCTATAACTAGTAATATATGGTGTAGAGTGGATGGGGATCCACTCAACAACTACAACGAGGAGGGGGGTTATATATCATCCTCACAATGTCATCTTACGATGCTGCCTTTACTCTGACATGTCTCTCCAACACTGCTCCTCCTCTTCCCTGTCTCTCCTATCCATCCTGCGATGCTGCTCATCAGCATCATGTCTCTTGCTGCCCATGGATGGACAGCCCTCACACCATTTCATCAATGTCAGGGGCCATTCCCACCTCATCTGAGCACAGTTTGCACCCCTCCTCATTCCCCCCTTCTACCTGTTGTCAGCACCCATCCCATGTGCCAACTTCATTGTTGTGCAGGGTCCCTACCTCATCTGGTGGCAACCTCCAAGGTCTGTGTCACTAGCCTTTACTGGTTTCATCATATGATCACCCTTGCCACTTAAGCTCTGTGGAATATTCCATATGATCTTGTTTGCTACTGATCCTGGCAGGATTCATGATACCATCTTCTCTCATGCTGATTTGTGTGAGATCTGCCTTAGAGCCACTTCTCATGCAGATCTCAGTGAACTCTTCCACAAGTCCTATGATCTGCCCAATTTCTCGATTCCTGTGCTCCCTTCATATGAGTTGATGGATCTTCCTGCTTCCTGCACATCCAGACCCATGACATACATCATGACATCTATTTGAAACCACCAAAGGGCGTGGAAGTCCTGGTGGGGAAGGTGTACAAGCTCATTAAAAGTCTGTATGGCCTGAAGCAATCTGGTTGAGAATGGCACAAGACACTCGATGCACATCTATGTCATCTGGGTTTCTTTCCCCTCCTCAATGTTCCCTGTGTCTATCTAAAGGGTATGGGTGCATCCCAAGTGATCATCATGGTATATGTGGATGATATGCTCATTGTATCAACACAACAAAACCAGATCAACAAGGCAAAAAAAGGCAATCATCGACAAATGGAAAATCACCAATAATGGACCCACCACTGAGTTCCTCAAGATCAAGATCACACAGGATTGAGAGAGGAGGACAATCAACCTGGATCAGCACACTTATATCAAGGAAATTGTGAGGGAGTGGATCCAGCTGCATGAGAAGATGTGGACACCAATGGTCCACACCCTGATGAAGGCACCCAACAACAAGGAGACCAATGACAAACTGAAGGCCAGGTACCTGGTCCTGGTGGGAAAGCTTTTATGGACCTCAAACACCATCCAGCCAGACATCACATTTGCAGTCAACACCCTGGCCTGCCACATGTCCAAACCCACCAAAGGGGCCATGCAAGTGGCTCTGTGGGTGGTGAATTATCTGAATCAAATGCACAACAAAGTCCTGAGACTTGGCAGCAAAAACAAAGATGAACCACCCATTGCCATCTACACAGACTCAAACTGGGCCTCTGACCTGAATATGAATAGGAGGAGTACATCAGGCTCAATTGTAAAGGTGTTCAGCAGCATGGTGACCTGGAGTTCCCACATCCAGAAATGTGTCTCAGATTTGGCCATCAAAGCAGAGTATGTGGCAGGATTGGCAGCCACACATGAGGTCCTCTTCCATCAGCATCTGCTACAAGGGCTTGGTTTTGGAGACCACATGCTGATTGTCTTCATGGACAACACCAGATGCATCCAAGTGGTGAAGGACCAAGCAATACATTCAAGACTCAAGCACATCAACACCAAGTATCATCTCATCCAAAACCACATCCTGGAGGGTGATATTGTCATGTGATACATTAAGACCAACTACAATGATGCAGACTACCTAACAAAACTGGTGTCCCAACACCTCCTAATGCACACCTGGAAACATCTTGGTATGATGGACCTCAACCCCCTTGATTGCTCAGTTTGTGAGGAGGGCAGTGAAATCACATGACTGCATGTTCATGCTCTAACATGACCACAAACTTCACTTGGCATTGCCACTCATCAACTCCCACCAATGCTCAGCTTTCCCCACCAACACTCCTATCCCACTTGACAATGGCACACCCTCATATGTGTCACTTTCTTCTACACATGCACATATCAACCAACAGCAGAGGCATATATACTTCTGCTATTGCTTTGTACTTAGTTCCTTAGAATGCTAATGATTTCGCCACTCGCTTGACTGCCCTGATTGTGCTTTCCTTAACAATAGTTGCGCCGAGATTTGTGTTAGATAATGACAGACTTGAGTGGTAGGATGCTGTTTTGGTTGCGTACAACAATAATGAACGATAAGTACAGATGCATGATGTATATCTACAGTAGCAGGTGACTAAGTATCGCCTCTTATATATCTATGCTACGAAGCAGAGCATGATGTGAAACTACAAAGGGATCACTATCTCCTCCCTCCTCCAGCATCTACAAGCCAGTGTAGCTGGATCTCTAACGGGTGACCGACCTGACGCAAGCCGGTATACCCATAGCCTTCTAATAATTTCAGCATCATCCACTGCCCAACACATCCCTACATCACACATGTATACACAGAACACTGCAACATATATATACATTGGCTATTATATTGTACGTAGTTATGCTGTCTACCGCAATCGACACTTGTGATCAACGTTATTCGCCGAACGCTCTTCAACACCAACATTCCATTCGCACCTCTACACCACAGCAACATCTCTCGACACAGACCAGTGTATGAAGAGGAAAAGAATGAGATTGATTCACAAGAACCCCGCCCGCCCTTGCTCATACTCCGCCTCCATAACGCGCCTTTTTCTTCCACCTACACACTCGCCTGGCTAGCAACGAATCTAGCCGTATCCCTAGCATTTCTCAAATCATCCAGCGTCCCCTTATACCCTCCTAACCCCGGCACAGCATGCAACATCCTCCCGAACCCCTCCAGTAGCACCTCGAAAGCGTTCATCAACTCTTCCAGCTCGGCTTCGTTCCTCGGAACGGCTATGAGTAGGTCCCAAATTTCATCATTCAACTGTTGGCTACTGAGCTTCAAGCTATCGGCCACCATTGCAGGATAAGGATGTCTCCAGGGCGCATCGGCGGAATCTTCTATGGGGGTAAAATCGTTTCCTTCTGCGTTAGGAGCATAGAAGAAACCTTTTCGTTTCTTCCCGTCGTTAGGTGCGCGTGGGTTTGGTTGACGACCCATCTTAGCTGCTGCTTTTAGTGATGCGGATTCGGCGTTGATTAGCGATGCCATTCTTGCCATTCCGAATGCTGCTTGTCGGCCTACTATTCGACGTTCGACGGAGGAATGGAGCATGGTTGAGCGTAAGTGGGTTTTCGGTATCCCGGAGAGTGCGGCGGTGGAGGAAGGCGAGGTGGTGGAAGAGGGGGAGGTGGTGGCGGGGGAAGTCTTGCCTCCCCTTTGCTGCTGTGTGGGTGGTGTGGGGGAAGTAACCGACATGGGCGAAACTGCAACCGCCTTCTCTGGTGATCCTCCCCCAGCATTGGCAGTAATGGAAGCGTTAAACGCTTGAATCAACTCCAATTCCTTCTGCTCTATCTTCTTCGCCAATTGCGTAAAATGCAATACACCCAAATGAATGTGTATGACAAAGAACGAAAGCATTGTCCTACCTTGCCTCGAAAGATGCACAAATTCATCCAATGCCCTCGCAATCAAATGATCAAAGATGTTATGGAACAACCTAATGGCCTCCAACACGTTCATAACCATCTTGTCCACCTTTTCACTAACAATACTCCCTCCACCTGCAACGAGAGCTTGAACAGGATCATTGATGGAAAGAAAAGCTTCTGTTGCAGCTTGCAATACCCCCACCCTTCTCCAGATATACACCTCTACCGCTGTACCCCAAGCAACACCCAACAATACAACCTGTTCGTTTAGCCCTCCACCGGGATTGTTGATATTGATAATACTGCCTCCTGCTGGACCTGGTGCATCTGGATCGTTAGCCCCAATCAGCACGTCAAACGGAATCGCGTTGGCTAGGGCACCAGGATTTCGAAGTAGAGCAGGGATGAGGTCTCGGGCGCAAGCAGCACGTTCCATGATCCTCCTTGACATTTCCGTTTCCACTTGAAAGGATCCATCCACTTCCGACTCTTCGTGCATATACGATTCCGATGTACCTGGGAAAGCACCAGGTGGGGCTTGTCGTGCCGGGAGAAGGTTGATCGCATCTTGCATCGCAAACAAAGCCTCCGCTGTTCTATCGGGTGGACTATTGGCGCTACCCGGCGAAGGCACCGGTCCATGAGCCACGCCTGGGTCGGTGCCCGAACCAATCCCAGTGGACTGATAAACCAAGTTATCCTCCCGCATACTCGATCTACGATTCTGACTAACATGGGTAACTGTATCAATCAGCAGCCCAAACCAACCCAACGATTCAGCCAAGCCCATCAAATCGGAAGCAACCCTTCTCTGCTTGACCACCTCTGGATTGCCACTCAGTAAGGGGTTTTTCGACGCTTTATCCACGGATCGAAGCAAATCTCTACACCTCTTCACAAACCACTCCAAATGCCTTGAGGCAGTTTCTAGTGCGAACGCCGCATCTTCAGCAGCATCCGCTCCACTCCTCGCCCCACCCTCCGCCAAAGCCCCCGGAGGAGGCGCTGTTACGCCGAACAAAAACAACCCATATGCTATCCTACACGACCTCCTCGGAGCCAACTGTAAAATCAGCGATCTAGCCCTCTTCCATGCGGCCGTTGCAATCCTATCATGCGCATCTCTATGATTCTTCCCGTCCGCAGCCTGCTTCGAGGCTGCATCAACACTGGAAGACGTCATTTCATCATCCAATCTAAACTGGCAAGCATAGGCCAGCATAGCAGCTTTCACGGCTTCATCTATCATCAAATCCCTCTTGGACCTCCTCCAACCACCTGGTCCCATACCTTGAACATCGGAAAAGATATGTTTGATATCATTGATGCTTGCTTGAGCTTCTTGTGCTGGCCCAGAGAGGTTGGGTTCCGTTGCGAAATTGGATGGGATCTGTTGTGGTTTTTCGCCCCAAACACCCATTTCGCCGCCGAGATGATCGAGACCGTAGACGAGGTAGAAGAGGTTGGGTTGATGTTCTTTGCGAGAGGAAGGTGCGTCGACGTGCCAGGAGGCCCAAAGTCGTTGGGAGAGGTTTAGAGCTTCTATACCAATGGCGCTTTTGATGTATGCTCCTAGATCGCCATCTGTGCGGAGAGGCGAACAAGCTCGGGAAAGCCACAAATTCGCGTTGGGCTCAACCGTGTGCACGTACAACCGCATTCTGTTGGTTGTGAGGAGTAGCGAGTCAGCGCGCATCGCAAACCGAACATTAGGACCAGTAGTAGCCAAGATTTGCGACTCGTTTCGACTTTGGAAAGTCCTGATGAGCTGATCTCTTGCTTCGCTGCTGTGGGCGCTTGGCGAGCTACCGTCGGTGGAGACGGATTTAGCTCGCACACCGTTCTCGGAAGAGTCGTCGGAAATGGCACGCTTCTTGGTGCCTTGTGGCATCGGCTCGTCCTTGAAGTTGGCCTGCTTGCTTTCTCGGACGGAATCGGCAAAGTTAGTGGTACATTGAATGCCCCTTCGCTGACAGTTGGAGCAGACGAGCTTGTTGCCTCCAGAAGCTTCTTGGCCAACATCGGACATCTTGCGCTTGTCACCAGTGTTGTCGTTGAGGGTGTGGTCATCATCCTGTCTACCGCCTTGAGAAACATCGTTGCCATCTGCATCAAGCCGCAGCTGGAAATCGCAACCTCGCTTGGAGGCTCGACACTGATCGCAACTGATGTTTTGCCTTCGACGTGTTCTTCGACGCGGAGGAATAGCGTCTATGGAGGCGGAAGCTGATGTTGAGCCTCCATTGGCACCATCCTGTGGGGCGTGCTTGTCTTTCTCGCCAGGACCCTTGGGCGCTGCAGGATCGCCCTCTGCGTCAGGCGTGATCTCAGTGATAGGCGAGAATGCAGCATGATCCAACATCGCAGCAGCGGAATGGAACATGTCGGATCCACCGTTGATGTCATTGTCGTTAGCTGAGAAGGGCTGGACGTAGGCTGCCTGTGCGGTTGCAAACGCTTGTGAAGGATGGTTCGGATCTGTCGACAGAGGCGGAAGCATCAAGTTGACATCGAGCGGGATCGTTCCATCTGCTGGCCAGACGGTACCTGGGGGAGCAATTGAGTAGAAAGACTCGTCGAGGGTTTGTCCGGCAATGTAGGCTTCGGCGATGGGATCCTCGAATGTAGTGAGGTCAGTGCGTTTGGCTTCTAGCGCTTGCTGCTTTGTTGGGGGGAGCAAAGCAGCTTGCAACTGGCTCGAGCTGGCTGGAAAGTGCTGAGATGAGGAGGCTGCTATGCTGGTCGCAGATGCAGGTAGCGACTGCCTTAGAGGTGCACGCTGCGCAGGAATGGTGGATGGTTGTGAGGTGGGCGAGAAGATGGATTGGTCTGGCTGCGTTGTGCGGTTGGGAGAAGCGAATGGATTCTGATGCTGGAAAGCGAACTGCTGCTGTTGCTGCTGCTGCTGTTGCTGCTGCTGCTGCTGTTGCTGCTGCTGCGGGGGCGGCGGAGGAGCGGTCATGTGCGACTGCAGATGTGAAGGCATCTGACCTTGAAACTGCGCATGCTGGTTGATCATATGAGGAGGTATTGACTGGTTGGTGGAGAAATCGTTGCGAGGCATACCTTGCGGTTGTGCCTGAGCCTGAAAATACTGCTGATCGTCTCGATACTGCGGCGGCTGGAAATGGCTGGCAGCTGAAGAGGAGAACATGTTGTCCTGGGTCGGAGCCTGCATGTTTGCGGCCTGTCGAGTGATTTGCGGCCTGTCGAGTGAAGCAGAGCGGGTCGTGTCTCGTTACGAGGTATATGCGTTGCCGTGTGCTTTTCTGTGCGAGCGAGCTTGTAGGTATTCTGGTTCTATCGAAGCATGGTCAAATGGAGCAAGGCAAGCGGAGCAAGGCAAGCTAGGAAGCAGGGGCTATATGCTTGCAGCCTTACGACGACTTTGTCAAGCTGTGCGAGACTTCTTATGGTAGCCTTGATGCCGCAAATGAACCGCTGTTTGCAGCGAAAAGGAGAAAGAGTGGGCGACAAGCCAATCGATGGAACACCGTTTAGCTAAGCATGTAAGGTAGCGTATAAGAGCAACTGTATCGAGCGAGAATAGGGATGTCGAGTGGCGAGGATGATGGTGGTGAGCAAGCTGAAGGAGAGAGCGATGAGCAGACATGTGAGCCGAGCGAGCTTTTTTTGGGGGGGCTTGGGCAGCTCAGCACGGATGGACAGCGAGGCAGAGAGTGTCAGAAAGGGAGAGGGGGAGAGAGAGGGAAGAGAGGGAGAGGGGGAAGAAGGAGAGAGGCTCAGGCCATCAGAAGCTGGAAAAATAGGCGAGATTGAATATCTTTGGGCAGTTGCAGCACACTCTCCTCGCTCACTCTGTGCAGTGCTCTCACACTTTAGAAATTCGGCGGCACTCGAGCAGTCTAGAACTTGACCACAGCAAAGGTAACAGTAGGGGGGCAGCAACTATGGAAAAAAAGGCGGGGACGAAGCGAGGCTGAGCGATTTGCAAGACATCGAGAGAAGGCAGAGAAAATCCAAGGCTGCAATTTCAGTATCCGGCTGCTCCGAGTCTTGGTGTCCTGTGGCGTGGGAAAAGGCCGCCTTTTGGCTCTCGGATGTGCCGTTTGGCGTGTGTGTCCAAGATGGTCTTGTGTCGGCTTGTTCCGATGTCAGTCGAATCTTGCTTGACGGCTGTTGCGATCGTGTGATCATCGGAAGATATCCGAATGGGGCTGTGCTGGCCTGGTGACAAGTACGGAAGTACGGATAAATGCTAGGATATCACCTTTCTCTTTCCAATGTCACCGGAGACGAGCCGAACGTGAAATAGCCAAAGGCTAAACAAACACAGCGATAGAGCCTCTTACGGCGAACAGACGGATCTCATCTCACCGACAACCCTACACACCAACGCACACCACACCACACCCACACCACACCCACACCACAGAGACATCAGACATCTCGGAACTCGGTCAAAGGTGTACAATTACTATAATGTCGAGCATTACTTTGCATCAATCACCACCCAGCATACCGTTTTACTCTGTCTCCAAGTCAACGCAAGCAATCAGCCAACTTGACCTCCAACTCAGCTCCCAAGTGCAAATCAAACATGGCAAAAGTATCCAAGATCTCCGTGATCGCCGCTGTCAAGCTGAAATCGATGCTTTGAGCTCCACTTGTCTTCCACGCTTCTCTCAGCTCTTGCTGTGCTTCCATCCTGCTCTTTCTCCCTTGTCCTTCTCCTTGGGGCTTTTGAGTGCTTTGCTGAGGTTTGTCTTTGGCAGTGCTGGTGCTCTGGTTCGCCTCGGCTTCGAGCTGGGTCAACTTGTCGTCAATGTGACATGCTCGTTGTTCCAGCTGCAACCCAAAACATCGGATCTCGCGGGCAAGGTCCACCATAGCACTAAGCACTCGTTTGATATCTTTCTGCACTGATCCGTACGGGTCTTCTTCCAGACTGTGGCAGAGCAGCTCTTTGAGCGAGACAACAGCACCAACTACCCGGATTGCGTCACGGCCGACGATGGATGCTGCCTCGCATGCAGGCGATTCGCCCAGCAGAGATTGCTGTCGACGAGGTCCAAACAGGACGTGCTTTGCATCGGCGGGCACGAGTTTCCAAGCAGTTGTGATCACGCTTGTTGCTGCTTTCGAGATGCTTCCAATGCTGACCAACGCTGACGCGGTGGTGTTCGCTGTAGGCTTCTTGGCGTTTGCACTGGCTGCACCGGCTGCTTGAGTTGGCTTGGCGCCTTCTTTGGATTCTGCTGCTGCTGTCTGTCCAGCAGCGAGTTGGTGCCAAATAGTGCCTGTCGGTTGCCCGCCTGTCTTCTGCTGCTGTGTTTGCGTGACTTGCTGAGCTGCAGGTTTGGCTGCTGTTTGTGCTGCAGGAGCTGTCTGTCCACGACAAACGACAAACTGCTTGTTCACCTCGAGCAAAGTCAAGCAGCGATCACGGATGTGTGCCCATGCAGTAACATCCGAGTTGACATCCTTGTAGATCAAAGCGCGCATTTCCTTGTCTCCTGCGCTCAGTCGAGCTGTCTCCACGAATGCGTGGTTGGCGAACAAGATGATCGGCTCGTCGATACCATCGAGTAGCAGTCGATTAGGATCCTTTGCATACTTGCTGACCGGTGCGAGCGGATGCGAAAGGTAGACATCCAACAGCAGGTAAGCCGTCTCCACCGCACAAACAGCTGCAATGCTGAACAGTGTTGATCGCATCGTCACTTGGAACAAGTCGAAATCGACGCGGAAAGAAGGCACCAACACTCGTCGCAACAAGCCGCGTGTGCCGATGACTAGCAACACTGTGCTCCAGACACGAATGCGGATCATGCTGTACACCAACACGCTTGATGTCGATGTCAATGCTGCAACTGCTACAGCTTTAGGAAGGCGCGAGCCAAAGGCAACCACGACACGATCCTTGATCGTCACATTCGCATCCCAAGAGAGCGCTGCAGCATCAAAGGTGGCTGATGCAGCTGTCTCTGGCCAAGCAAGGGATCGGAACAAGACTGCGTAGACTGTAGCGAGAACCGCCGTCTGTGCGACGAGGAAGAGGAAGCGTTCGTTGAGGTAGAAAGATGCATGCGACTCGACCCAGATCTGAGGCCCCCATCCACCCGATTGCGAGGTCAGCAGCGCAGCGTATCCGAGCGCCAGTACGATAAAAGCGACAAGATGATGCGAGATGGTTGCAAGCAGTGCGGCATTCGAAAGTGTCGTCAAGATCCGCTGTGCTTTTGTTGGAGCAAGTCGAGGTGGAGGCCATGTGATGCGCGAGAGGTTCCGCTTCCGCGCTGCTAACAGAGGCAGAATGCCAAGGCCGAAGGATGCTAAGCTGACCAATAGCGTCGATGGTGAAAGTATGGATAGCGATATTGTCTTGAGCAGAGCTGATGTCAAGAAGAGGTGCCATGCGATAGCAGCCAGAACGAAAGCCCGAGTCTGCCGTGGCTTCAATGCGATCTTGACAAGATCGCGATACTTGGACGACAACTGCGCCTGAGGAATCGCCGCAAGACCGGATGGCATTGCTGCTGCTCTCCTTCCACCGCTAGCCGTTCCAGACGAGGAGCCTCTCAGCAGGAAGCTAACGTCAAAGAGTGATGGTGTTGATGACGATAATGAATCCAGGAGGGAAAAAAAGGAGGGCGCTGAGGTGTTGTTCGACGTTCTTCTTGAAAAAGCCTCTCCATTGCTTCACTTCTCGCCCGAGCAAGAAAAAGGCAGCGCACCTTCCTGATCACCTTGTTTTAAGGCAAGTTTTCCGTTGTTGCGAGAAAAAGATTGACAAAGTCAAGCGGAGAGCGTTGAACTTGTTTTCAAGTCTCGCAACAGACTGGCTAGCAAGACGACCATCTTTGCACCTCGCTCCTAACATCCTCTCGTCGATACCGTCGATCGCCCATTTCCTCTTCCCTTCGCCTCGAAACGCATCGATAATTGAGATCGCAGCCATGCTCGTTGCTCCTCTCGTCCGCTCGGGACGTCTCGCTTCCCGTGCGCTTCGCACCGCTGCTTGTTGCAGCAACAACACTAATCGTCGCAGCTTGCACACCTGCCCACCAACACCCGAGGTCCTCTCCCAAGGCTGCGCTCCCTTCCTCTCCGGTTCGACAGTCAGGCAAATCTCGCAAGGATGGCAAGGTGGTCTGCTCAACCTTCTCAACCAACAAGTTCGTGATACCGAATTCGCCTCTTCCTCCATTGTAGAAACCGTCATCGGTCTCTCTCAGAACCGAGAAAAGGTCCTCGCCTTCAACTACGCTTCCCAGGCGCTCAACAACGCCTTCTTCCTCTCCACATTGACGCCTCAGGATCGATTGCGTAACTCTACACCGCTTCCCAGGCTTGCCACTGCCATCTCGAAAAGCTTCAACAGTTTCCCCGAAATGTGTCTCGCTTTCTCGTCTGCAGCTTACGCTATGGCCGCAAGCGGTTGGGTCTGGTTGGTCACCGATCAACACAAGAACTTGGGTGTTGTTCCCACTTTCGGCTCTGGCACCGTCATCGTTCAGAACCGCATGCAGCAAGGAAAGGACTTCCTCCTTCCCAGCATCAACGATCAGTCAACCGGATCAACAGATGCAGCTACCAACGCTTCAGCAACATCGTCCGAACGCCCATCTCGTCCCGCTGAATCGCTCTTTGGTGGCCTTGGCATCTCGGATAAGGTCGGCAAAGAGCTCTACCCTTTGCTCAACATCAGCGTCCACGAGCACGCCTGGCTCAACGATTACGGTATCATGGGTAAGGAGGAATACTTGACCCGTTTCTGGAACTGCGTCAACTGGGATAAGGTCGAGCAACGTTTCGATTCCTACTGCCCTCCACCCGCGCGATACATGTAGGCAAAAAGCAAACCCAAGCCTGACCACCACCCAACTTGACCGTCCACAGCGCCAAAATGGTTTTTTTTTATCAAGCTTTTCTCGTCACTCAGCAAGGCCACCGGATCAACTTGCATGACGACCATTGTACACTATACATCATTCAATCCAGCACTATCTGCGCATCCAGATCGCAGTCAAAAGAGTCGGTTCATATGTCATTGTTCCTTAGCGACAGTAGTTGCCAGTGTTTTGGTACAGTGTTAGCCATCCATAACCATCATGACGAAAACGATTGTCGTCTGGAAGTAGTGCCTGATTTCACTTGGCCTGGCTGACGACGAGGTTGAGAGCAGCCTCGAGGCACGTCCAGTGATCACCTGTCACCACCTCGCATACGAGTCTGGCTGAGTCTGACCAGAAGGATCGCCACTGGCTCTTGTCGGCCATCACACCTTCCAGCTTCGAAGAGTCGGCCGCATTGATGACCACAACTTTGCTAGGCTTCCGATCGGCAGCTTGCAAGGGCTGGCAGCGATACTCCGGCAGGCTGAGAGCGCATGATCGAAAGTGCTCTCGAACAGTGCTGGATCTGATCTTCTTGAGCATATAATCGAGCGTCTCCGTGGGCAGTGGTTTGATCTGCTTTGGATTGGGAGTATCGATCAGACCGAGAAAAGCTACCTCTTGACCAACAGAAAGAAGACGGCGAGCCACTTCCAGTGCAACGACGCCTCCGATGCTCCAACCAGCCAGCTTAAAGGGGCCTCGGCTCCGTACGCGGCACAGCATCTCAATGTATCGATCGACTAGTTCGGCAACTCCTCGACTCCACGCTTCGACTTGACCCAAGTAAGGCGAGTCAAGGCCATATACTGATAGGCTGCCTGCCATTTCAATGTCGATCTTTGGATAGATCTGAGCGGTGCCGCTGCCGTCAGGAAACAGAAAGAGGACGTTGGTGTCGTCGAATCGTTTCAGCTGAGGACCACCCATGTGAAGAGGCGCTGAGTATGTGAAGCGCCGGTTGGGATTCGTGAGGACATCCATGGGCGAATCGCATCGAGCCTCGTTCAGTCGCGCTGGAACGCATGACGCTGCCATCTTGACCTTGAGCTCCTGTGAGACATCTGCTTGCTTACATGACTGTTGTCCTGCGGCATTCCTCTTTTGCTCGCTGTTGCTGGCCTCTTGGCGACCAGGATGCTCGCTCTTCTCCTGAGCTGCCCTGGCCGCCTCGCTTGCAAAGGCCTTCGAGGACAGCTGGACCAGCCTAGACAACATGTCGCGACGGATGCGTTTGAATGCGATGCCTTCCATGGTGCCCATGAGCTGGCCGTCAGACAGGAAGAAGTAGGCAGAGCCCTTGGAGAGATCCTTGTCCTGCTCCATCCTAGCATAGACATGCACCTTGGTCCCACTGCCAGGTTGCAGCTTCCTCAAGCCAGGCATCGTCGCAATCCTGCCGATGGTTTCAGCCATGTATACAAAGGGACCTTCTGCAAAGCCGACGTTGCTGATAAAGCCAGTGAGCCCGCCGAGACTGTCGAGCAGCATGGGACTGCACAGGAAGCGGCCATTGATGGCTTCTGCATTGAACATCACTTCGGAGACAGCCTCGTCGCCACGCTCCGTCATCCAGATCGTCTTCATGCCTCGGAAACCATCAAGGTAGAGCACAATCGCTTCAAACGTCCTGTAGATCGTATCGGTCCTCATCACAGAGGCAGGTTGAGACTTGACTGCCGAAGCTGTTGTCAGGATGAGATGTCGTAGCTTGGTCCAATCTGCAGCGACGCTGTCTTGTGTAGAAATCTTGATACGGCAAGATCCGTATTGGTTCTTCTGATGCTGATGCTTGCTGTGCGAGAAGAACTGCACGATGGAGCCATCCTTTGACGTCGGATTGCCCTGCATGCTTACCTCGATACTCTGCTTGGCATCGTGTTCGTTGAGGTACAGCGATGCCACCATCGACAGGTCAAGCACTTCAATGACAACATCTTCTTCCAGCTGACCCGTGGGCTTGGTCGAACAGGGATCCATGCGCCACCAGTACATGCCTGCTTCCTGTGCCAGCTCGACAAAGACAGTAGCCGGCGCCAAGGGCACACCGAGAATAATGTGACCCTGAATAAAGTCGCGGAAGGGCCGCTGGTTGACGCGAGCCAGGAACAAGGCTGACGGTGGCTGGGCTTCGAGCTTGACGCATTGCCAAAGCAAGGCATGCAGAGGCTTTGGCCATCTTTGCCGAGCTGTAGCTGCAACCTGATGTTTAGATTTGGTGGACGTTGATTTTGGCTCCTTCTGCATCAACATGAGATGATCTCGCAAGCCACGATCCTTGAAGGGAACCCGGTACTCTTCCAAATCGAAAGGATACAGAGGTAGGCGCGCACAAAGCTCGTGATGAGGGAAGCGCAGTCCAAGGTCACCGAACGCACGACTCCAGTCCAAGTCAATACCGCCAGAGGCGAGCTCCTTGACCAAATCAAGTGTACAAGTCCAGGATGAGCTTCCCCGTCGAAATGACGGGATCAAGTCCGGCATATTTCCTGCTTCGGTATAGCAGCCCTTCAGCATCGGGATACAGGTTGGGTGAGGACCAATCTCGATCCAGGTGTCGACCTTGAGCTTGTACTGTAGGTCTGCAATGGACTCGGCGAATCGCACTGGCTGTCGCAGATGTTGCACCAGATACTGTGCATCAAAGTCACTCCTGCCAGGGGCCACAACTTGTCCGAGCACGTTAGAAGCAATATTGATCTTCGGTGACGAGATGCGATGACGGGCAGTCACCTCTCCGTACCCTTGCATTAGTGGCTCCACAGCCCTCGAGTGAAAGGCATAAGGCACAGGAATTGCCATCGCCTTGATCTTGGGCTCTTGTTGCTCGCACAGCTTCAGCATTTGGCCGATCCTGTCTGTAGGTCCAGCAACAACAGTGTCATTTGGGCTGTTGAAGCAGGCGATCTCGAGATCCGTATAACCAGACGCTTCGAGCAATTGGCGCACCCGGACAGGACCTTCTCTGACAGCGAGCATGGACGATGCGTTTGGCTCGCAGAGTTCCATCATGAGCATGGCTCGACGACCAACGAGTTCGATGAGGCTGCGCAGGCTAATGACGCCCGACAGCCAGAGTGCCGCATATTCGCCGAGCGAGTGTCCAACAACGCATAAAGGTTGCAAGCCCCAGTCACGTAGCATCGAAGCCATCCCGACCTCGGTGGCAATCAGCGCCAGCTGATACTGCGCTGGACTGAAGCTGTCCGCCTTGCGTGCTGCTCTTGCTTCTAACTGGGCTGCGTCCTCTGCCGCCTTGGGTGGATGGATGACTTCGACCAGGTTTGGTAAACCCAAGCTGAGGGCAATGGTATTGCAGCTGTCGACGTGATTACGGAAGGCTGCGCTATGCTCGTAGACCTCCTTGGCCATGTCCATGTATTGAGCGCCCTGGCCACTAAAGACGATGCCGATCTGGCGCCTCTTGACGTCTGCACCGATGATGGACACCGACTCTTGGCTGCTCAAGCATGTCTTCACTTCAGCGAGGCTAGCTGGGCTAGCCATCAAGCGATATGGATACATGGGGTCGCTGAGCGAGACTGCGCTGCAAAACTCGGTCAGACTGACATCCACGTTGGCTTCGAGGAATGCGACGAGTCGACGCCGCTTGGCGTCCAAAGAGAATGGCGTCGCAGCCGTGACGAACAAAAGATGATGCTTGGCGACAGGCCGACTATCCTGGTTCGAGTCTGCTCCTCCCTGGTCAGCATCCCTGCTCATCTTCAAAAGTCGTTGACGATAGACGCTGCCTCGGTCCATGACGATGGAAGAGTTGCCACCCGCTGCCGAGAAGTTGTCGACTAGCGTAAATGCACTCCCAACTCTGTCCAGCTTTGTTTCCTCCAAGGGCACGTGCAGACCAAAGAGCGGGGGAAGCTTGGTGTTCAGCTTGGTGCGGATGCCAATGTGGCGTGGCACTTGGCCGTGTTGGTAAATCTTGAGCGTCTTGATCATACTGCTAGCTCCTGAAGCTGCCTCAGAGTGGCCAATGTTGGCCTTCACTGAGCTAAGAACGAGCAGAGATTCTTCCCCTCTCTTGTCATTCCCAAAAGTCTCGACAATGCCGCCGACCTCTTCAAAGTCGCCACTCTGCGTGCCAGTGCCATGCATCTCAATGTAGGTAAAGTCTTCAGGCAACGTCTTGCTGGCCAGCATGCCCGCCTGATACAGCCTCTTCTGAGTTGGACCATGTGGGTGAGTGATGGAAAAGGACTCCCCCGAGTGATTGGTCGCAGCCGACGAGATGACACCAAGGATGGGATCACCGTCTCGGACTGCATCCGGCAGTCGCTTCAGCATCATGATCGAAACAGCGTCGGCGCGAGAGTATCCTGAGCCAGCATCATCGAGGGTCATGCACTGTGATGAGGCCGAAAGGAAAAAGCCTCTATCTAGGCCGATAGTGATTTGGGGTTGCATCAGAATGTTGACGCCTCCCGTAAGTACGGCAGAAGTCTCTCCTGCAAGCAGGCTATTGCAAGCCGCTTCGACAGCAACAAGAGCAGAGCTGCAAGCGGTGTCGTAGGTGCAAGCTTCGCCCCGAAAGCCAAAGGTCTCGTTGACTTTGGCGACAAGATGAGCACGATGCGTATTGGAAACAAAGTTGGCCTCGATGTTTTGGCTGAGATGTTCGCGATAGTCGTCGCTGCAGTATGCAAGGTGGGTACTCCACTGCTCCGGCTTCTTGGGATGCTGATACAGAGAGAAGCCATATCCAGCAGACTGCAATGTCTCCTGAGTGGTCAAGATGGCCAACCTTTGCTGTGGATCCATCTTGACGCAGTCTTCAACTGAGACGCCCTGTCCGAGGATGCTCCTGTCAAACAGGCTCGAGCATTCCACAAAGTTGCCGGTCTTGACACGCATGACGTTGCGCTCTCTGTAAGAAGCCGAGTGATAGTCCTGGTAGCGGTAAATTCGTGTTGGGATCTGTTATTGGATCATAAGAAAAGAGCCTGTCAGCATGGTCGTCTCATGGCATTTTTAGAGCTTGGTGAATGGGATAGAGTGCTACATACCTCTTGGCACATGTCTTTGCCTTCTTTCAAGAGCTTCCAGAGCTCGTCGGCATCGTTGGCTCCGGGCACTCGACACGACATGCCCACGATAGCGACTTGCTGACAAGGGTTGCCTTGTACTCTGGACAGGTTGACGGGTTCGTCACCGTAGCGATGAGAATCCTTGGGGTACAGCAAGTTGAGAAGCTTGACGACGGTAAAAGGTAGCTGCTTTTCATCAAAGATTCTTGTTGCTCTCATGGCGCAAGAATCCCTCGTGTCTCCTCCTAGTAGCAACATCTCGATGCTGGGCGCATAGATGCGAGACAGAGTAACCTGCTCGCAAAGAGTCTCCAAGGCTTTGTCGAAATGCTTTTGGGAGCGACCGGCGTCTGCCTGCATTAGGAATTCGCCGAGATTAATGTGAAAATAGCCGCTGGACGAACATTGCAGCTGAGAGGTTGGATCGCTCGTCAACTTGACTCGAATACGACGCTCCTTGAGTCGAGGCGCCAACAAGTCTTTCAAAAAAGTCCACTCCCCTTCGTCGAGAACGGGGATGGTAGACCGTTCGATCACAGCAATGTCTTGCTGCCCATAATCTTGGACCAATAGTCGAATCTCCTTGATGCTCGCTTGCGTTGCGATACCAGTTGCGTATCCACCAAGCGTCTGCTCGAAAGGAGTGCCTTCTGATCTACGCCTCTCGGCAAACCTAGCGATCGCGTCCTCCTGTCCACGGATCGTGAGCCTTTGCTTGCAAGGGACCGGCCAGTATGCATTGCCTGTGTCCAAGTAAGCGTCCAACCAACATCCAAGCCTAATCACTTCAATTGCTTTAGCAATCAGTTCCAGTGTGTCTGTGACGTCAGTCTTTCGTAGAACTGCGATTGCCAAAAAGGACTCGGGATCCCAGATTGCAGCAAAGTCGCTTTGCATCGCCTCTCTCAAGTCCTGGCGCGACGACAACACAATGCCGACCTGTGCGATTGTGGTGAGCGAGATGGTGTACGCTCTTAGAGTGGCAGCGTGCGCGGGCTCGGAAAGCTTCTCGAAAGTTTTCGGGAGAGCGGGCTTTGGCGTGCGACTGTCTTTGACACTTTGAGCAGCAGCGTCATCTTCGTTTCGCAAAGCTCGATAAGCCGATTCGATGAATGCCATGAGTATAGCATCGTGATTGGATCGATGAACGAGGAGGCGAAAGGTGGATGGAAGAAGGATCTGAGTGTGAGAGGCGTAGAGGAAGACCACTTTATGGCCATGCGCTTGGGCAAAATTGTGAGTAGGAACGGGTGACATGGTGCAGCTTGGGCGAACGAGTGATAAGCTGAACTGAAATCGGGAGCTCTGCAGACCGACTGATGGGCCTCTTGGCAAGAGGATATATATACAAAGGCAGCTTCCTTCGATCGACGGCACATTACCTTGACTCTTCGGATCGCCGGCTTGGGGCAAAGATAATAAGAGTTGGCAGCCTTGGGCCTACAAGCGTCGGCACGTTCCGAAGCCGTGTGAAGGCCTTGTTATCAAGTTGGTACATGTCAAGGCCGTACACCGTCTCGCGAGCACAAGTGTCGACCTTGCAGAAGGGCACATGGTTTGCTACTTGTCCGTCTCCCTCGTGCCTCACGTAATGGAAGCGGAAGTGCCGACTTGGGGTTTATCGCTGCACAGCTGGCGATGCTCTCGGCGGCGGCGGCCAAGGTGATGTCTGCTGTGACGAAAAGGGTTGGTCACATTGAGGCGTGGGAAGCGAATCCGACGGAAGGGAAGATATCGGCGCTTCCGAGCATCGTGAAAGCAAGATTGGCTAATGGCGCGTTTATCCTGCCGCAAGCTGACCATTCTTTCGGATACCTTCCGAAAGCATGGTCAGCTTGCGGCGTAGATGCACTCGAGACCTTTGATGAGCTTTCAACGGAAGCGTGCCTACACCGCTGTTGATGTGATTGGTTCAAGGGAAATCACTGCCTTCTTGGACAGTCACATCGGCGGCGTTGGGGATCAAAGCGGATGGTAGACACCAGCGTGCTGCGATGAGAGGCAGACCTAGTGGGGAAATGTCAGCCTCACTTACTTTTAACGAAGATGGCAATCTTGTCGCCTTGGCTGTCTGTGAGAAGGATGAAATTGCTATAATGCGACGTTTGCGACGTTTGCGACGTTTGCGACGTTTGCGACGTTTGCGACGTTTGCGACGTTTGCGACGTTTGCGACGTTTGCGACGTTTGCGACGTTTGCGACGTTTCAAGGTTGGTCCGGGTGATCAGTGTTGCCGACTTGCAGAACGAGAGGTTTGTCCGATTCGCTTCAAGGGTCGCCGTAGATCATACCAAAGAGAAAGACTTGATCCCTTGGAGGTGACATCATACCTCGCCTTTGTCTGGCACACAGAAGCTGTCAAACTTGACACTCAGGGATCTTATGGTGCGCAGGTGTGCTTGTCGAGAAGAGTGTAGTTTCAGCTGACACATAGAACCAAGGGCTGGTTGGATGTGATGGTGACCGGCTTCGTTACCTGCTGTGTGATCACTTTCGGCGTGAAGGCTAGAAGCATCTCCGGAGCTCGGCTTAGAGAAGGATGTCAAGCGTTGGCTGCAGTGAGAGGTCTGGGAGCAGAGCTGAAATCCAAATGCTCTACTCATCAAGGAAGGAGAGGCCACTTAAAAGCTTTAGCAGAAGCGCGAGTTTGGCTTCTTCCCCTTCAGCTAACGCCTCTTGCACCTTACTCCACCTCGTCGACGGGGCAGGTTTCATAGGGCCGTTGAAGATGATGGCGCCACGCAAGATACGGTTGCTTGGGCTGCACGGCAAGGGCACCTCGGCAAGGATCATGAAGACGCAGATCAAGCCCATTATTGACGCACTCGGCGGCATTCTCGAAGTTGACTTTCTTGATGGTGGACATGTCTCTTGTCCTTACCAGGGTGAGTCTGGCTGGTGGCCTTTGATGCCTCTCGTTCGGATCGCCATGCTTGATAAGATGCACTGACCAATGTTCTCGGCCGCTACGTTTTACAGGCATCGAAAGCGTCTTCCCGAGACAGGCTTACTACTCTTGGTACGAGCAGCCGACCGCGGCATCCTTGCAATCGGCACACAAGAGAGTTGCAGACCAACTTTGCATCTCAGTCGACAGGACTGTAAAGGAGATTCCGAAGCAGATGGTCAGCATCGGCACCACTCTTGAAACGCAAGGGCTTGGCATCTATACGCCGCCGGAGACGCCGACTCCCTCTGCTCGTGCCGATGCAGCAGCCGAGATGTCGTTCTACAGGTCTTTGGCCTCGCAACCTGCGCTGACTACTGGTAGCATGGGAGCTGCCAATGGGCCAAGTGGATTGATCCATCGACGCTTGGCACACGTAGCAGCCGGGCTCGACACACCTGACTCGTATCCACGCACGCCGATGGACGCTGCAATCCCACCCTACCATGGCTTGATCTGCTTTTCGCAGGGATGTGCAGTATCCACGGGACTACTGTTGGAGCTGAGTGCCAAGTTAGCTTACCGTGGAACGTTGCAGGTGCAATTTGTCATCCTCATCTGCGGTGGACGGCCGTTTGATCGGAAGGGAACGTTGGAGAGAGTGGATGCATCGGGCATTGTGCCGATCGATCTACCGAGCGTACACATTCAGGGCCGTCAAGATGCCGGATTGGAGGAGTCGAAGAAGCTTGCATCCCTGTATAGCGAGTCGGGCAAGCAAGTCATTGAGCTTGACATCGGACACTCTCCGCCTCGACGCACTTCGGACGTTGGCATCGTAGCGGCTGCTATTCGCAAGGTAGTCTCCCAGCTCATCTGACCTCGCTCTCGCGATGCTTGCACAGGTGCTGTTGTTATACTCAGAGGCGGGCAAGTAGCATCTCTTTCTGAAAAGGTTGTTCCAGTAAATAATAGCATGATTTCCTTGCAACTCGGAAAAAAAAAAAAAAAAAAGAAAAAAAAAAAAAAAAAAAAAAAGGTGCGCCGATCGATGTCAGCATCTTGGCTCTCTCTGAAGCCCTGAGGAGAGAGCTTGTTAGCAAATCTTCGGCTCCTCCGCCTATCTCATTATGAAGCAAAGAGCGGATGGGCCGATAGCAAGAGCAACTTGACCTTGGGCTTTCATGCCAGAGACGGCAAGAGATCAGCGACACTCTCGGCCCGGCGGAAGTGCCGATGGCACGAGTTGTGCAAGTGGATCACATCGGCTTTTGCCTTCTCTCTCGCGCTATCGCTGTTGGTCTAGAACCTCTTGAGCTCAGTAGCGCTCTCGTCTCTCTCGGATGGGATCCATGATGGCCACTGGTACGAGCCTGCTACCTGTCACTACCCTAGTCACCGGTGCAGAGAAGGTGGGAGAGTGAGCGCCAACGTCGGTCCTTTTTGTTTTAGAAATAGTTAATCCGCCTTTGCCCCCTTGCCTGTAAAATCACAGTAGTCACACAGACACTTTGTCACAGTGAATTGCCGCTCTCTGCCTCATTCCCTTTCATCCTTTGACTCTGCCTCTCTCTCCTCGACACTTCATCTCCCACCCCCCTATCTCCGCCACCACCACCATCACCACCACTACCATCACCGCAACAGACATACACGCACTCGTATACGGATCCGACGCTACGGTCTCCGATATCGCTTCACTCGCAAGCTTGGATTCGTGTGCACTTATCTGGACGCTCCTACCTTCTTCTGGCTTTGCTCAACATACACCGGCCTCCTATTCAGCCTACGCACGGATCGTACGCTTCGTTGGCGGCTACAATCGCATCCTAGCTGCCTTGCACCACCCTCGACGCTTACCCAGGCTCGCAGACCCTCCGGAACTTCCTCTTCCGCCTCGAGCACAGATCACATGGCCGCCACCTCTTAGAGGCACTTTTTTTGCCCTTCAGTTTCCCTGACTTGGTCTTCCTAGCGCAAGAGTCTCATCTCGAAGACAAGAATCACAGCATATTCATATTCCCTCTCTGACTTGCTCTGGCTCTTTCCGTCGACCTTTGCGTCACCCTCCTCACGATGACGGGTGCTGAGCGCCGCAATCACCCGGCCCACCTTAATGCCTTGCCAGCCCGGTCTCCGCTCTCTCGCAGTCCATCTCCATCCTTCAAGAAGCCATCACAGCCCCACGCCTCCTCATCTATAACCACAAACCAGCTCAGCAACAGATCCACGCTGGCACAAAGGGGCAATCAGCATCCTCACTTTGAGACGTCCAACTTCTCCGCTGACCTGCATTTCCCCAACACAGCATTTGGAGCCACTCCCAACTATGAGCTGCCTCCAGATGGAATGTTCAACGGTGCCCGCTTCGACCCTTCCTCTTCCGCTTCTGGCTCCGCTTCTTCCTATTGGCTCTCGGAGAATCGTTCTCGATCCGTCCCACCAAGGATAGCCGTCGACAGCAGCAACACTAGACGCACCAACTCAAGGCGTGCCATTCCTGCCATCGACACTAGCGGCCCTCCTCATTCGCGCCGAGAAAGTCTCATGCAAGATGCCGAGAAGCGTCCTACAAGCCCACACATCACATCAGCTACACCTACCGGTCGTCATCATCACCATCACTTTGCTTCCGAAAAGTCTAACTCTCGCTCCAGCTCTGTCCACGAGCATGATTCTCACCGTATACGTCAGAACGTCCAACGTGTCGCCTCTCCTTCCCTGCTCAACTCTGGCATCGGTAGAGCTGCTGTGTCTGCGGCGCAGTCGATCATGGATGCCATGGCTGGTCGCTCTTCACCTGTTGCTACACGTTTCAAGCATCCTACAACCCAAGATCGCCATAGCTCGAGTGACGACGAGGCAGGCAAAGGCCATGGACGCAAAGCTGCTGCATCAGTTGCAGTTCGCTTCACACCTTCCCTCTACCATCCCCGCCACTCACAGAGCCAGCACCACGCTCATTTCGACGAGAAAGCCACTTCTCCTTACGACACTCAAGCGCCACCACATGGTGTCAGTACAGACCTAGCTTGGCGAGCCAGCCTCTCCGAATCACGCAGAGCCACTCCTGCAGCTTACCGACCTCCTCTCACCTCGCCAGCCAGAAAACGTGGCAGCGTCCACATTGACCAGCAAGCCACAGGTGATGACAAGACAGACATGCACCATCACAAGTCGGCTCACTCCTCCATCCTGATCGGCTCACCCATCGTCATCCCGCAAGCTCGCAGAGGAGCCATCAGACTACGTCCCAGACGCAAGCGAAGGCTCTCTCGTCAAGTCGGACCACAAGGCACTCTACGTCAGAGCATCTACCTCTTGATCGCCAATATTGTCCACTTTGTTCGCCTCATTCTCAATCCAGCAGAAGCCTTGCGTCGCTTCAGAGAGTACTGCATCGACACTCGCATCTCGATCGACGATGCCTTCCGAGACCCGCAGACAGGTGTACGAAGCTACTATCCTCCCTGGCTACAAGCCTATGTTCCGCTACTCATCTGGCTCGGTATCAGCTTGAGCAGCACCGCGCTCGTCATTACCTTCCACACTAAAGTGTTCATCGGTCTCGATCGCATGTCCTCCTACTTGCAAGGCCTTGGATTGTGGGGCAAAGTGATGCTCGGCTCGCTCATTTTCCTCACCACCTTCCCACCACTTCCGCTCTACTCGACACTCATCATGCTTTGCGGCTTCACTTTCGGTCTATGGCAAGGTTTCGTGATCAGCTACATCGCCGCTCTCTCTGGTGCTATTGTTGTCTTTACTCTCAGTCGATCCTTGTTGCGCGAGTGGATGGTTGGACTGCTCGATAAGAGTGGTGGTCTAAAAAAAGTTGTTCGAGCTATCGAGAAGCAACCGAAGCTTCTTTTTCTGGTTCGACTTGCACCGTATCCTTATAATCTCATGAACACCTTACTTGCCAGTTCACCGACGCTGACACTGCGCACCTATGTGACCTGTACAGCATTGGCGCTGCCCAAGTTGCTCATTCACACTGGTCTGGGAACATCAATCAAGAACTTTGCCGCCTACAACGGCGCAATTGAAGGACAGAGCAAACAAGACGCCGAAGCATCCCAAACAGCAGAGAATGTCAAGAAGTGGGCTGGTTTGGTCGGCGTTGGTCTTTGTGTCGGAATCATGATCTACCTCCTCTCCGTCGCTCGTAGGGCTGTTGACGAGCTGGATGACGAGATTGACGATGACTACGAGGATGTGCTTCTCGATGAAGGTGACGAAGAGTACCTCTCCTCGGACTATGACGAGCAAGATGATTCTCCAGACTCGACTTATGGCGGAGACCAGGGTGTGGACATGCGCCAACGTGCCGGTCCCTCCACTCTTGGTTTCCGTAACGGCTATGCACCCATCACTTGTTCACCCGAAGAGCGTCTGCGACAGAGTATGCGACATCCTCAACCGATGCCTCTACCGTTGCTGTTGCCTGGCTCGACTTATGAACGGGCATCAGGATCGGGTTCGTTTGAAGGCAGGATCTCGTCTGTCAGCAGCGGGTCAGTAGGGAACCACTCTATTGACCTGGCCGATAAGATTGCAGAGATGGAAGCTCATGCGGAGAATATGCAGTTCGAAGTGCCGTTGCATAATGCGGATGCAGGAGAGGTGATCCAGTCTCCAAGATGGTCGCCGATGGTAGAAGGGTTGGAGGAGAGTGTGGATACGGGTGATACGATCAGGAAGGAGAAACCTTTCTTTTTCGACCAGAGTGAGGAGGAGTTGCAACAGACGATCAGGAATGGACGTGGAGCAAATCATGGTCAGCATGATGCGCATGTTGCTGCTGCTCAGAATGGTGCTCCTGGTGGAGGCGGAGGCAACTGATCTAGCCACCAGTCTACTTGTTGGAGCACTTTTTCTTCTGCACAAACTCAACGCACAGTCAACCTTTGAATCAACATGCAAGCATCGACATTCTGGTCCATCATGTTCGCCATTGTCTGTGTAAGACATGCAGCCGCCAGTGTATTCTCGAGCAAGTCAAGCGATCGACTTGAGCTGCAGCAGAAAGAGGCCATCTCACCTGACAAGAGACGCGCACCGAGCGGCGATTCGTTTAAGCAAATTCCACCGTGGCAGCAGATCTTCTCATCAGCACACCATCACCTCGTACACCCCTAACACCCACTTTTCTCAATCTAGCATATGATAGCAGCGCTGCGATCAACTCTGTCCCTCCCGACACTTGGCTTTAAGCTCTCTCGCTTCCAACTCGAAGCTGCTCGATTTGCAGCTCCAACGCCTTCCTTCTTCACCAAACAAGCCCTTCCAGCTCCGTGTAGGCTCAGGCACAATCTAGTAACAATGGGTTCCCAATCAACTGCCAAGCGATCCAAGGCCGATGGTCAAGGTAAGTCTCGCGGCCCTCTCATTACTCATTGAACAGGCAGGCAAGTGATAACCAAGCAAAGTGCGCAGAAGCTACTCAGCGTTAAAGGGAGTTGGCTCGTGCGGATGATGCGCAGAAAAAGAAGAAAAGAAAAAAGGAAAAAAAAAAAAAAAAAAAAAAAAAAAAAAAAAAAAAAAAAGAAAAAAAGAAAAGAAAAGAGAAAAAAAAGAAAAAAAAGAGAAAAAAGAAAAGAAAAGAGAAAAAAGAAAAGAAAAGAGAAAAAGAAAAGAAAAAAAAAAGAGAAAAAAAAAGAAAAAAGAGGGTTTTGCGCACAGAGCTTCTTGTTCTCTTCTTCCATCATTCCCATCATCAGCCCTCTTCTTCGAACGACTTGGCTGACACTTCCTCCCCTTCTCCTCCATCCTCGCTCTACTTTTCTTTTCTTTTTTTTTCATCGCTCTAATTGCTCGCTCGCCATCGCCCTAAATGCCAGAACATATCATCACCCACAGTGGAACGTTCCACGCCGACGAAGCACTCGCCGTCAACCTCCTTCGCACTCTCCCTCGATTCTCCTCTGCTCCCCTAACCCGTACTCGCGACACCACCATCATCGATTCCGGCACAATCGTAGTTGATGTCGGCGCGACGTACAACCCTATCACGCACCGCTACGACCATCATCAACGTGGATTCGAACAAGTTTTCTCCCCCGAACACTCGACTAAACTCTCTTCGGCCGGTTTGGTCTGGAAGCATTTCGGCAAGGAAATCGTCTCGACCCATCTTCAGGTCCAAGATGCGCCCACCGTCGATCTTCTCTGGAAGAAACTCTACGATGATTTTATCGAAGCAATCGACGGTATTGATAACGGAATCTCCCAGTATCCCTCCGATCTTAAGCCCAAGTACAAGTCCAGGACAGATTTGTCGGCGAGGGTGGCATATATGAATCCGAGTTGGAACGAATCTTGGAGCGATGCCGAATCGGATGCGAGGTTTGAAAAAGCTAGTCTCATGGCTGGCGCCGAGTTTTTCCAGAGGTTGCAATATGCCTATAAGAGTTGGTTGCCTGCTAGACAGATTGTTGTCCAAGCACTGGGCAAGAGGGAGGTGGCTCAGGTGTTGGTGTTTGATGAATTTGCTAGTTGGAAAGATCACTTGTTTGACTTGGAGAAGGAGCTCAACATCGCTCCGACCGAAAGGCCGATTTATGTTGTCTATCCAGATGAAAGTGGAAAGTGGAGGATTCAAGCTGTTCCCGTATCCCCCGAGAGTTTTGTGAGTAGGAAAGCCTTGCCCGAACCTTGGAGGGGAATAAGGGATCAACAGCTGAGTGAATTGACGGGGATCGAAGGATGTATATTTGTTCATCAATCAGGATTTATTGGTGGAAATGCTACAAAGCAAGGTGCGCTCAAGATGGCGTCTGATGCGTTGAAGCATACCGAGGTTCCTTTTATCCACTCTGCTCCCCTTGGTCGTTCTGGCGGTCCCCACTCTCACTCCCACTCTCACTCTCACTCTGCGGGTGGAGGTGGAGCAGACCATGGTCACACACACGACATCATGGGCCACCCTGGAAAGTTCAACGATCGAGATGTACCCAATTACGAAAAGCGCAACTTCGCCGAACGAGCATTCACCGTTGGCATTGGTGGACCCGTAGGCTCCGGTAAAACGGCGCTTCTCCTTTCCCTTTGCCGAAAACTTCGGGAGGAATACAACATTGCCGTCGTAACCAACGACATCTTCACTCGTGAAGATCAAGAGTTCCTCCGTCGACACTCGGCTTTAAGTCCGGCTTCTAAAATCCGCGCAATCGAGACCGGCGGATGTCCGCACGCAGCAATCCGAGAAGATATCTCGGCAAACCTGGAAGCACTCGAACAGCTACAGGCGCAGTTCGAAACTCAACTGCTCTTCGTCGAGTCCGGAGGCGACAACCTTGCTGCTGCCTACTCGGTCGAGTTAGCCGACCTGCACGTCTATGTCATCGATGTTGCAGGAGGAGACAAGGTGCCCAGGAAAGGTGGTCCGAGTATTACACAGAGCGATGTTCTGGTGATCAACAAGATTGATCTGGCTGATCAAGTAGGTGCTGATCTGGCAGTCATGAAGAGAGATGCAGAACGCGTCAGAGATGGCGGTCCAACAGTCTTTGCAAGTGTAAAGTTGGACCAGGGAGTGGATGCAGTGGTGCAAATGATACTTGCCGCTAGGAGGATCGCTGGTGCTGATAAAACAGGCAAACCCGTAACCAAGGCTTGATGGCAGATAAGTAAGTGTACAAGAGGGACCAGGCGGTAGTTGCAAATCAAATCAGAGTGTCCATCTTGATCGCTCTTTGATGTTTGTGCTTGTAATTGGACGAGATGGTATCCAGAGAGTTGTTGAGACCCTGCAGAGCTCCGTTCTGCATTCGTTGGCCTGGTTCGAGCTGCGTTGTCGATGCAATATCAACGCACGTCACCAACTATTCAGCACAGTCGCAGCATCGCAAGATTGGGAAAAGGGGGATTGTATTGGATCACACTTTTGATGGAAACATGCTTACAGTTTAGGCTTGGATTGGGAATCGGCGTCGATTACCGTGAAGCAAGCGGCAGCACATTGCGGGAACTTACTGCCGTATATCTTGGCCTGTGCACTGCTGGCTTGGCCTTGTGCATTCCTTGCTGCGATGCCTTGTGCGATAACGGCGAGACGGAACCAGGCCCAAGCTTTTGCAGCTGTCCAACCGTGTACAGGATACTGCCTTTGTGCTTTGTCGCAGTATCTTCTAATCAACACCTCCTCGACCGGTACTGGGCTTTGTTCTGGAGTTAAGTTTCCCAAGCTTAGCAGTAGAGAACCGTGCTTTCTACTCTTTTGCCAGATATGCACCTCGTTGATCTCCGAGGGGTTTTCGCAAGCAATGCTGTAAGGCTGTAGTAAATTTGCCAAGTCCGACAAGGGATGGCCGAGGGTAGACAACTCCCAGTCCAGAATGCCAATGACTCTTGGTTCTGTGGGGTGGAAGATGAGGTTATCGATCTTATAATCGCCGTGGACGATAGTGTTTTCATCTTGGGGCATATGTTGAGCGAACCAGGACAAGAATCTATCGATTTCTGGTAGTTGGCCTACCTTTTTCCCTGGATTATCCTTTTCTTCAACCTCTGCCTGAAGGGCGCTTACTTTAGCCAAACTCTTCATTTGGCGGTTATAAAAGCCGTCTCTCTTGCCATAGTCGGCCAAGGCCACTTGCTGCGGCTTGATGCGATGCAAAGCAGCAAGTGTATCGATAGCACTAATCCAACATTTCCGCCTCTCCTGTTTATCAGCAAGTTGAAGGAAACGATAATCTTCGAATATCCGACCATCGATGAATTCCATTATATAAAACGGTGTCCCCACTACAGCCTTATCTTGGCACAAACAAAACACCTTGGGTACAGGAACCGCATCTGGAGAATCCGGAGGCAGGGAAGAGGTATAAGAATGAATGGAGGAAAGGATTCGATATTCCCGTTCAACTGCATGTGCCGTCGAGCTCAGGAGCGAACCCGGTGGTTTCTTTCGTAAAACATACCGAGTCTGCCTAGAATCGAACAAGATATACGTCGGGTTGGATTGACCAAACGAGAATTGCTTGACGGTTACTGGAGCAGCGATAGAGGGAACGCAGGACTCAAGGTACGTATTCAATGCTTTCACGTCGAACGGATGACGCACCTCGCCATAATGCTGTCCGACCTTCTTGTCTTGAGATTCGCCCATAATAACGCACTCCTCCGAGCTTTGAACAGGTGCGGTACAAGGCGGTAAGAGGTGGCAGTGAGTGATTGTGGTTCGAGATAGGGATGATGATGGTATGGGGTAAAAGCAAGAAAGCGAAAAGTGCGGGGCAGTCTAAACCACCCCCCGACCGAGTGTTGGAGTATATGCTTGGTCTGTGCAGAAAAACAGCCGGCCCCCGGCTTTTTATAACGGCCCGAATCCCAACCGGTCCGCCAACAGCAAAGCGCCTAACCAGCTACACAAGCTATCGTGCGAAAGGATCCATGGGCATTTTTCATGGTGAGCAAAGGATCACGTGACCAACTCCGGCACTAGTTAGGCAATTTAACATTTCCTTTTCTTTTTATTTTTCTCACTCAAATTCTCAGCCTCCTTTTCTGACAATTTTCACGCGTTGTCAAGCGCGATAATTGACCGTTGAAACCACACACACCACCCCAGAGCTCGCAAGATCAAAGCTTGTCCAAACAGAGCAACACAAACAGAGAGACGATTCAAATCAACCACCAAAGCAAAGGAACAAGTGTGCAACAAAAACAGACACAACTGCAAAGATTAACAAAGGTATGTCGGTGGCACAAAGCGATACAGAAGCCGCAACTTCCGGCAAGAGAGACACTTGTTTTTTTCCGAATAAAAAGCCTTGTTTCCTACCCGCTTCCTATACAGCTTCTTCCTCGGTTATTGAGAGAAATGACATCGACAGCAGCACCAGTGCAGAATCGGGCTTAGATCCAACCAATGTAACCCTTGTTCCTAGCGCCAAAGACGAGCGAGATGAGCAAAAAGATGACCGTCATTCTTCGAATCACTCCGCTTTGAGTCGACTCTTGATGCGAACGGTCGCCAAAAGCAGGATTGAATCGTGAAAGCGGTGCGTGTTAGACCGCGAGAGAAGCGCGCGTGAAATAGACGCCAAGCAAAAGAAATCCAAGCAGGTCCGAGTGATAACCATTGCCCCACCAGAGAGAGAGAGAGAGAGAGAGAGAGAGAGCACAAGAGTGAGGGTGGAAGTCAGCATTAAAAAAGCCAGCCGAGTCACGTGATTCGAAGCCCCCGCCAGTGTATGTCCGCAACCATGGAATGGACATTTGGGAGAGGTAAAGCATGGTAGAGGGAGTAAGAAGAGAGAGAAGGTGTGTCCGCTGCTCAGTGTGCTGTTCCTCTGATCGAATTGACGAACAAATGTAGATGCGCAAGGAAAGGGAACATCAATCAGGGATCAAGGGGTGGAATGACTTACGGATGAGGAATAGGTAACGCTGTTATGAGGGTTCTTCGGTCTTGAGAACGAAACCTTGTATGCTGCCAACAAGCTCAACTTCTTCAAGTTGGCCTCAGTGTAAGGTGGGTAACGGGAAGCCATGACCACCTCGATGATTTTTCCTAGAATACCGGTGGAAGGAGCGTCCAAGCTTGCACGCTGATGACTGAACTGATCGAAGGAAGCCTTACCGTGGTAGTTGCCATATCCAGAAGGACCGGTACCGCCGAAAGGCAAAGCATCGACAGCAAAGTGCAACAAGGTATCACCCTGAACGCAGGCACCGGAACGAGTGTTGTCGAAAAAGTACTCCTTCACCTTGTTGTCCCCAGCGAAGAGGTAGAGTGCCAGAGGCTGGTCGCGAGAGTTGATGAACTCAACAGCTGCCTTGACATCCTTAACAGGTACAATGGGAAGCAAGGGACCAAAGATCTCTCCGGACATGACAGGATCATCTGTCTTGACATCAGCAATAATAGTAGGTGGCATGAACTTGGACTTGGCATCGCCTTGACCACCAAGTACAACGTTACCCTTGGTACCGGAAAGCATAGCACTGAGACGCTTCCAGTGACCGGCATTGATGATACGAGCATAGCTCTCCGAGTTGTCGACACCTCCCTCAAGGTCAGGGTAGAAGCTCTTGTAAGCCTTCTTGAGCTCGGCGACGAAACGCGCCTGAAGTTCGTGAGGGATCAAGACGTAATCGGGAGCAATGCAAGTCTGACCACAGTTGAAGGCTTTACCCCAAAGGATACGGCGAGCGGCGATACTAAGATCGGCACTCTTGTCGACGTAGACGGGCGACTTGCCACCAAGTTCGAGGGTGGCAGGGCAAAGCCACTTGGCAGCCTTTTCAGCGACGATACGACCGACAGTACCGTTACCGGTGTAGAAGATGTGCTCGAATCGCTGATCAAGCAGAGCAGTAGTCTCTGGAATGCCACCGTTAACAATACGGTAGCATTCAGGGTCGAGGTACTTGTTCCAGAGTTGCGAAAGCAACTTGGCAGTGTGGCTAGCCACCTCGGAAGGCTTGAGGATAACAGTGTTACCAGCAGCAATAGCACCGATGACAGGACCCACCTGAACAGTGATCGGATAGTTCCAAGCACCAAGAACCAGAACGGTGCCCTTGGGTTCGGAACGGACCTTAGCACCGTGCATAGCCCAAGCAGCACCAGCCCATGGCTTCTGAGGCTTGGCCCACTTGTCGAGCTTCTGAACAGCTTCTACGATCTCATTGGTAGTACCGGTAAGCTCGGCAAAGATGGTCTCGAAACGAGAACGGCCAAGATCTTTGCGAAGAGCTTCGACAAAGTCATCCTGGTGGTCTTTGAACATGAAAGCGAGCTGCTTGAGCTGGTTCTTGCGATACTCGATCGAACGGGTTTTGCCGGTCAAGAAGGCGGCACGGAGGTCGGAGTTGATCTTTGGAATGTCATCGATCGAGGTGTACTCAAGACCCGCTTCAGCGGCGGCGGTAGCAGCAGCAGCCATGTTGCAAGACGGGCGCAAGGTTGAATGTTGGGTGGCAGTGTGTGCTACGAGAGAAGGATGGTGGTGGTTACCCGATTCAAAAGATGTGCTGATGTTGATCAAGCCTGACAGGGCGAATGTGGATGACTTGAGGCGAGATGGTGGTTGGTGGCGGGCAAGAGAGGTCAGTGCGGCAAAGTTCAAGATAGAATGGCGACCAAAGCGAAGCTCGTGAAAGCGAACGCGGCTTATCCACGAGCTGACTCAGCATGTGAAATGCAGAGACACTCGACTCATCTAAGGCTTTTTACTACTCGATGTGAAGATATATATACTCATGTTTGTAGTCTTGGTCCACTTGAATACGACAAGCATTGTATTTGCTATACACCTGTGCCAAGGCAGCCAGCCTGCGGTGCGGTGCGGTTGCGGTGCGGTGCGTTGCGGAGGCGGCAACTTTGGCAAGATCGCGCGTTGCAACTGCGGAGAAATTATTGTCCTTTCACAGCAGTTCAGTGACGGAAGAGCCGCTGTCAACTGGAATCCCTGCACCAACGCACGCCGGAAGTTCCGACGATGCTCCTCTCTCTATCGTCACTCTATCCGTGTGGCTGATGTGATATGGCGGAGAGAAAGATCTGTCTCTGTGCTCAACTGCCAACGTTTACCAATCGTCACTTGAACAGTGTCAGAGAACAAGATCTGATTCGGCCGGGACAGTGACAACAGCAATGCTTTGACACAAGTAGTTCATCCTCCTCCGAGCTGCTTCGATGCTGTAGTTTGGCGACTGCCTGACGAAGCGGAGGCGGCAACAGCGATGGAGAAATAGCGTTGGTGGTAACCCTTTCCCTCCTCCTTGCCTCGGCAATTCTTCTTTTTCCCCGCTTCTTTTCCCAACTCTGTGTTTCGCCTCCTCCTGTGTGACGTTGTGCTTTGGATCGGTCCAAGCTTTGGAGGGAAATGCAGTTGTTCAACCTCGAGCTGCGGATCCTGCTTTTTGAGCGATGCGGTTTGTAGAGATGTCAGATCGAGTCAGCTGACATTTACGGAGAAATTGATCCAATGTGGATCCAAACAGTGGCCTAATCAAAAGGAGAAAGAAACTCGTGACAGTGCCAAATGAATCGGATGTGATCCGAAAGAGAGCTTTGCGAGCGTGCGAAATCGGATGCGTCCCGAAAGAGTGTGTCATGTGTGACTTCTTAGGCACTTTAGCATCGCAACATTCACACGCTCGAATTGGGCACTCTGCCTATCGATCATATCATCGGCACGGCTCTCCCGAAGCTGATAGCTCACACGCCAACCGACGAGTGCAAAGGCAGAGACACAGTCAGAATCGATCCTCTGCTTCCCTTGTTCTTATATAAGCCAGCATGGCTTCGGAATCCGCAGCCGCTGCTACGGCCGATGCCGCTCGTAACGCTTCTGAGCCGACCCAGGCATCGACGGCGAGCTCATCCACCGAGGTATCCACCATACCAGCAAACGATCGAGCAGCTACAGCTCCAGCTCCAGCTCCAGCTCCAGCTCCAGCTCTAAGCTCCTCCACTACCACCACTACTGCCGCGAGTACTTGTGCATCTCGGTTAGCAACCTCTCCAGTACAAGGTACTACGCAGACAATCCTCGCTGCCACTGCCTCCATGCTTCCTCGCAGCACAGCTTCCGTCTCGAACAATGGCGCAGCCTCGACAGCCGCTTCTTCGAACTCTTCCTCGAGCTCTGCTACAGCAAAAGCCTCCAACAGAGCATCAGCTGGCTCGCCGAGACGAGCTTCTTCCAGCCTTGCTCAGCACAGCCAACCTATTCTGTCCACCGTGCCTGCTCCGATTGTACATCGTTTTCGTCAGCATCAACCGGCCTCACAGCCTCCTTTCACCACAGCTCCCACCGCGTTGGCTGACATCGATGCTTCCAATCCCGTTCCCTCCATCTTTGGCTTTTACTCTCATCATGGCAATGCTACAATACAACAGACCAACCACCAAAGGCGAGACTTTCTGACAACTTGGCCATCTTCTCAGTCCTCCTTTCCGCCTTCCCGCCCTCAGCGTACACTGGGCAGATGGCAGGCTAATCGCATGCCAGCGCACACCTCTTCCTCCTTTGTTCCACAGGGAGGCCGCGCCCAGCGTTCCGCACAAGCCCGAGCCAACCCTACTCATTCTCCCTCGATCAACTCAAGTGCCGACTGCAGCCTTCTCTCTCCCTCGCTTCCTTCTCCTCACCCTACTTTCGAGGAGACGACCACCATCTCCTTTACCTGGACGATCAGTGACTTGCACTTGCTACGCGAAGAGGTGGAGTACTCGCCACCACCTTCCGAAGGAGGTCGGTCGGTCAGTGCAGGCGCTGGCAAAAGCGATGTGTGGACAAGTCATCCTACCTTTGGCGATGGCAAGTGGAAACTCGAGCTGGTGCGAACCACTCGACCTCTGACCGCTCAACCACATCCAGACTTGGATTCTGACGACAATACAAACGCCTCGGCTTTGTCCCTCACTGTCGAGCCGGTAGCTGTACAGGATGGCGACGGCAGTGCAAGTGCACAGCGCGACAGCATCACCATCCTTTCCGTCTACTTGACTTCCCTCGTGCTCGACTACACGCATGCCAGCGTCGAGATCCCCACTTCCATCATGGTCGGATTGCGTCCAACACGCTCTGCCGTTGGTAGGCGAGGTGCCGAAAATGGTGGATGGCTGTGGCGACGCTTCTACGACTACACATTCCAGAAGGAGGCTGATCTCTTTACCTGTCACGACCTGCCTAGTGTCTCTGAAATGTTGGAGGATGCCAACATAGCCCGCGATGACGCTGTAGCGCTCACCATACAGCTCGGCCTAGGGCCAGGGCATGCTCGTGGATCTCCTGGTCAGCTCGACGAAATCTCTTCGACTCGCATGCCAATCGAGATTGATGGACATCATCTTGTTCCTCGTGCTGTTCTCAACTCACTGCACGGTCTGCTTGACGATGCTAACACGGGCGATGTCCGTATCCTCGTGCGCGAAAGGGGAGTCCTCATGCCTGCTACCTCTGACCGCGCCGCAATGTCTGACGACGGACATGTCGATGCGACAGACCCTTCAGACACCCATGGTCGCATCCTGCCATATCCTGTGGGCTCCAGCTGCCCCATTGCATCCGTATACGTGCCTACTGATGCGCAGCCCTCGATCGAAGAAGACCCGGATCGTATCTTTGTTCGCGATCGAGTGCTGTGGGCACATTCTAGTGTTCTCAAGAGCCGGAGCGACTACTTTGCTAGTATGCTCGCTTCGGATTTCAGCGAAGGCATCAGTCGCAGCTATGGCGTCGAAGCGAATGGCGGCCTTGCTGCACGCAACGTCCGCACCCTCCGCATCCCCGATGCCGACTTTGTCACCACCTATTGGTTCCTACGTTACCTCTATACCGAAGACATTCGCTTTGCCGATAAAGAAGATGTGCGAAGCGCGGTGCTCGACGAAGAATGGGCCAAAGGATCCGATCTTGGTCATTTTGCAACGCGTTCCCTAAGTGGAGACGCCAGCATGCGAGCTCCAGCATCGAAGCTTCTGGTTGACTGGACGCCAATCTCACAGCTCGAGGACCAAGATGACTATGATACGGAGGAGAACGATGCGGCAAACACTAGTATGAGCTATTCCATCAATCTTGGTCAGCCTTCTTCATCCTCCGTCGATCACAGCCCCTATTCTCCACGCTTGACAGCTTCGAACGCTACAACTTCCGGCTCGCTCCGGCAGAGGACGAGCGCAAGCGGCTTCTGTGCAGCCATTAGCCCTAGTATCCACGGTCACGCCGGCAGTAGAAGCAGCACCCTCTCCCCTCCTGCTTCACCATCCGGTGCGACTGCGAATCCTTCTTCTGCCACAGGAAGCGCAAGCAAGCATCACACAGTCGACGAAGGCGCTCGCGTTGGTGCTAGTGGGCCCCGTCGCACTCTCTCTAACGCTTCCACTGTCGCACGGCCTCTAGCAGGCACACACGACCCGCACGATCATCCATGCTCAGACCCTGGTCCTGCTTCCGCACTGTCCATCTTCAAGCTCGCTCACCGCTACCATATGCAAGAGCTCTCCAGACTCGCCTCGCTGCACATGGTCGCCACGCTTACGCCACAGTCAGCCTTCCCAATGTTGCTGGCCACATCGATGTACACGGAGCTACACATTCGTATCAAGACATACGTCTACCAGCACTGGCACCTTGTCTCTCACACGCAAGAGTTCGAGCGCTGCTGCGACGAGGTCTCGGTGGGTATGTGGGGTGCCGATGCTGGCAAGACGATGCGAGCGTTTGTAAAGAGTCTTGTTTCGCCGCTGCGTGCTGCTCAAAGTTGATCGACACACACTTGACGGTAGGAGTACAAGTATGCGATCCAGACATGTGTTGACAATGTACAAATCCGAAACTTGCTCGAGCTGAGTGCTGCGCGGTCGCTGTAAGAGATGCTTCAATGACATGGTTGCTGGTACTGCATGGCTTTCTTGAGGCTGAAGGTACATGTTGTTGCTATTTACACCTCACCCGCGCTATCAGATCTGGAACATTGCGTCTTTTACGTCTTACTTGTGCTTCTGACCCTCGCTCACCAGATTATAATCCTCGGCCTTCTCACCACTAGTGCCCATCTTCCTCAACTGCTTCTCCCTCCTATCGACTTTGCTCTCCAAACTCCTGAAACTCCTGCCAGTCCCCATCAATCCGGCAAAGAACCCCGAAATTCCACCCATCTTGACCTCCTCCTGTCTCACCCCACCACCTGCAACATCCGCACGTTGTCTCTGCTCATCCATCTTTCTCAACTCGTTCAACATGATCTCTCTCACCTTATCCGCCAGATCAGCTGCATCCTCCGCCGTCAGATGTTTCGTTGGCACCGGAGGGAGAACCTTGATCCTAATTGTGCCGGACTCGAATCTGGATTTGGAATCGAACAACCTGCTATAATTCTCACAAACGACGGGAACAACTGGAGCTCCAGCTTGGATTGCCAAATGGAAGGCACCCTTCTTAAACGGCAACAAATCGGGAGTTGCTAAACCAGACCTTGTACCCTCTGGGAAGATCCATAGACTCTTTTTGAGTCTATTCATTTCCTGCCCTACCGCTTGGAATGATTTGATGCTATCCTTTAAGTTTTTCCTATTGATAAACACTGCTCCGCTCAAAGCCATGAATTGACCGAGTAAAGGAGCGAACTGAAGTTCTTTCTTGGCCATAATTGCAGCGTGAGGAGGAAAGATTCGACCGAGATATAAGATGTCCATTGCTGTTTGATGATTGCCAACAACAACAGCAGGTCTTGCCTGGGCGAAATGCTCTTCTCCTTCAACGATAAATTTGATTCCGACAAGGGGAGAGGTGAGACGCCAGAAGGAACGAGCAACTACTTTGTTAATGTTCAATCGTTGCCCGGGAACCAGACTCAGGAATATCGAGACAAAAATCCCCCATACGGAACAGATGCCTAAACCAGCAACGTAGATGAATGAGTTGAGGTAGAAACGAAGTCGTTGAGATCGAGGGGAAATAACGGCAACAAGGAGCAGTGCTCCAGCGGTAAGCGCGGAGATGGATTTGGATAAAACTGCCATTGTTGAAAAGATCGAGGTGAGGAGGCCAGACATGCGAGGCACTGCGACCCAGCGTGGAAGACGGTATGAACCAAGACAAGATTGAGGTGACGAGGTGATCGAAGGAGGGAAGGAGAGGAGGAGAGGAGGAGAGGAGGAGATGAGGAGAGGAGCGTTTCACACAGCGAGAAAGGGAAATACAGAAACGTAACGGGCCAACAAGAAAGATTCCCTTCAGAAAAATGCACAGTGCCCGATCTAAAGCAGATATGTAGGTGTGCCCCGATCTCAAGCAGATACGGCCTGCTGATTTTATGTCAGAGCTGTCGATCTCACACCAAACAATCCAGCCCATCTTGCATGCCTCTCTCGAGCTTCATTCTTCACCTTGATCCTGTACCAATGGGCCTCTGATCACTAGTCGAGCCTATAGCTATAGATTCGAGGGGGGCCCAGTGTTGCCGGTGGGCCCTACAACGGTGGAACACTAGTTCAGGCCCTTACTACGCCGCGCCACCATGATCCACAGGGGCCTTCTCGGTGCATTGTTCGACAGCTCGAACTTCATCTTTGGAGCCCCACACCTTGGCCTGCACCCACCGAAGCTCCAAGCGAACCCTCGGACGATAGGGCTCTGAGCAAGCTTATTGTTACCCCCAACTGAGCTTCTCTCACTCCCGCAATCGTCTCTACACATCAACACCACCCTCCACCAACGTTTGCTCTTGTAGCCATCCCCTTGACAGAAATGTTGTTCCGTCGGGGGATCACCCTCTCCTCTCTGGCTCGTATGCATCTCAGCTTTTCCTTTCCTTCCTGTGCTCCCGATTCCCCTCTCTCCAAGATCCCTGACATTTGCGACCCCACCATCCCCTTCTATACTCGAGCCACATCGCTCGTCAACCAATTCACCACTGAAGAACTCCTCAATAACACCATCAACTATGCTCCCGGTGTCCCTCGCCTGGGCATCCCTAACTACCAATGGTGGACCGAAGCTCTCCATGGCGTTGCTAAATCTCCTGGTGTTAATTTCGACCTGTCTGATCCTCATGCAGAGTTTACTTCCGCTACGCAGTTCCCCCAGACCATCAATTTAGGTGCTACGTTTGACGATGATCTCTATCAGCAGATTGCCAGTGTGATTGCTAGCGAAGTTAGAGCGTACAACAATGCTGGTAAAGCAGGTTTAAACCTCTACTCTCCTCTCAACATCAATTGTTTCCGCGATCCACGTTGGGGTCGCGGGCAGGAGACTGTGGGAGAAGATCCTTTACACATGTCTAGGTTTGCTGTCAGCATCGTACACGGCCTTCAAGGCCCGCATGCACAGAACGAGGCAGAGGGGAACAAGCTTACTGTTGCTGCAACTTGCAAGCACTTTCTGGCCTATGATTTGGAGCAGTATGATCGAGGGGAAAGGTATCAATTCGATGCGATCGTCTCTAAACAGGATCTATCTGATTTCCACCTCCCGCAATTCCGCGCGTGCGTACGGGACGGTGGTGCTACCACCCTCATGACCTCTTATAATGCCGTCAACAATGTTCCTCCCTCCGCATCCAAGTACTACCTCCAAACGCTAGCAAGGCAAGCCTGGGGTCTCGACAAAACGCACAACTACGTCACATCCGATTGCGACGCAGTAGCAAACGTTTACGACGGTCATCGCTACGCTCAGAACTATGTCGAAGCAGCGGCGAAATCCATAAACGCTGGAACCGATCTCGATTGCGGTGCTACTTATTCCGAGAACCTTGGTGCGGCGCTCAAACAGAAACTCACGGATATCGCTACAATCCGTAGAGCTGTTATCCGCATGTACGCTAGTCTCGTTCGGCTCGGATACTTCGATGACCCTGCTAGCCAGCCCCTGCGACAGTTGACGTGGAAAGATGTTAACAGTCCCTCATCCCAGCGCCTTGCATATACCTCTGCACTCTCGTCCATCACTTTACTCAAGAATCTCGATAGCACTCTACCCATAAAGCAAAAGCCCACCAAGATCGCCATCATCGGTCCCTACACAAACGTATCAACTTCTTTCTCCGGCAACTACGCCGGACCAGCCGCTTTCAACATGACAATGGTGCATGCTGCATCACAAGTCTTCCCCGATGCCAAAATCGTTTGGGTCAACGGTACAGACATCTCCGGACCATACATCCCTAGCGACGCTCAAGACGCAGTGAAACTCACCTCTGATGCCGATTCGGTCGTTTTCGCAGGAGGCATCGACGCTTCTATCGAAAGAGAGAGTCACGATAGAAAAGATATCGCTTGGCCTCCAAACCAGCTCCGCCTGATCCACGAGCTTTCTCAATCGCGCAAGAAGGATAAAAAGTCCAAGTTGGTCGTGGTACAGTTCGGTGGAGGCCAACTCGATGGTGCCTCGCTCAAAAGCGACGATGCGGTTGGAGCTTTGGTTTGGGCAGGATACCCTGGGCAGAGTGCAAGTTTAGCTGTATGGGATATACTTGCTGGCAAAGCAGTCCCAGCGGGGAGGCTGCCGGTAACGCAATATCCAGCGAGTTATATCGATGGCTTACCAGAGAGTGCCATGTCTTTGCGACCCAAAGCTGGGTACCCGGGGAGAACGTATAAATGGTACAAGGGAGTGCCAACTTACCCTTTCGGTCATGGGTTGCATTACACTACCTTCTCTGCCTCTCTCGCCAAACCGCAGCCATACGCTATCCCGACTACCCCCGCAGCTAAGGGTCCGGAGGGAGTGCATGCAGAGCACATCAGCGTTGCTGATGTACAAGCGAACATCAAGAACACAGGTAAAGTCGCTTCTGATTATACAGCCCTCCTCTTCGCTCGACACTCCAACGGCCCAGCACCCTATCCTAGAAAGACTCTGGTGGGCTATACAAAGGTGAAGAACCTCTCTGCAGGTGAGGAAAGCAGTGTTACTATCAAGATCACCCAAGCAGCTTTGGCTAGGGCTGATGAAGAAGGAAATCAATTCCTCTACCCCGGCTCATATCAGCTAGAGTTGGATACTGAAGAGCACAGACTAGCTTCCACCACCCTAGTACTGACTGGGGAAGCGGTTAATGTAATTCCTTGGGTGTCGGGCGATATGTCCTAAACCCCCCCACCCCTTTCGGCGAGAGAGAGTGTGGATGATACTAAACAGCAGCGATAGAAGGAATCTTGAGCAAGCGCTGTACCTCTTTACCTCTCGTTCGCTGCTTCCTCCTCTTTAGGTCTCCAAACCGCACCTCCCCCTCCGCCACCCGCCACTGCTTCTCGGATGCGCTGAGCTCTTGTTCAGAAAGCTTACTCAACCTCTCGCCATCCTTGCGACTGCAACTGGGCAGGAGTGGCGATGAATAGGATATGGGCTGTTAGGGAGGTATTTATGGCTAATGTTTCTGGCATCCTTACCGCTCTCTCCTCCTTCTCCTCTAAGAGGGTGGAGGGGAGTGGACTAATTGAAGAATACAAAGTACGATAGGCTGTTTTGGAGCCACTATCAAGCACCTGTACCTCAGACGTATGACTTGTTGAATGCTTGAAATTTCTATGGTGAGATGTGGCTATATGAGCATATATATACCTTGGTACCGTCTAGGAACATGTTAGAATGATATGAGTCGCCTAGTTGAAGATTCGTCGGCATTTCAATGTGGTTCACGGGGTCTAATCGATTGACAATATGGCAAAGTCATGCATAAGTGATATGCATGTGGGATACATGAGCATTGCCATAGCAATGAGTCTGGAGTGACACAGGAAGTGACAACTCAGGAGTAACTCAGGAGTTGACTCATTTCAGCATAGAGTGCTCATAGGTAGTGCTAAGACACATATATACATTCACATGACTGTATCCATCCATAGTAATACAAGCATTCAAGAAGTCATACATCTGAGAACAAGAGCTTGCTAGTAGCTCCAGGCAATGCATTGTACTTGCAATCTTCAACTGATTAAGAGTCTGAAGCCCCATCGACCAAGCCAAGAAGCCCCATCAACAAACATGGTAGAAGAAACTGAAACCCCAGCTGGTGTTAGCAAAGCCAAAGGAGGCAGAAGAGGCAAGACAGTCCAACCAAGAGGTGGCAATGAAGCTGAAGCCAAAGTGCATGGCAATGATGCTGGTGAAGAAACCAACTCTGACTCAGACCTTGATGATGACAGCAAGCAGTACAACTTCTGAACCCTGGCAAAACTCTTCAAACCAGTCCCCAAACTTACATCACTCAACTACTATAGTTGGAGTGCTCACATCAAGTTGTTCCTCAGGACTGTGCCAAACACTATGAAGCACTTAGAAGGAGTCTACAATAAGAAGCATCCCAAGTGGAGCTGTATGTTCAATGATGTGTTAACCAATGCCCTATGTGGTACTGTCAACACCACCAGGGAACACAATATAAACTATCTGATCCTTGATATCATCAGAGAATACCATACATTCCACCAAGTATGGAAGAAGATTGAGAGTGGCCTGACCAATGAGGCCACAGCAACCTCATGCCAACTTGCACTCATCACTCAATTAGGAGATGTAAAGATGTTCAACTCCAATGCCCAGAAGCTCATCCAGGAAATCAGAGCTATCCAGACAGAGAGTAGTCTCCTGGGAAAGCCATTTTCAGACAATACTTTATTCTCAAACCTACAAAAGTGCACCATTTGCCACCCTACATACAAAGAGACCATTGCCACCATCAACCAGCTCAACTTCAATGCCCTTGCCACAGCCCTGATCATTTGTCAGTCAGCAATTGAAAATAACCCTGCCCAGAAAGTGGACCCCCACCAAGCCAGCACCAGAGTCGCTGGCAGCGATGATCAGGGTGAATTGACTGAGAAAGATGAAAAGGATGATGACCAGGTGAGTGCAAAAGCTGGAGCTAGACCCAGAAGAATTCGATGCTGGGTATGCAAACACCCCAGGCATGGAATCAAGCAATGCAATGCTTCAGTCACCATCCCTGACAACTCCCCTCTTGCCAAATCAGACTAGGAAGTCTGGTGCTCCTTCTCACCAGGTCAGCAAAAACCCCCAGACTTAAAGGAGACATCTCATTGGATCCTAGATTTGGGGGCCACCTACCACATGGTCAACAACCATAGCATGCTCATCTGTCCAAAGGCTTGCTGAAAGCATGTATTCACCACCAGAAGCAAAGTATTGGAAGCAATGGCTATGGGAGATGCTAACATATCAATGAAACATGGAGATATATTTCTTCAGAATGTATTATATGTTAAACATCTCAATGTTAACCTGTTGTCAACCAATTCACTAATGGATGAAGGAGCATGAGTGACATTAGATTCCACTGGCAGACAAATACATCTTGGAAATGGCATGTGTCACAGGGCCAGCGGGCCAGCGTATGAAGGGTGCACCAAATTGACCAACAGCATTCATGGTAATGTCACAGAGTCAGCAGATCAACATATGAAGGGAGTGCCAAATCGATCAGTGCCAAATCATCAGGAATTGATGAAGCTAATTGGGCTGGTAGCACATATGATTTATGAGATTGACCAAACTCTGGGTTCCAGGTTAATCTCATGAGGATCGATTGGAATCAGCCAGATCAGCATGCCTCAGCAAGTCAGCCAATATGAGCAAGTATCAGGAGATTCAGGAAGGAAGGTACTGGCATTAGAAGGAGAAGCATATGGAGATAACCACATGTAGGAGTGGGGGACTGAGCTCAGCATCATGCAGACAGTTACCACTCAAGGGGTGTGTGCATATAGCCACACAGGACCAAGCACAGGGGGTGACCACATGACCAAGGGGTTTGGTCATGAGGTCCAACAAGTGGCTAAGGGGATTCACAAGATAAGGTTGGGAAGGTGGTTGCTGGTGAAGAGAGAAGGAAGCAGTGAATGGATTGGTTAAACAAAGAGGAGGAGCTGTGTTGAAGGGGTCATCACACATCATCAAGTGGAAAGGGAGCATGAAGGCGAAAGGGCAGTGTTGCATAACCATTATGCTGTGCAGACAGTAGGGGCACAGCATCAAAGGGATCGATGCCAGCAGGAGAGACAGTGTCAAACAGGGGACAAAGGCCCCTCAAGAGGAACAGGATAGGTGTCACAGGTGACACCAATCAAATGCATAAATACTCTCATTCCACCATAGCATACAAGTGGATCCTCATCCACTCTACTTACTTACTTACTTTATACTTTACTCTTTACTTGACTCTTAGTTACATATCAGTGCAATAGCAGTGCTTTTGCAATGACCCTCAAATGTGTGTGTTGTATCACCATTAGGTGTCAACTGTAGGTGGTGTTCTCCAAACACTTTCAGTCCAGTTCTCAACTGTAGGCAGTGTTCTCCAACACTTGCAGTCCAGTCTCTTACTGTAGGCAGTGTTGCTTGACACTTGCAGTCCAGTCAGTTATTGTAGGCAGTGGCTCACACCTGTGGTCCAATAACTCCTGTCCTCTGTAGGCAATAAGTATATTGTGGTCCAGACAATGTCCAAGAGCATTATCAACAGTACTGCGAACATTTGTACTGTAAGGAGAGGGTATCACTCACTCTCCAATGAACAGCAAATGTGCTGCACAACCTCTGAATGGAGTGTTCAAGGAGGTCAGCCAAGACTTACCAGTTGAAGATGCCTGGTTACATTTAGTCAAAACATACTGAGTAGACCTTACTCAATCAACCCCATCTATACCAATCGAATAACACCCAAAACTAGTCTCTGGCGCGCGACCGCTTACAGCATGCTACTCAAGATAACCAAGAATCGCGAGCGAGGACTGTTGGAGCTTCGAGGCGATACATGGCTGGAGAGTGCAATGATAACATCAATACCATTACTTGAAGGTGTTGATGAGGAGCTCGAGCAAACTGAGAGCAAAACAAATGTATCCAAACAACAACTATGGCATGAATGTCTAGGGCACCCAGGCCAAGATAAGACAAGGGCCATCATCAACAAACTCAAAGACAAACACACAGTAGATATGGATCCAGACACTGCTCTGACATGTGAGCAGTGCATTCGATCCAAAAGTACAGTGGCCCAGATGGGACAAGGTAGCAGAGATAGGACTGCTTCTCTGCTTGATCTCATCCATATCGATTTGATAATTGACTCATCACACACAACTGAGCATACATGCATGCTAGTGCTTGTCGATGACCATAGCAAGTATGTGTGTGTGCAACCATTACTCAGAAAGAGCCATGCATTCACTCAACTCAAGAAGATGGTATCATTCCTCAAGACCCAGACTGGCAAAGAGCTAAAAGCAATATGTTCTGACCAGGGAACCAAATGGAGAAGCAATGAAGCTATGGAGTGGACACACAGCAAAGGAATAGAGTGGCAAATGATGGTGGGATACAATAGCTGACAGAACAGATGGGTCAAAAGAATGAACAGAAGTCTAGGTGAGAAGATGAGAACATTACTCATGCAAAGGAGATTGCCAAAGAGATTCTGGCCATATGCAATCTGGGCAGCAGCATTCAAGATGAATCTGACACCAAGTGTTGACAACAAGTTCCCATACCAAGTGATGTTTGGAAAGTCACTGGAGCAAATGATAAGCCTCATATGGGTATTTGGGTGTCTGGTGTGGGTGAACATACCAAGAGTCAAATGGGATAACAAGAAACTGGACCAGAGGGCTGTTGCATCTATATTTCTGGGTTATAGCCTAGAGAAAAGAGGATGGCTATTCTACAGTCCAGACTACAACCCCAACATATTCTGGAGTAACTCAGCAAGGTTTATGGAATCCAAATGCTGGTCTGATGAACAGAGTGGCAACCCATCAATGTGCATCTGCCACCAGCAGTATCAGATGAGGTGGACCTCAATGACCTAGGATACACCACAGAAAACCTCTTTGACAAAAGAGACAAAGAACCGCTAAATGAGCACATGGACATGCACCAGATAAATGAAATGAGTGAGGAAGAAACATCGAGTGATGACCCAAGAGAACCAACTGAACTCGAACCAAATGCTGAGACCTGGATTGATGGCAATCACACTGCTTTCATGGTGGCAAGCATCAGAAAGGGAAAGAATATGGACCCTACTGTTCAAGAAGCACTAGCTGGAGAAGACAGGAGGCATTGGGAGGAGGCAATGCAAAAAGAGCTAGAAGGTTTGGAAGCCATGGGCACTTGGGAGGTTGCCAATCTTCCCCCAGGCACAAGCACAGTGGACACAAAATGGGTGCTAAAGAACAAGACAGATGCAAACTTGATACCCATCAAGTTCAAAGCAAGACTGGTAGCATGGGGCTTTACTCAGAGAAAGGGTATTGATTACATGGAGGTCTTTGCACCAGTGGCACCAATACAATCCATTTGGGGAGTACTAGCAATCACAGCAATAAAAGATTGGGAAGTGCACTCAATTGATGTGAAACAGGCCTATCTCAACTTGAACCTTCACCATGACATGTACCTCAAACTGCCAGTTGGAACCAAGATACCCATTGGGAAGGCTTTAAAACTAATGAAAGGATTATATGGGCTAAAGCAATCAGGCTGAGAGTGGAACATTGAGCTCAACTCATATCTTCAAAGGATCAGCTTTTATTGCATGCCTAGTGCACCATGTTTATACTCAAGAGGAACTGGAAGCCAAATAACCATCATAATGGCATATGTAGATGATATGCTAATAGCCTCACCCAGCTGAGAGGAAGTAGATCACATGAAGAGAGAGATCATGACCAAGTGGGGAATGGAGGATAATGGACCTGTAAAAGAGTTCCTAAGCATCAAGATCAACCAAGACAGGATGGAAAAGTGAATATCCCTTGACCTGAAGGCATACATCAAAGCAATGGTGCACAAATGGTTAGAAACAACAAACAAAAAGTCCTGGGTACCCATGCAAGGAACAATGAGCATCACCAGAAGTGACAAATGCAACTCATCACAAGCAAAGCAATATCAAGAACTGGTAGGGCAATTACTATGGGTATCCAATACAGTACAGCCAGATGTATCATTCACAGTAGGAGTACTGGCACAACATATGACAAGCCCAATCAACAGTGCATGGAAAGTGGTGATTCACATGGTGAAGTATCTGAACCAGACATGTGAGTACCAATTGCATTTAGGTGGCAAACCAAACAAGCACATGGACCACCTGATAGTAACATACATGGATGTGAACTGAGCATCAGACCCAACAAATGACTGCAGAAGCACATCAGGAGCAATAACCTATGTGTATGGGTGTCCAGTCAGCTGGAAGTCATATGTTCAGAAATGTGTAGCATTGTCAGCAGTGGAAGCCAAATTCATAGCTGCATCAGAAGCCATAAGAGAAGCACTATTCTTTTCATATCTCCTCAAGGACTTAGAAGCTGGGGATGTTCAGCCAGTACTGTGCACAGACAGTCAAGGATGCATTCAAGTAAGTAAGGACCCAGCTAAGCATTGGAAGCTGAAGCATATTGATGCCCAATATCACTTCATTTGAGACCATGTCCAGGAAGGAGACATCACAATCAAATTTGTAGGAATGATTGACAATGTTGCAAATATTCTAATGAAGCCATTAAAGGGGCTGAGCACATCCTGGCTAGCTCAGTCAATAGGATTGGAAATGCCATCAAGAGGGGGAGTTGAAGATTTGTTGGCATTTCAATGTGGTTCACGGGGTCTAATCGATTGACAATATGGTGAAGTCATGCATAAGTGATATGCATGTGGGATACATGAGCATTGCCATAGCAATGAGTCTGGAGTGACACAGGAAGTGACAACTCAGGAGTAACTCAGGAGTTGACTCATTTCAGCATAGAGTGCTCATAGGTAGCACTAAGACACATATATACATTTGCATGACTGTATCCATCCATAGTAATACAAGCATTCAAGAAGTGATACATCTGAGAACAAAAGCTTGCTAGTAGCTCCAGGCAGCGCATTGTACTTGCAATCTTCAACTCGCCTTCTGTAGTACCTGAGTTGTCATCTTATGCATTACTACTGGATCGTTGCTATGGCACATCGCTCATGCACGACTTGGCTTTATCGGTGTCTCGCTTGGACCCCGTGAATGCCGTTGGAATGCCAACGTATCTCCAACAGGTCTGCTGCCCTGCACGATTGCAACACGAGGGCAGTAGTAATTTTTAACTCGCTTCGGCTGACAAGAGAATCTAATCAATGCGTGAGATGTTGATGAGTGAGGAACCTTTTTGCGTCCCTCGTGTGGTTCTCTGCACCCACGCACGCTCTACCTCTTGCAGGATATCTGCGCAACAAGACTGTGGGATCCAGCTGCATTTCTAAACAAGGCTATGGGAAGAAGAGGGGAGAGGGAAAGTGTTGGTGTTGAAGAAATTTGCTGTGCTGTTTCCGGCCAAGTGGGGCTAATTTACAGGCATTTGGCCGTTTTCGTTTGCCGCTGTCCAATATCGCGCAGCAAAGGCTCGTGAAGAAGGAGATGACGCAGTTGTGGTTGGACAAGCTTTCTGTTGAGCTGGGCGGGTTGTGTAAGACGGATAGGTGTGAAGGGTGTGGGTTGAGTGAGACTTTGGACAGTGAGAAGGTGAAAGCGGCGATGGCAAGTATGTCTCAGCGGAGAAGTCGATATGCGTATACAGTGTATTTGGCTGCGGGGCAGAACTGTCAAGTAGAGCAGCAATATTTGGATGGTGTGGGAAGCAACGGCCTAACAACGACGGGATAATTCGAGCGTGGTGGCGGTGCTCGACGCTGCATCCTTCCTCTCTCTCTCCTCACCATCCCCATCGTCGGCGCTGATACACACCCAACACAACCTCGATTGATGTTGGCTTTGACGCGACCAGCGTCCACTCGACTTCCCCTGCGTTCAATCAGGACTACACTCGTCACTGCTGAACCCCTCGCTTGGATTGGCACCATGTCCACCAGGAAGGGCAAGCCATCTGGACAGATGCCTACGTTCGAAAACACGCCTCTTCCCGATTTCTCCCTGGCAGCAAGTTTATCTCCACCGCAGCCTTTCTGGTCATCGGAGACGAGGTGCTTAATGGCAAGACGAAAGATTGCAACTCGAACTATTTTGCTAAATTCTGTTTCGACGTTGCTATCGAACTCAAACGGATCGAAGTGGTTGCTGACGATGAAGAAAGGATCATTGAAGCGGCACGTCGACTTACCGCTCAATACGACTTGGTAGTTTCTTCTGGTTGGGATTGGACCGACACCGGATGACATTACGTATCAGAGTATGGTCAAAGCTTTTTTCTGAAGCGGGAGAACTGGGTTACGATCAACAAGTCATCTGCCGGATGCAAGAGAATTCAAAGCTTCGCCAGGTAAACACGAATGCTATCACAGATGAAATGCTCTCAGCTAGAAACAGAATGGCTTTACTCGCACAACAAAACGCACAAACCATCTTCCCCACCACCACACTCTGGCTCCCCATCGTCCACATGGCAGGAAAACTATACATCCTTCCAGGAGTGCCGAAACTATTCGAAACACTGTTCGCCATGCGAGATCACATGCGCCTCGATGCAAACCGCTGCAGACCTTACCGAGTATTGATGCACAGGCGACTACGAGAAAGTAACATCTCTCCCTTGCTAGTAAAGCTAAGCGAGAAATGCAGAGAAATGCACATCAAAGTCGGCAGCTACCGAAAATGGAACGAGGGCGTACAAGTTTCTCTGATCGGAAAGGATTGGAGTGAATTGGAGAAACTCATTGCGGAAGTACAGGAGGCAGTGCAGGGAAAGTTAATCGAAAGTGTTGAGGAACACGGTCAGGTCAAGATAGCGAGTGGTGAAAAACGTTTATTTCGTGAGAACTAAGTTGTCAAGAGTATATATGCTTCTTTGGTCAGTATGTGATGATGAGGTGCCACGTATGACTACATGCTTGTTGAATGAGATAGGCGTCCTTGGTGGGAGTTGACGGATGGCGACGCTGAGCGAGGTTTGCGGAAATGTCGGGAAATGACTAAGCAGTCATGCGTTTTTACTGAAAGTAAACCCAGTTGGCAAACGGTAGAGGTACAGAGAAACTTGGCAACAGCATAGAATGTAACATCGCCAAGAACCGTGTGACACTGTGAGGAACCATGCTAAACAATAGCTCAATTTCAGAGACAGAAAGCGTACAACAACTGCACTTAATCAAGGGGATCCTCGTCAATCCTGGCATAGTCTTGACTATCCGCGTCGTCCGACATATCTTGATCCTCCACCCCGCCATTATTCGCACTGGCGTGGTTGGGTATGACGACCAACCCGTTTCTGTGCTGGTCGAACTTGACTTGGATCTGTGCATCCTCCTTGATATTGATCCTAGCTGACAAAATCAGGATGGACAAAGGCGACAAGAGTTCCTGCTGAATCGACCTGTTCAATGGACGAGCACCCATGGTAGGCGAAAAGCCAGTAGCCACCAGAAAGTCCTTTGCACCTTCATCGAGCACGAGCTTCGACTTGCCACCGTTGGCTTGGATGCGCTGCTCGATCTCGCGCAGACGAACATCGACAATCGACTTGACGTTGCGACGTGAGAGCTTGCTGAACACAACGATGCTATCGATTCGGTTGACAAACTCGGTAGGCATGGCGGCTTTGATGCTACCCATGACAAGTTGTTTGGTTGCCTCGGTCATCTCTTCAGCCTGAGACTCGTTGATGTAGGCGGACCCGAGGTTTGAAGTCATGATGATGATGGTATTTCGGAAGGAGACTTGGCGACCCTGGCTGTCCTGTAGACGACCCTCGTCAAGAACACCGAGGAAGAGCTGGATGAACTCGCGTGATGCTTTCTCGATCTCGTCGAGTAACACAATACTGAAGGGCTTGCGTCGAACGGCTTCTGTCAGAACACCTCCCTCTTCGTGACCAACATAGCCCGGTGGAGCGCCAATGAGACGCGAGATCGAGTGCTTCTCCGAAAACTCGCTGCAGTCGATGCGAACCATGGCATCCGCCGAATCGAACATACACTTGGCCAATGTTCGGCTGAGCAGCGTCTTACCTGAACCGGAAGAACCAGCAAAGAGGAACGATGCGATCGGTCGGTTGGCATCCGCGAGGCCAGAGCGTGACAGTCGAATGGCTTGAGCGACGCTCTTGACTGCTTCCTCCTGACCAATGACCTCCTTGGCCAGTGTGCGTTCCAGACGGAGCAACTTGTTCTTCTCCGACTCGAGCATGCGCGAAACAGGGATACCCGTCCAGCGCGAAACAATGGTGGCGATCGCATCAGCAGTGACCGAGTTGTTGTCCGAGTTGAGACCTTCCTCCTCGCGCTTGCGCTCAGCAGCCTGAAGTTGCTTCAGCTTCGCCTCGAGATCAGGTAGAGCGTAGAACTTGAGATCGGAAGCAGTGGCCAGGTCGTAGCGACGCTCGGCTTCGGCGATCTTGGCGCGAACTTCTTCCATCTTACGTCGAACGTTGTTCATCTCCTCGCCCTTGGCCTTCTGCGCTTCGAAAGCAGCCTTGATGGGGGCGAGCTCATCATCGATGGCCTGAATCTGCTTCCTGGTCTCCTCGAGCGACTGCTTGGACTGGACATCCTTCTCTCGAGAGAGGGCATGGACGGCAATCTCGAGCTGGAGACGCTTGCGCTCCAGCTTGTCGACTTCTTCGGGAACAGTCTCTCGCGAAACCCTAACGTCGGCACAGGCTTCGTCGACAAGGTCGATGGCCGAGTCGGGCAAGCGTCGATCAGTGAGGTAACGCTTAGCCAGCTGTGCTGCCGAGACGATGGCCGAGTCGAGAATGCGAACACCGTGGTGAACCTCGTACTTGTCGCGGATACCTCGCAAGATGGCGATGCAGTCCTCGACCGAGGGTTCGTTGACGAGGATAGACTGGAAACGACGCTCGAGTGCAGCGTCCTTCTCGATGTACTGTCGGTATTCGTTGGCAGTGGTGCAGCCGATGACACGGAGCTTGCCACGTGCAAGCATGGGCTTGAGCAGGTTGGCAGCGTCCATGCCTCCGCCTGAGCTGCCCTGACCAGCCATGAGAAGATGCATCTCATCGATGAATAGAATGCAGGGTGTGCCGTCTGCAGTCATCTTCTCAATGTCGGATAGCACCGACTTGACGCGCTCCTCGTATTCACCGCGGTACTTGGCGCCGGCCATGAGACCACCGACGTCAAGACTGAGGATCTTGCCGAGGAGATTGGGAGGAACATCGCGGTCGACGACACGCTGAGCAAGACCTTCGACGATAGCGGTCTTACCTACACCAGGACTACCAATAAGGACGGCGTTGTTCTTGGTCCTTCGAGAGAGAACGCGGACCGCTCGACGGATTTCAATGTCTCGACCGATGACGGGATCGAGCGAGCCCTCGGCAGCGAGCTGGGTGAGATCGGTGCAGTACTTGGCGAGAGCATCGTAGCCTGCTTCTGCGCTCTTGCTGTCGATGTGGCGACCGCCTCTTGCTTGTGTGATGGCAGTCTTGATGAGTTCTTGATTGACGAGACCAGCCTCCTTGAGAAGCTGCTCAATGCTCTTGTCCTGGATGAGGCCGAGGAGGATGTGGTCTTGAGCGATGTAGGCATCGCGCTGGCTACTCTTCTGACTCTCAGCTTCCTTGAGTACTTTGACGGCCTGGTTGGAGAGGCTAACGTCGTCGGGTGGAGGAGACTGAGAGGGGATCTTGCGGAGCGTGGTTCGAAGCTTGTCTTCAAAGAGTTTGATATCGACGCCTGCCTTGGTGCAGATGCTCTTGAAGAGTGACTGGCTGGATTCGTTGGTAGACTGAACGCCTTGCGAGTTGGACGTGTCGTCTGTCAAAAGAGCCAGAGCAATGTGAGCTGGAGCAATCTGAGGGTGGGAGTGATCTTTGGCAAGCTGAAGTGCTGCCGAGACCGAAGTCTGAGCTCTATCGGTGAACTCGAATGACATTGTAGTTGAGATCGAGCGAGACTAGATGCGAGCGATGCGAGCGATGCGAGAGATGCGAGAGATGCGAGAGATGCGAGAGAACTGGAACTGGTACAGAGATGGATAGAAAACTGCTAGCTGAGAGAATGTAATGCGTAGATGTGGAGAAGGATGCGATGCAGATGATGGAGATGCGAGAATACGTTTGAGCGTTGAGCGTAGTCGAGACGCTGGGTATGTATGAACAATGACGTTCGGTGTGTGAGTTGCTCGAGAGTGTTTGGTAGTGGTCGTGGTTGTGGAAGAGAGGGAAAGTGGTGAGGATGGAGGCGAGTGGGGGCTGTTTATATCCACTTTCCAACGTCTGGACACTGAGTTGTGCTGCCAGAATGTGCTCCGAGAAAGTGACAGCTGAGAAGAAGAAGAAGAAGAAGAAGAAGAAGAAGAAGAAGCGAGACGTGCGCCTGAGAAGGCACTGGAAAAGTGGCGAAACCTCGACACTGAACCAGCGCTTTCCAGCCGCTTCTCCACTACTCGATTTTGCTTGGCTTGCAGAACAAGCTTTATCTCCCGATTCGATGATTGCTTTCCCCGATCTTTCGACTCACCAACACGTGTAGTAGCAAGCAGAGTTCGTCGCAAGACCTCCGACGTTGCCACGAACTTGGCCCCTTATCTCGGTCGCGCCCGGCCAAGCGCAGTCAGAACCAGATGTGTGCGGATAGACGATCGATTGCTCAGCATATCATGTGTCGACATGGGCATTACAAAAAAAAAAAAAAAAAAAAAAAAAAAAAAAAAAAAAAAAAAAAAAAATGAGCAACGGTTGCGATCAGAGGCGGTTGCCCGGGGCATGTGCTTGCTGTGAATACGTCTGATACGCGCGAGACGGTGCTGTCTGTAGCGGAGGTGAGCCAGGCTGATGAGTAGGCGAACCTTGCTTGGTCGACACGCTGGCCCTTCCAGGCAAAAACTCGCCAAGGCCGAGGCTATTGCGCTGCTTCTCCTGAGAGTTGCTCTGCTCTGCTCGCCACTGTCGCAAGTCTCGGGGCAAGAAGGCCAAGCCGGCGAGATAAGCGAGTGCCAAAAGACTTGCCCAGACCCACAGGATCCACCCCGCCCATCGTGGTGCACCCCAAGACCACAGGCTCAACCCCTCGGTAGCATTCCAGATGGCCAACACGGTAACGCCAAGTCCAATGACGACATGGACAATTCTGGATGGGTTGAAACGTTTGGTCTTGTGGCCCAAGACACCGAGTAGGCTCTGGAGGATCATAATGATAAAGATGGCCAGACCAGCTTTGGCGTGGGTACTGTCAAAGTGCTCACCGCCGGACGAAGAGGTCTGAGCGACAATGATGATAAAGCCGATCAGGACAAACAGAAAGGCAGTGGCCATCACGGCTCGGTGGACTGGGAACCACTTGAACATGGTCCTTCCGTATCGACCGATCAGGATGCCAGCAGGTACCAACAAGAACCAAGCTACAATCATAAAGACCATGTGGGCGATGATGACATTGTTGCGCTTGTTGAGGATACGTCTGCCGCGATTCTGATTCGAGCCCGGCTTGAGCGAACCGCTTCCGCTGGCACTGCTGGAGCTTGAGGCAGAGTCGTAGGGCTTTGTAAGGTCGAGATTGAAAAAGCCGTACGCATTGTGACGATGGATGCTGGCGGTGGTGCTAGCTGCAGGATTGTCGTTCTTATTGCTGGCCCAGATGAAAGGTGTCGTGGTGCTGGGAGCTGGATCAGAGGCGGACAATGGGAAGGACCATGCCCAGACGGTGCCAGAGCTGTTGGAGAAGGAAAACCTGTGCTCGAGATTGGCAGCTAGAGCTGTGATGCTGGTGCTTGGGGTATCATGGCCTGAGGTTGTACGTTGGGACATGACAACATTACCGGCAGTGTCGACCCATCCGATCTGTGGCGATGATAGAAAGGCGGCGAACAAGCAACAGGGTGATTAGTGAGTAAGGCTAGTCTCAGATCGTCTAGAGCAGCCAGACAGCAGAGAGATTGAAGGTGCCGACTTACCATCATGTTGGATTTGTCCATCTGACTACCAGTGCCGACAGCGTGCCAGCCGATGGGAGCCCCACCGCCGCTGGCAGTCATGGTCATATTGTACCTCTGTTCAGAGGGGCTGTAGACGACGCGCAGACACAGGTTCTGCGACAACAAGCCAACGAAAGAAGCAAGATGATCAGTTCAAGAGTTCAGGTGTAGTCAAGAGACAGGATCAAGCCAAGCCAAGGGAAACACTTACAGAACTGCATGCTGAGTCTGCAAAAAGCGAGTCGCTTGAAGTCGATTGAGCAAACGCAGCAAGCGCCGATAGGAGGAAGAGGCAGCATGCCGTGATGAGAGTGTGCAGCCGCAGCATGATGATCGCACGCTTCTCTGCCCAAAAGCAACTGTTACAAGAGAGAGAGGGAGAGAGGGAGAGAGGGAGAGAGAGAGAGGGAGGGAGGGAGGGAGAGAGAGAGAGAGAGAGAGAGAGCGCGCGGAAGAACGACGTCGAGAAACGGCGATTAGGCAAGCAAAGGGGAAGGCAGGGGATGGTGCTTGAAAGACTCGGAAGATGCCTTGTTATATATATGAGTTGGGAGGAGGATGCCGCTTTCGAGGATGCCGCTTTGGGAAAGGACGAGGATATTGTTTTCGTTTGCTGACACACTGAACAGCGCCCCTTGTTGTGGTGATGGTCGGGATGAGCCGATGGAAAGAGCCAAGGGCAAGGGAGGGAGAGTCGAGTTCGGTACCAGCCGAGGAGGATTCGAGAGAGGAGCCGGTTGTGATTCGGCAGGAAGAGAGAAACGGCACGGCGGGAGGGTTGAGGTAAAAGAGCACTGAGAGGGCGCCTGCCGAAGGGATGTGATGGTGTAGAAGCAAGCGGCGCGGCGCAGCAATGGCGAATGGAAAGGTAAAGAAGCAATCAAGAGCCAAAGATCACACTCAGATTCCGGGTTGTCCGGGTTGTATCCGACAGAGGACCTGGGTGAGTGAGGCTGTGAAGGGCAGACCGTGGTGGTGGAGGCGTGAGAGAGAAAGAGAGAGAGAGAGAGAGAGAGATCTCATGGTGGGGACGGGCTTGGGAACAAGCTCAAGCCTCGACAACTGAGACGCTGGTGGGTGCTCAAAGTTGTTCTCACGATGCCACACCTCATCTGCGGATGCCTCCGACGGGCAACGTCTCTGCCTCTCTACGTGGATTGACTTGAGATACGATTGATTGCTAAGCTCAGCTACACGTTGAGCAGAAGCATGATCGAACAGCGTGAGAAGCAGCGGGACATGAGGAGAACCAAAGGGTTTGGCCATCCCGAAGAAACGCCGGTTTAGAGCTCGTGATGACAAACGTGATGAGATCTGCTGGCTCTTTGTTCAGAAGTCACAGCTGTGCTCACGCAGAGATATTAGGTGTTGCATCCAAGGCTACAACCCAGGCAGCAACAGCAGCAACAGGAGCAGCCGCCGCAAACAACATCTGCACAGCCAAGCGGTCGAGTCGCATGCCAACATCACGCTAGTTTGCAGGAGAGCCAAGGCTTGAATGAAATCGACAAGAAGAGAAGAACAACACAGCGCCAAACCGGACAGTCCAGAGCACATTGGCCGTGGAGGTGACAGCGAGACAGCGCATGTAAGCGAGCAAGCGAGCAAGCGAGCAAGGAGCCAAATTGCGCAAGGAACGACACGAGAGAGCCAAATTGACGGCCGCCTGCCACGAGAGGGAGTTGAAAATGGCGCAGAAGCGTTTGCTTGATGATCTTCACTGTTGCTGCAATTGAACCGCACCGCACGGCATCATATTTTCACAACTTGGCTCCGATTCTCCTTTACTGTAAGCAACGGCAAGGCCGACAAACCAGGCCGGCCTTTTGCTTTCTCTGTTAAGCTTCCAACAGCAGCTTTCCCACGGTGGGCTTGAGAGGATCCGCTGTGAGTCTGAGGCTGCAAATGAATCAGGGCTCAGATGGGGCTAGAGCGCATCAGAAACAAGCCTTTATCGTCGCTCGACCCTTTATCATGCTCGGGCGATGCGCTGCTCAGCACCATGCAGCCCTCCTCCGGTCAGAGCCCAAATGGAAATTCTTTATCACGGCCACACATCCTTGTCGGCTCCTCCGTCTTTAAGCGCATCTGTTCTTTATGCTTGTCCAGCTATTCTGGCGAGATTTCGGAGCAAGCCCGAAGCTGACACATGCCGTTCAGCAGAAACAGAGTGACGTGGTGTGTCTAGCGTAATTGGGCCCAAGTAAGGATTGCGATCGGGAGAAAGAGACCAACTGTACTTGCAAGGGTCACATCCAATCAGCTGGAAAGAAAGAGAGAGAGAGAGAGAGAGAGAGAGAGAGAAAGAGAGAAAGAGGGAGAGATTCCGTCCAGGCCGAACTGACTGGCCTTCATGCCGCCGGCTTTGACGCCTCTGTCTTTTCTCTGCGAATCAGAAATGGGAGGGAAAGGCACTTCTCTGGGCCGAGAAGCGACCGTTGAATCTCTTCAGCCTTGCATCGGGCGATCCATTCTGTCTTGGCCTTGAATCTAACCCGATCTCACAGAGCATTGACCCGACACAGCCTCGTTGTAACCCTCGGCAGCTGGTAAGCAAGGATACTCTCGTCTTGATTCAGTTGAAGATGTGTCGGCAACTCAAGCAAGATGCACGTGTCACGGCTGAGACACCGAGGCACAGGAGGCTTACTTAAGTGAGAAGCACAATGAGATATATGATTGTTGTCATGGCAACAGCTCAGTGGCACTCAGTATCATAGCAACATAGGAGTACGAATGAAGTGACATGTCCCGCCTTGGATAGGACTAGAGTGGCGAATGGAGTATATATACATGTTTGTCATTTAGGTTCACACTATGAAAACTAAGCATTACATAGAACATACAACTGTTGTTAAAGGGAGTCTGATCATGACCCCAATAACACTGTGTATTAATTGTTATCTTCAATTGATTAAGAGTCTGAAGAAGCTATCACCGAGCCAACCGAAACTCATCAACAACAATGGTAGAAGACACTGAAATAAGGGTCAAAGGAAGCAGAAAAGGCAAGAACACCCAGGTTTGGGTAGACAATGATGCCACAAACGAGAATGAGCTGGAGGTCATCGACAATGAAGCCGACGAAGACACTGACTCTGACTCCGACTTCAATGATGGCAACAAGCGATATAACTTTCACACCCTAGCAAAACTCCTCAAACCCATGCCAAAGCTCACGTCATGCAGCTATTATAGCTGGAGCACTCACGTGAAATCTTTCCTCTGATCTGTGCCCCATGTGATGAAACATCTTGAGGGAACATATGACAAGAAGCACCCAAAATGGAGCTGCTCCCTCGATGATGCTTTAATTAATGCCCTGTGTGGAACAATCGACACTACCGGAGAACACAATGTAAATTACCTCATTCTAGATGTAACCAAAGAGTACCTTACTTTCAATCAAGTATGGAGAAAGATCGAAAACAGTCTCATGAATGAAGCCACCAAAACATCTCACAGACTTGCACTCATCTCGCAGCTCAATGATACAAAGATGTTTCACTTGGATGTCAGAAAGCTAATTCAAGAGATCTGGTCCATACAGACTGAAAGCAGCCTCCTCAGCAAACCATTTGCCGATGATACATTGTTCTTGGCTCTGCAGAAATGCATGATCCGGCATCTGGTGTATAAGGAGACAGTTGCTACCATCCATCAAATCGACTTCAACACCCTAGCCACTGCACTAAGCATCCAGCAGACTGCTGTTGAGAGCATTCCCGCGCAAAAGATCGACCCCCGACAAGCCAGCACTAGAACCACTGGCAACAACGATCAAAATGAATGGACTGGAGAGACCGAAGCTGAGGCTGACAACAGCCATGTGAGCTTGAGGAATGCAGGCAGACCATGCCAAATCTGATGCTGGATCTGCAAGTGACCTGGGCATGGTATTAGCCAATGCAATGCCTCGGTCACCATCCCCAAAGACTCCTGCCTCGCTAAACCTAAATAGGAAGCATGGTGCTCCCTCACCCTCCCATTGAAGTGGCAAGACCCCCCAAACACAAAAGAGACAGCTCATTGGATCTTGGATTCAGGGGCAAGTTATCATATGGTGAACAACTATAGCATGCTCATCCATCCGAGAACTTGCCAAAAGTGGATAATTACCACCAGAAGCGAGGTCTTGGAAGTGGCAGCTATAGGAGATGCAAGCATATCAACAGATTATGGGGAAATCTCCCTACAAAATGTATTATATGTGAAGCACCTTAATGTTAACCTTCTGTCAATGAATTCATTAACGGATGAAGGAGCACGAGTGATATTGGACACAACCAGCAGTCAAATTTTTCTAACAAACGGCATGACACTTAAGATTGCAAGAATCATGAGCGAGGACTTTTGGAGTTCCGAGGCAACACATGGCAAGAAAGCACGATGGCCACATCAACACCATTGTTTGAAGGCATTGATGAGGAGTTCGAGCATATTGAGAATGAGCTGAAAGTTTCAAAGCAACAACTATGGCATGAGCATCTCAGACACCCAGGGAGGGATAAAACTAAGGCAATCATGAGCAAGTTAAAAGATAAGCATACCATGGAATTGGATCCAAACACCACTCTGACATGTGAGCAGTGCATACGATCCAAGAGCACAAGTGCTCGAATGGGGCAAGGTAGCGGCGAAAGAGCCATAGGGCCCCTGGATCTTATCCATACCGATCTAATAATAGATTTATCCCACATGACAGAGTACACATGCACATTAGTGCTGGTCGATGACCATAGCAAGTATGTGTATGCACAGCCATTGACACAAGAGAGTCATGTGTTTATGCAACTCAAAAGGATTGTTTCATTCCTGGCAACACAGATGGATTGGAAGCTAAAAGCAATCCGATCCGATCAAGGAACTGAATGGAGAAGCAATGATGCATTGGAATGGTCGCTAGAAAGGGGCATAGAGTGGCAAACCACTGTAGGATACAACAGTAAACAAAATGGACGGGTAGAGAGAATGAACAGGACACTTGGAGAAAAGACAAGTACATTGCTAATGCAGAGGAGACTACCCAAGAAGTTCTGGCCATATGCAATCAGAGCTGTGGCATTCAAAATAAACCTCACTCCAAGCGTTGATAATGAATTCCCTTACCAAGTCATGTTCGGCAAGTTGCCGGAGTGAGCTTTAAGACTTCTATGAGTGTTTGGTTGTCTGGCATGGGTAAACATACCCAAAGTCAAATGGGACAACAAGAAACTGGACCAGCGAGCTGTCGCATCCATTTTCTTGGGATACAGTCTAGAGAGAAAGGGCTGGCTATTCTACAGCCCAGACTATAATCTGAACATATTCTGGAGCAATTCAGCAAAATTCATGGAATCAAAGTGCTGGTCAGACAGAATGGAGTGGCGACCAGTTGACACAAAGGCGCCCCCAGCAATGATGACAGAAGAGAACTTTGAAGATCTAGGATACAACAAAGAAAATATATTCGACAAAACAGATGAAGGGCCACTACAAGAATACATGGATATGGAGACAGATTTGGAAGAAAGATTAAGCAGAGGAACAGTGGAAGTGATGGAACAAGGACCAATTGCCAAAGCCCAGATTGACAGTAAATCTTTTGGACTCATGGTGACGTGACCAGAATGGAGAAAGAACCTGGACCCAACTATACATGAAGCAATGAATGGAGAAGACAGAAAGCACTGGGAAGAAGCCATGTGAAAGGAGCTGGATGGGTTAGAAGCGATGGGCACATGGGAGATTGCCGACCTCCTGAAGGGTGCAAACACTGTTGACACACATTGGGTACTCAAGATCAAAACAGATGCAAACCTTGTGCCGACAAAGTTCAAAGCCCGGCTCATGGCACGAGGTTTCACCCAACACGAGGGCATCGACTACACAGAGGTCTTTGCACCAGTAGTGCCCATCCAATCCATTCAAGGGGTGATCGCCATTGCAGCAATACAAGACTGGGAAATAGACTCTATTGACGTAAAACAAGCATACCTGAACTCTACTATACACCATGATGTATATCTAAAGCCCCCAGTAGGAATCAAAGTACCACCCAGAAAAGTGTTGAAGGTAGTGAAAGGACTGTATGGTCTGAAACAATCAGGCTGAGAATGGAACATTGAGTTAGACTCACATCTCCGGACAATCGGTTTTCATTGCATGCTGAGTGCACCATGCTTATATTCAAGAGGGACAGGCAACAAGATCACGATCATTACAGCATATGTGGACGACATGCTGATAACATCACCCAGTCGTGATGAGGTAGACTGCACTAAGCAAGAGATCATGGACAAATGGGAGACACAAGACAATGGGAGAATCAAAGAATTTCTGGGTATCAAGATCACATGTGATAGAAGGCAGAGGAAGATATCTCTGGGTCTAATGGCATACATCAAAGAAATGGTGAACAAATGGTTAGGAGGAGCAAATGAGAAATCTTGGGTACCTATGCTGAGTGTAGTGAACATTGCTGGAGGTGAGAGATGTGACCCCCAGCAAGCAAAGAAGTACCAAGAGTTGGTTGGCCAACTATTATGGGTCTCCAACACAGCCCGACCAGATATTGCCTTCACTGTTGGCATATTATCATGATACATGTCAATCCCGATCGACAGTGCATGGAAGGCAGCTATTCATGTGGTAAAGTACCTGAACCAGACAAATGAATATCAGTTACACTTAGGAGGGGAGGCAAACGAGCACTCGGATACACCGGTAACGATGTATACCAAGGCAAACTGGGCATCTGACCCCACAAATGGATGAAGGAGCACCTCGGGGTCAATAACATATGTGTATGGATGCCCAGTGAGTTGGAAGTCTCATGTTCAAAAATGTGTAGCATTGTCAGCAGTCAAAGCAGAGTTCATCGCTGCTTCCAAAGTGGTGCAAGAAGCATTGTTCTTCTCATACTTGCTCTGGGATTTGGAGATCACAGACATTTGGCCCATACTATACACTGATAGCCAGGGATGCATACAGGTGAGTAAAGATCCAGCCAAACACTGGAAGTTAAAGCACATCAACACATGGTATCACTTCATCTGCAATCATGTGCAAGAGGGTGATGTGGCAATCAAACATGTTGGGACAGCAAACATTGTTGCAGATGTCTTAACAAAACCTTTACAGGGTCTCAACACCTCACGATTGGCTAGGATGATAGGGCTGGAGATCCCGCCAAAGGGGGGAGTTGAAGATGCATTGGCAACTCAAGCAAGATGCATGTGTCACGGCCAAGACACCGAGGCACAGGAGGCTTACTTAAGCGAGAAGCACAATGAGATATATGATTGTTGTCATGGCGACAGCTCAGTGGCACTCAGTATCATAGCAACATAGGAGTATGAATGAAGTGACACATCCTGCCTCAGATAGGACTAGAGCGGTGAATGGAGTATATATACATGTTTGTCATTTAGGTTCGCACTATGAAAACTAAGCATTACATAGAACATATGACTGTTGTTAAAGGGAGTCTGATCGTGACCCCGATAACGCCGCGTATTAATTGTTATCTTCAATTGATTCTTTCCAACCATTCTGGCGATCCAGCTGGACAACTTTCTTTGGCCGGGTCTTAAGCGCTTCTCCGCTTGATACTAAACAAAGCACAGCCTCATGCACTTGCTTGCATGTCGATTCCATCTCGAGAAACCATGGGCCACAAAGATGTGTGTCACACGCGATATGCTTTGGAAGCCAACAAAGACAAAGAAGCGACGGCATCGAGGAGACAGGCACTGCAGCATGACCCTTTCAGCTGTCAGGTCAGACACGTGGACTTTTTCTTCGAATATGTTAAGATAGCAGCATTAACATTGTACCTTTGAAAGTGCATCTTGGGATCGGGGATTTTGCGAATCGATCAGCGGCACATCTAACCCTATCTCCAATCAGATCGTCCTTCGATCTCCGATCAGATCGTTCTTTGCCCGATCCCTTTTGTAGCTGCTTACGTCAACCAACATCATCATAATATTGGAACGTCATTCTCGAATGTCAAACCTAAACCCTTCACCCTTCACCCTTCACCCATGCTCCCTTCTTCCCTCCATCCTTTCATCCTTTCATCGCTTTGGCCCTTTTGTTCGCTCTTTGACTTGTGGTCTTCTCGCTGTAAGAGGGCCGAGGGTATTGCCTTTGCTTGACCTTTCACCGATGCAAGTGCCCACCACCCTCAACCCTAAACAAAGCCTCTCCCTTGCCTCAATATCCGCCCTTCAGCAAGAGGTTCAGTATCGCTCTTCGAATCCATTCGTTCGCTTCACTGTTGACCGATTGACCATGAACCTTGAAGGTCTTGTTCCCCTCGCCCCTCGCGCATTCTCGTCAACAGTGCGTCCGTTGTCCTTCTCAGCTTGATGATCAGCCAGTAGTAAAATCGCCTTCCTTGTCCTTTCCCCATCCTGTGCCGTGTCTGATGTTATTCTTGACGATCGTCGTTGGTCGTTCGCTTCTCGTCTATTGGCTGCGCCCAACCGTGGCCATGTTCTACCCTTTACCCTTGCTTTGCCCTTACCCTCGCCCCTCTCTCCGCTTTCTCTCCTACCCTCGTGCTTGCTTCAGCTCTCGTCGGTGGGTTGAAGGATTGATTGCTTATCATGCTCCCTGTATTGTCTCCTGTCTCCTGTCCCACCACCGCCGTTACCAGAAATGACGATCTTTTCTCATGCTCCTGTCCTCATGTCATCCGAGCCCGCTCACCACGCCTCAACGTGGCCACCGCCAGCAAAATCCCCTCAACCCTCAAACCAACCCCCCCCCCCCCCCCCCCATCCGCCCTCGGCTTACTAGCCTCACACAGCTTACTTTCTGTCTCCTACCTTGAACTCCGTCTTTCTTGTTTAGCTATGCCCAGCTGTCACCGTTTCTCGGTCAGGCCTTGTCCTCCTCGCCTCTCAGCCCACCGATCCGTATGAGACATTGAGCTCGATGCCCTCCAGAATATAAAGGCAGTGATCGTCTGATATCTCTTGTTGCGCCCCTTGATCCTTCCCACCCCCTTGCCTTGGCTTGACATCCTTCACTGCTTCGATCGATACCAGCCTCGTCTGCCATCATGTCCGACTCCAAGTCCCTTTCTGACTACGACATCGAGAAGGATCAGGCTCGCCGCACCCCTTTCGATGTCAGCCACGTCGAGCCTGCCGGGCCCTCCAAGCCTCCTCGTGTCAGCATCAAGCTTCCTCGCACCCAGACGCCGTCTTCCCACATCCCCATCGGCTTTCGCACACTAAGTATTCAGGTGTACGAGTCACAAGGAGTCGAAGCGCTCAAGGATCACAAGTCCAACCTCTCGGATGCCGACTTGTTTGGCTCGCTCGACTTCCACACCGTGGAGCCTGATGCGCTTGCCCAGCGATTCAACGTCCATCCTGATTCCGGCCTCGATGCTTCTGCCGCCATGCGTCGTCTCGAACGCAACGGCAAAAACCTGCTCACACAGAAGAAGAGCCAATACTGGAAGAAGCTCTTCAACTACACCTTCGGCGGCTTCTGCTCCATCCTCTGGATCGGTGTGATGATCTTCTTCATCTCGTGGAAGCCTCTTGGCAACCCTAACCCTCAGGCTTACAATCTCGCCCTCGCCATCGTCGTCCTGATCGTCATCTTCTTCCAAGCCATCTTCAACGCTTTCCAGGACTACTCGACTCAAAAGGTGATGAACTCGATTCTCCATCTCCTTCCTGAGAATGCAGTGGTTATTCGTGATGGTGAGCACCAGACTGTTTCCGCATCTGACCTCGTCACTGGTGATGTCTGCCTTCTCTCGACCGGCAACAAGGTGCCTGCTGATATGCGAATCATCAAGGCTTCTGCCGATCTCAAGTTCGACCGCTCCGTCCTCACTGGTGAAGCCGAAGAGATCCCCGGTACTGTCGAGCCTACCGAGGCTAACTTTCTCGAGACCAAAAACATCGCTTTCCTCGGCACTCACGTTCGCAACGGTAACGCCACTGCTATCGTCGTCCTCACCGGCCAGCGTACCGTCATGGGTCGCATCAACAAGCTCACCAATGATGACAAGGACAGGCCGACGCAGCTTCAGAAGGAGATTTCACGTTTCGTCTACATCATCATCGCTCTCACTGTCTCGCTGGTGCTCATCATGCTCATCACTTGGCTCGCATGGCTTCGACGCGACCACCCTGGTTTCCTCAGCACGGTTGGTATCCTCACCAACCTCATGAGTCTCGTGGTTGCCTTTATTCCCGAAGGTATGCCCATTGCTGTTGCCCTTACTCTTTCGCTAATCGCCCGCCGCATGCGCGACGTCAAGGTCCTGCCCAAGTCGCTCTCCACTGTCGAGACGCTTGGATGTGTCAATGTGATCTGCTCCGACAAGACGGGTACGCTCACCGAGAATAAAATGTCGGTCGCCTCGATCGGCTTTGTCGACAAGGAGTGCACCAGGAGCGACATCTCGACCCTTGACAAGTCCTTTGCTTTCCAGCAGCTCAAGCACGCTATGGCTCTTTGCAACGATGCCTTCTTCGACCCTTCCAGCGATGCTGTCTCCTCTGCCGAGCGCATTGTGCAAGGCAACGCGACCGATGCTGCTGTCCTTGGTTTCTCTGCTTCGCTCCCCGGTGCCGAGCAAATCAAGGCTGCTTACCGACGTGTCTACGACATTCCCTTCAACTCGAAGAACAAGTTCATGTTGACCGTTATGCGGACCAATGACGAGAATGCAACCACCAACGCCGCTGACGAGATGTACGTCAAGGGTGCTCCCGATGTTCTTATACCTCGTATCACGCACTTCTACTCGGCTGTCGACGGTGAGACCAAGATGTTCGATCACGATGCTCGCACTCAGCTTGTCAGCATGCAGGAGTCTTGGGCTCGCCGAGGTGAGCGTGTCATCCTTCTTGCCAAGCGTCAGTTCGAGGCGTCTTGCAAGCCCGGTAGAAGCGAGTATGAAGAGGAGGTCGCCTCGGCTTGTGAGAACAAGCTTGTCGTCATCGGTCTGCTTGGTATCATGGATCCTCCTCGTTCCGACGTTCCTCACACTGTTGCAGAGTGTCGACGATCTGGATCTCGTTTCTTCATGGTCACTGGTGACTTTTCTCTCACTGCCGCTGCTATTGCTAAGATGGTCGGTATCTTGACTCACAATGGTGAGCCGGACCGCATTGCGGATTTTGAACTCAAGCGACGCTTTGACAGGGACCCTTCCGAACTCAGCGCAAAGGCTCTCAAGAAGCTCAACGGTCCACGCAACATGATCGAGGCGAGCTTGCTCATAGAAGGCAAAGAAATCCCGGAAATCAAGCAGGACAAGTGGGACATAATCTGCCGCTACCAGGAAATTGTCTTTGCCCGTACCACACCGGAACAGAAGCTGAGGATCGTCAACGAGCTCCGTGATCGCGGCTGCGTCGTAGCTGTCACTGGTGACGGTGTCAACGATGCACCTGCTCTCAAGGCTGCGGATGTGGGTATTGCTATGGTGTCTGGTTCAGATGTTGCAATCGAGGCTGCTGACCTTGTTCTGATGGGCGACTTTAGTTCGATTATCGAGGCTATTCAACTCGGTCGATTGGTGTTTCAGAATTTGCAAAAGGTCATCTCCTATCTACTGCCAGCTGGTTCGTGGTCAGAGAACTGGCCGGTGATTCTCAACGTCTTTTTCGGTGTTCCGCTTCCTCTCAGCTCGTTTTTGATGATCATCATCTGTTGTTTTACCGACTTGGTTTGCTGTCTCACGCTCATCTTCGAGAAGGAAGAGTTCGATCTTCTTTCATTGGCACCAAGAAATCCAAAGAGCGATCATTTGGTTAACAAGGCTATCTACGCACAGAGCTATCTCTTCATCGGCATCATGGAGACTATTACAGCCCATTCTATGTTCTTCCTGTACATGTCGAGGTATGCTAAGATCCCCGCTAAAGATCTGTTTTTCGCATTTGAAAAATTCACCAATGGCTTCTCTGGCTACACTACCGAAGAGCTCAACAAGTTGCTTTCCACAGGCCAATGCGTCTACTTTATCACGCTCGTCATCCTTCAATGGTTCAACCTACTCTCCGTACGCAACAAACGACTTTGCATCCTACAATCAAATCCATTCCATAAACATCACCGCAACGCCTACCTCATCCTCGGCCCACTGACATCCCTAGCAATTGCCATCCTGGTAACAGAAACTAAAGCAATCCAATCACTCTTCGGCACAGCTTCCATCCCATTCGAATTCTGGCTATTCCCAATTCCACTCGCTCTCGCCATTCTCATCATGGACGAACTAAGGAAACTCATTGTCCGAAGCATGCCGAACAGCATCATTGCCAAAGTGGCATGGTAACTTGTGCGAAAAAGGTTAAAAACACATGACAGTGATGGAAAAAGCATGCTTCTCATTCTAGTATCTCCTCTTATAGCCTTGCATTAAGTTTTCAACCTACGCCGATCGAGTTGCAGCATTGTGATACATGCAGTTTCTAGTATGCATGAGGATGAGCATTTGAAGTGGTAGGACGATTCTGATAAGTCTTGTGCAGGAACTGGTTTGAAGGTGCCAGTGAATGTGCCGGTGAAGCATGCGAGTTGGAGCGGTAGTGTTGATCGACAGCAGCAGTGGATTCGAATACAGGCTGAACGCTGTGATAGGGTTGAGAATGATGAAAGTGTTTCGCATGGACTAAAGTCATAGGGCTATCACTGGCAGGCATTGCAGGTGAGTTGTGGTATGCAGGATACGAGTGAAAAGCCTCATGAACAACATGCTTTCCCAACAACGGGCGGTGATCATAACGAGGTGCCTTGAGGATAGCAGTTTTGCGAGCATTGCGAGCATTGCTCCTCTTACAAGAGCGGACACAGCACCAGATAATGAGAGCAAGGATCAGTAGCAAAAATGCACCGCCTCCAGCAGCAATAGCAATAATGACATTCCTACTGAGTCGCTTGTCCGACTTGAAACCAGTGGTAGCTTTGAAAGTCGGAGGAGCACTACTTGCAGAATTGCTTCGGATACCAGTAGCAGTGCCAGCAATAGTACCGGTAGACTTAAGCAACTGGCATTTAGCCAAGTTGACTTGTTCACGACCAAGTTGTGCGGTACTGACTACAACCACCTGACTATCACGAACAGGAACGCTAAGAGAGCCGTCAACACCAACGATCATAGTCCATTGAGTAGCATTGACTGTGCTAGGCCGACCATTGGCGCTAGACTCATAACTGATGCCATTCCATGTGACGTTGGCTTTAGAGTCGACAGCTTCAGCATAGAGAGTGGAGAGATATACAGTTTGACCTGCTAGAAAAGGCAAGCTGAGTAGAAAGATCTGATAGCTCGGCTTGCCACTGTATGCATAGTATGGCTGTGTATTAAGCATGACTATTGAAGTGAGAGAGTCTGCGCGATAGACACCATAGGCAGCAAGTCGGTTACTGTAGGAGGCAGGCTGATTACTCAAGGAAATGGAAGCAATTTTGGAATCGCAGGTGGGTCCGATGATCTGTGCCCATGCAGCCCAAGCATAGTAGGTGGGACGGACGTGAGGAGCTGTACCATTCAAGTAGTTGCACTGCCAAGGAGCAGCAAGGGAATATTGGGTCATGTGCATCTGGACACTATCGACCTTGATACTTGCTGCGTAGAAGAAAAAGTTGAGAGTCCAAAGAGCATTAGCAAAGGTCTCACTAATACCCTGGATACCGTTGGGACCAACACTACCCATTTCGCGAAGAAAGTAAGGCTTGCCAGTAAGGATGGCCTGATCCACCTGAGCAGCCCACTCACGAAACTGGCTAGCGGTCGTGGAGAGATCGAGAAGGGTAGAAAGAGTAAGCTGATAGTTGGAGACATTGAGATAGTAGTAGTAGTCATGCTGATTCCATCCGGCGACGTAGATGCCGTTGTCGATCGCGACACCGGCTGCGTTACCGACGAGGTTGGCGATGCGGAAAGGTTGACCATTCTTGGTGGCAGTGGTGGCAGTAGCAGCGACTTCGAAAAAGTTAGAGCTGAAGCCTCTGCTCTTAAGGGTAGAGTTGTAAACTGCCTGAGCACGGGAAGCCCACTCATTTCCAAAGTCGGTCGGGGTCCAGTCTTGGCTACGGTAACCGAGATGGATGTAGAGATCAGGCTCGTTGCCGATCTCGAGACTGACGATCCTGGCGCCGGTGGAGTTGGTTCCGACATACTCAAACGCAGCGTTGGCCTGGTCAGTGATGCGCTGGAAAGCATCTGGACCCTGGTAAGCAAGGTTGAGACCATATGTGATCGGAGTTCCAGCTGGCAAGTGGTTGAAAGCACGAAAAAAGTCAGGACCAAAGATCAAGTAATCGGAGGGCCTTGCATTGCCAGCACCAATGGGATTGCGGTTCTGTTGCAACTCGTAGCCCGAGAGGGACTGGTCGTAGATCATGGTGTCGCCAGCATTGCCACCAACACGAATGTGAGGAGGCGCACTTGTGTAGTTTGCAAGGTTACTGAGGAGGTTAAAGGTAAGCTGATTGCGTGATGTTGTGCCGGTGTAGACGAGGATATCTGTTGGCTCGATACCGAAACCGGCATAGGAAGGGTTGATAGTATTGGAGACAGAGGAACCTGCTTGTGCGACATTGGGGGCGGGGCTGAGGTTGACATCGGCAGTAGCAGTGCTGGCTAGCAAAAGTGGCGAGGCCAAGGTGGCGAGGAGCGCCAAAGAGGATGACCGCATGAGAGGTGTGATTGGGAGCATCCAAGGTGGAGGATTGGAAGGGGATTGGAAGGGGGAGTAGTATCGAGATGGAGTGAAGCGTGAGAAGGTAGGATGTGAAGGGGAGCATGTGAAGGGGAGCATGTGAAGGGGAGGATGCGAAGGGGAGGATGCGAATGTCCTGTGCGAGCAAGAGAGGGAGAGAGAGGAACAGAGTCCCGGGCCATGGAGCAGGGAGAGAGGAGCAGGGAGAGAGGAGCAGGGAGCAGGGGAGCAGGCAGGGGAGCAGCAAAGGCGCTCTCAAACCTGAAACCTCGGGGAAAAGGCGAGAGAGAAAGTTGGTGAGCAAAGGACATGGAGCACAAAGACAGAGCCGGGCAATAGTGCCTCGATAAGAATAGAGTTGCCTGCGGATAATCATCAATGGTCCCTGAAAGAGAGTCTCTGATAGTCTCTGATAGAGTCCCTCAAAGAGTCCCTCAAAGAGTCCCTGAAAGAGTCCCTGCCAGTCAATCCGCCAGTCAGTCTCGATTGACAGGCAGAAAGGCAGAGGGGCTGAATCGCTGAATCGCTGAATCGCTGAATGGCGTCGGCTGAGATAATACAAAACCATCCAAAATAGGCGACCGAACCCATTAAAAAAGAAAAAAGGCACAATGACAGTGAGAGAAGCAGAAGAAATTCTTGATTCGACCTGTCAAGTAATAATCAATTCCAAGTCGAATCATCGCATCAGAGCAGAGGCATCAGAGCAGGCTAGAGGGCTGTCAATCAAAGATAGAAAGGCGGTGGAGGACAGTTTTTCCTTTTTCCTTTTTCCTTTTTCCTTTTTCCTTTTTCCTTTTTCCTTTTCCCTTTTTCCTTTTCCCTTTGCCCTTTGCCCTTTGCCGTTTCGCCCTTTTCCCCTTTTCCCTTTCTGATGCAAACAACAAAGCGCAGATGCCAACAGGCATGAGACACCAAAACAACAGGAGCCGAACGTCGATCCCTTCCTTTTATTGTGAAAAAAAAATAAAAACAAATCATTCTCTTTTGCCGCTTCCAGCCCACTGTTACCATGCCCTGGCCTTGGGACACGCGCCCTTCTCCGTTCCTGGGCCAAATTTGTGGGGTTTGAAGAATGTTTCTAAATCCATCCCTTTTTCCCGTAAAAATTCCTGGAAAAGGAGGCTGAGAAATTGTGGGGGGGAAAAAAAAAAAAAAAAAAAAAAAAAAAAAAGAAAATGTTAAATTGTCTAACTCGAGTGATGCGCATTAGTCACGTGCCTCCTCGCCCCCCTATCCATTCACACAATACTCCCTCCCTTTCAATGTCTGGCTGCCAGATGCACATACCACACACTGGATGGGGTCTGGACATGAGAACTGTGAGATTGCCTAACTCGTGAGGGAGTCGCTTGCAAGCTCCCAGCCATGGCCATGCTGTGTGTGAGTGGCATACCGTGAGGTGGAATGGTCACAAGCTGAGGCTGGGGCATAGATGCAGGCAATCCCAGGGAGGTAGTTGGGTTAGAGATTGTGCCAGGCTGGAATGGCCAGGTGGGGACTGGTGGAGGAGTTAGAGTACAAGGCCATCCAAGAGGTGGTGGCATGCTCCATGGCAGACCAATCAATGTATCATCAGAAACAATTGCTGCACCAGCAGCCAAGGCCACAGATCATATTGGCATCTGCCCTGTTGGCAGCAGCCCACGTTGTGGTGCCACAGCAGAAGGAGTGGCCCGAGTATGAGGACAAGGCCATGCTGCATCCATCCAGGCAGAGATGGAGCATGGTGGCAAAGGAGCCATGATCAAAGGGGCAGCCACCCTTGAGCAAGAAGAGGGGCTCCTGTGGGGTACAGAGGCAGCAGATTCACTGGAGGCAAGCCACTGCACAGGTGCTGAGGGGGACAGCAGGGGTGAGGAGGGTGACACCTTGCCGAAAGGGGTCGCTGATGGGCAACCCATTCAATGAGCATGGTTGGCGAGGCAGGGAGGGGGTTGGCAATGCCAAGGGAGGCTGAGAAGGTGCTGAAACTTGCAAACATGGTGGTGGAGCATGCACAAGTGGTGTGGGCAAGGCCAGACCAGAGCAAGGAGGCAGCATGAGGTGACAGGCCAGATGCAGCAACAAAGGCCAGTGGGGCCAGGCTGTTTTGAAGCACAGCAGTGAGAACACTAGTGGGAAACACTGCTGGATGAAGGTAAAGCAATGGCAAGAGAGGGCATCAGCAAGGATGTTGTCCTCTGAGCTCACATGCACTGGGACCTGGTTGATGTGATGTTGCAGGCAAAGGGCAAAGATTGCCTGGAGGAGGACCTGGGTCTGGGGGTCACAAATGGAGCCCTTGCAGAGGCTGTACTCCACCTTCTCATTGTTGACATGGACAACAATGCAGCAGTGACTGGACCAGTGTGGGGAGAACTCGTGGAGGGCCTCCAAGACTGCCAAAGCCTCCAGGAAGCAGATATCCTTCCATCGATGGCAGCAAGGGAGCTTGTGGGAGAAAATGGCAGAAGGGTGGGCCATGCCACCCAGATGAGCACCAATGCTGTGCTTGGAAGCATCAGTCCAGATGTGCTCCATGCAGAGGGGGGAGGGCTGAAGGAGCAAGACACCATCCCATGAGGTCAGTGTTGTGACCCACCAAAGAAGCTTGGCTTGGGTGCCCTTGCTGATGCAGTGACCCAAGGGGGCCTTGAAATGGGCTTGCACTGCATCATAGATATGATGCAAGAAAGCCCAGCCATGGGGCACAACCCATGTGACAAACTGTAAGTGGCCAGCAACCTGCTGTAGCTCGAGCAGCGAGATGCAACTGCATGTCACAATGTGGGTGCACAGCTGGAGGATGCAGTGGCAACGCTGCACTGTGATGGAGGCGGTTTGGGCCACCAAGTCCAGTTCGATTCCAAGGATCTCGAGCTTGGTCGTGGCCCAAAGGGTCTTCCTGGCATTGATCAGAGGTGGCCACAATGATGTGTCAGAAAGCATCTGCAAGGTCTGCCTTCCAGAGCAAGGCACCTGGGTGCTCACAGATGAAGTCCATGACTGTGTCCAGGTTCTCATACTGGATGGTGGCAAATGATGCCTGAATGCCACTGTTAACTGATGGTAGTTGCAACCCAGGCTGGCGAGGGTGGGAGAGGTGATAAATAGTGCACCGCTTCTTGCTGTTGGCCTTCAGGACCACACCAATTGGAGAGCAAATGAGGCCAGCCGCATTTGGGTCAGGCACCACCCAGAGGTGGCCCTCCTGGAGGTGTGCAGCAATCTCCTGGTGGAGGTGGGAGACATCCTGGCTGTCTAAGGGCAGGTTGGGGATGCCAAGCCAGGCAGCAGAGCAAAGGGGGCCTTTGTAGCCAAGCCTAGCCCCATGGCACAGTGTGCCATGGAGCTGGTCTGCAAAGGTCTGGTCAGGGTAGAGTGCCAAGAACTGTGACCAGAGTTGGGGCTGGAGGGAGCCTACTGAAGCCAGAGAGTTGGCCATGTCAAAGATGGGAAGCCTGCACCAGGTGTTGGGGCAAGGCGGTGGAGGGGGGCCTGTGAGGAGGGAGAGAAGGAGATCTGCAGCAGAGTCAGGTGCCAGGTCAACAATGCCTGCTGGGAGGGTGGTGAGGGGAGACACACTTGAGGGCAGTGTGGGCCCATGAATGGACATTGCAGGTGTGCCCGACCTGAGAGAAGATGTTGCTGGTGTCTTGGACTTTGGGGGTGTATGTGGTGGCAGTGCGAGCTGCTGCACACTTGAAGGCAGTGCATGCCATGGCAATGTTGAGGGTGTTGCAGGCCACGGGGAGAACACGCTTGAAGGCGGTGCTTGCTGTTGCACACTTGAAGGCGGTGCTTGCCATTGCACACTTGAAGGCAGTGCATGCCCACTTGGCGACGTTGAGGGTGTTGGGGACCACAGGGAGGACACGATTGATGGCTGTGCAGGCCAAGGTGATGAGGCACCTGAGTGAGGAGATGTACTCACCATCAGGTCGTCTTCTTGATTGCCATGTTGGTGGACTTGGCAAAGGCAGGGCAGCTCAACAGGGGGTGGCTACCCTTGCAGTGGAGGCAGATGTGGGAGCAGTTGCAACTGGCACAGGGGTGGCCAGCATTGAACCATCTGCACATTTCGGTGAGCTCCCCAGTAGTGCCCGTAATGGGGGCATTGGCGAGGGTGGGAAGGACAGGCCAGCTGGGTAGAGCTGGAGCCAGGGTTGGTGTCCAGACGGGGCAGGGCGTGAGAAGAATTTTGGAAGGGGAAAAGCACCCTGCCAGCAACCTGAGGGTCATACAACACCCACTCAGCAACAGTGGTGGTGCCAAAGCATTGTCAGCAGACAGCCAGGTGGTAATCTGCCACAGCATGCCAAGAGTATAGGTGGTCAAACTCGATGAGCTGCTCCAGGTGGGCCAGGAGAGCAGCATTGAGTTCGAGGTTAGCCATGTGATGGGTGCAGATGGCAACATATACAAGCCAGACCTGAGCCAGGGCAGCAATGGATGGGATGGCTTTTACAAAAGTGGATGTGCACACATCAGCAGAGTCTTCGACTATGGAGAGCTGCCCATCTGTGAGCATCAAGCCAGTAGAGCAAGAGGACTCCTGGGAGACATGTGACTCTGGGTTGCACAGCTTGACCAAATGTTCAGGCCAGAGCTGATCCTGCTCAACAAGTGTGACAATATTGACTGGGACCCAGGCAAAGGAGTGCAACAGAGAGAGGGGTTGCAACTCACCAGCTGAGGCCAGGGCTTGTGGGAAGGAAGGGTCACCACCTGCAGGGAGGGGTGGGTTGGGTGCAGGTGCGGCAGTCACGGCTGGTGTATGGGAAGCACAGATGCTGGCCAGAAGCTCGCTGAACTGGCTGTTAAGTTGTTGCTCGAGATGACAAAACCACTGGTCAACCTGACATTCCAGGGCGACCACCAAAGAAGCGGAGGTGAAGGCAGCGGGCTGCCCAGGCAGAGGGTGTGGTGGGTGCAAAAGCGATGTTTGCGGGGAGTGAGAACGAGAGCGGGTGGTCTGGGACAGGAATGAAATGGAGCGGGATCGAGGGGGGATGGGAGCTGGGGGTTTGGCATTGAGCAGGCTGGGGGGTGGAAGGACCCCTTGGCAGGAGGTGCAAGCTTGGACTTCTCCTCCCCATCAACCAATGAAGTTTGGGATGATTGGCTGAGTGTGTTTGCAGTGGTAACAGTGCTTATCTGACATGAGGAGATTGGAAGGCCAATCGAGAAGCTTGAAGAAACACTGTGCTGAGCCAGCACAGGAGTGAGATGATGGTGAGAAAGGAGGAGAGGTGAGACAAGACCGGTGTGTGATAAACTTGCTCACCTGCTGCGCAGCAACTTGTGTGGGTGCGCGCAGGTCACGTGCCCTGTCCTCCGATCACTGATATTTGTGTCTGTACCAAACGCGACTCCATTCCCTGTCAGATTCAAATTCAGCCTTTCCCTAGGGCTTTCCTTTTCTTTTTCGTGTCTCGCCAAAATCTATTTTGCCGCTCTAACATCCTTGTCCACCTCGTCCTTCTTCGTTGTCCCACTTCTAGCCATGACAACAACAAGGGAGACAAAACACACTACAACATCAACACCATCAACAACCACAGCCATCGTGTCGCTCCCACTTCCATCAACAACTCTCTCGCATCCACAAAGCTCTCAAGGAAGCACCCAAGCTTACAACCAGGAACTGATATGCTTGGAACCCAGAGGACAAGAAATACAATCGTGCCCTTGATGGCAAATTATGCACTATCCTCCAGAGTAGTGCCCTACTTACTGGAAACAACAACATCAACTACCTGTTTGTACAACCAGCCAACTCAGAACCTTGGAAGCTGCACAACCTCTACTGCAGATTGAAGAAGGACCTTACAAAGATGGACAAGATTGCCAAATTGACTCTGCTCAACAAAGTCGGAAAGATTTGCATGTTCCAAGCCAACATCTGCAAGCTTATGGCCAACATCAACAAACACTGGGCCAAAGCCAAATCCATGGGAATGGCATCAAACTACAAAGTGCTCTGTACCACACTGTCTAAACACCAGGACAGCATGACCACTCAAATGGACCACAAGGCCAGCAACCTCAAATCCACTCTGGCAAATCTAACCAACAGACAGGTCATAAATGAGGAGGCTTACCATCAAGGTAAGCCTGGACCTGATGGTGTCTGACATTGCTACCATTGCAACACAGAGAACCATATATCCAGCTACTGTCCAAAGAAAACTCACAAGGATGCACCTGCAAAGGCCCATGTCTCCAACCAGACACCCACCTAGGATGCTTGGTGCACCATCACCTCTGCCTACCATACCTCCCTGGATCAGCAGCTCACAAACTGGATTGTAGACTCAAGGAGCAACCAATCATGTCACAAATGAGAAATCAAGTCTTGTTTCCTCCACTCCTTGCACTGGTTTTGGGAAGACTGCAAGTGGAATGAAGATTTGCATTGTGGCAGTAGGTCAGACTATGCTTGATGTGAATGGCCATGAAGTACTAATTGATAACATACTTTATGTCCCAGACTCCAATGCAAACCTGATCTCAGTGAAGGCATTGGCAAACGATGGTGCACATGTGACAAAGGAATGGATTCATTACACCAAGGTACAGACAGGCCACAAACTCAAAACTCTTTGCTCAGACAATGAGGGTGAATGGATCTCAGCAGCAGCCATTAGCTGGCAGAACAAAACAGGTTTTCGCTGGCAAAAGACATCAGCCTATACCAGCAAACAGAATGGCAGAGCCATAGGAACCTACAGGCACCACTTTCAAATACCAAGACAATACAATGAACAATAGGTCCAGATCAACATCACCAACTGTGCAGTCAGACCAAGCATCAGATGGCTCAATGGAAAACAAACACCAAGCAACAATGCCACTGACCTCACCTTTGCCACTAAGAGAACTTGCTGCTCACTCTCAAGACTCTGTTTTCTCCAAACATTCATCAATGCAAAAAGTGCAATATTACCACAATAAGTTTGCAGCAATGCACAAAATGTTCCCATGGTTACACCCAACAACACTTGCCAAACTACTCCACATCTATCCAAGGATGTTTCTGCTGGCAGCAGAGATGCATTGCTTCCAGGAGAAACTCCAGTGCTGTGGCAAACTGGCAGATATAGGACCAATCCCAGAATACAATGCCAGTGCCTATGCACTCTTGGTCACCAATCTTAAACCATCAGCAAGAGAGGCAGTAACCAGACCTGACCAGATTCATTGGTGGGAGGCAATCAAAGCAGAGATGGATGGACTGGAGAGCATGCACATCTGGGAGACAGTGGATAAGCCTAATGATACAAAACTTGTTGATTCTAAGCTTGTACTACAGGTCAAGACCAATGCAAACAATGTTCCATACAAGTTCAAAACCAGGTTTTGTGCACATGGCTTCTCACAGAAGAAGGGAATAGACTTTGATGAGATATTCACTCTGGTGGTACCCAGAGACACTATCCAAACCATCTTAACAATTGCAGCAAGATCCAACTGGGAAATTGACTCCATCAATGTAACTCAGGCATATCTCAAAGCCGATCTGCACCATGGTATCTATCTCAAACCACCAGAAGGTGCAGAGGTCCCAGATGGAAAGGTGTACAAACTGATCAAGAGCCTCTATGGGCTGAAGCAATCTGTCAGGGAATGGCACAAGGAATTGGATACACACCTGCAAAGGCTTGGTTTCTTCCCATTACCCAACATACCATGTGTGTACCTTAAAGGTGCAGGTGAGTTGCAAGTGATCATTGCTGTATACATGGACAACATGCTCATTGTCTCACCACAAAGGGACCAGATCAATCAGACAAAGAGAGCAATCATTGACAAGTGGAAAAATTTACCAACAATGGACCTGCAAAAGAGTTCCTCAAAATCAAGATCACACAAGATCAGGAGAAGAGGGTCATCAACTTGGATCAACAAGCATGCATTAAGGAAATCATAAAAGAATGGATCCAACCACACAAGAGAACATGGACCCCCATGACCCATACCCCCCTCAAGACCACTGACTGACCTAGAGAAGGACTGAGAGCTGAAAGCCAGGTATCCAGTTCTTGTAGGGAAGCTACTTTGGGTCTCAAACACCATCCAGCCAGACATCTCATTTGCTGTCAACACCCTCACTTGTCACATGTCCAAGCCTACCAAAGAGGCAATGCAAGCAGCCCTCCAAATTGTCAAGTACCTCAACCAGACACAGGACAAAGTACTGAGGCTTGGTGGAAGAAATGAAGATGAACTGGCCATTGTCACATACATGGATTCTAACTGGGCCTCAGATCCAAACACAGACAGGAGGGGCATGTCATGGGCCTGAATGCTCAAGAAGCAGGAGGGTCACTGGTTCATATGGAAGGAGCACAGGCATCGGAGATCTAGTTGATACCAGTGGAGAGCATGGTTGTAGTGCAGTCTCCATGGAGACCATGGACTCCTACAGACTCACATGCAAAGGAGGACTGGGCCCATATGTGAGGAGGGCCAGGCACAGCCATGAAGAGGACCAAGCTCAAGGAGCATGCAGACAGTTACCACTCAGGGGCTCGAGAGGCAAGAGTCAAAGGAACCATCACTGGTCAAAGGAGAAGGAGCAGTGTATAGGAAACTGGCAAGCAGGTCCTGAGGAGGAGGAGCAGTGTCAAAGGAGTCGACACCACTCAGGAGGCACAGGGGTGCCAAGCAAGCAGGATAGCTCAAGGAGGACAGGAGTGGTGCTAGAGGGGCCCCCTGTACAGTACTTGATGAAGAAGGTACTCTCTGGAGAGAGAGCAGGAGCAGCATCACTGGCGATGCTATGAAGAGGTATATAACCATACTTTCTCATCATCAAAGGTCGAGTGGATCCTCATCCACTCTACACCCATCATAACTAGTTATCACTTCAGCATAAGTATATATTAGTTTCAGTCAGCATAGTAGCAATCTATCAAGATTGCTCCTCATAGTAGTGCATGTGTTGTATCACCACTACCTGATGTCTGAAGGCAGCCCATAGCAGGTCAGCAGTCCAGATATAGATAGAACCAAAGGCAGTAGTCCACTGCAGTCCAGGGATCACTTCAAGCATTAGTCAGCACACTGGACACTCATGTTGATGCCACCAAATTACCACCAATGCCACCAACCTTATCACCAACACCATCAACCTCATCATCATCAACACTCACACCAGACCTTGGTGTCAACATAACCTTCATATTGATATTGATCGTGCCAAGCTGCCCCTGAACAGAGTGTCCACAGAGGTCAGCTGAAACCTATGATAGTATATACAATGAACACCACCCACTGTCATCATGCAACTTGATAGTTGCCGAGCAATGTAGCTTGTTGAGACCGATACCGAGACAATAGCTGTTGCACAGTTTGAAAAGAGCGACATGGGTTTGCAGAAGGTCCTGGTCGTACTCGAACCCGTCAATAGTGTGTCCATCTTGGAGACGGCGTCTACGAAGAGTCTCAACGATGTTGTACACACGCCTGAACGGCTGTTCCTCAGCTTCGGTTTGCTTGAGGAACGCGCTGAGCTTGCGGCGCAAGCGTGCTAGGTCGCGATAACGCCCACCGAAGAGGTCCAGTTTGCTCAGCACTTCTACATGGCTTTTTTGGGCCAAGACGATCTTTACAGGATACCGCAAATGGACATCAGATCTCGTGTTGATCAGTCTGTCTTGCTCGAACCGCATGAGTTTTGCAAATAGGAAGTGCCTTCGATGCGCCCATGCGATGAACTTCTTGGTGGATTGATCCAGAAGCGCCCGACGAACGATTCGACCGTAGCGTGGTAGCAGACGAAGTGAAGCGCGACAAGTTGGACATGTCTTCATCTCTTCTTGGGAGAAAGCTGCCACTGTACCCTTCAGAGCAATTGGCGCACCTGTGAGGCTATCCAGCTCGTAATAATCCGCCATGGCCATCACACCATCCAGACTCTCGACAGTAAAGATGTGACCGCAAGGTAAGAACATACAAGGCTTCTCCGAAATATCCAACTCGCCGTACGTGGTAAACATGATGAGATCCGCTTGCAGGGCCTTGAGATCATCATCGCAACAGATCTGACAGCTTGTGGCGGGGGGACAGTCGGCACCACAAACTGATGGGCACTGATGACCGCATTGAAGAAGCTTTGTGCAACGTTTGGAACATGGTACCCAGTCGCACGGAGCAGCGCATGGCATGCTGCATTTTGCGTGCGGACAGCATGAGGCACAATCCTCTTCTGCACAGGGAGCACAAGGCTCATGGCACTGCTTCATGCACCGTGTATGCGAGCAACTCACATCACACCGCTCACTACAAAGCGGGCAAGGCTCCTCACCATGACAGGGAGCACTGCAAGAATGCTTACAACTACTGTAGTCGCGCTTGCATGGCTGTTGGCACTTCCCATGTTCCTCCTTCTCGATTTCTCCTAACATACGCGGACGACACTTGCAACACTGCTCTCCACAAGCATGACCGCACGGCAGCAAGCATGCGCACCTCGCCAAACAGACGTAATCTCCAGCTCTCACGTCTATACAGCAAGGTAGAGTGACCCTGTGAAGGCAGCCTGGAACAATGCGCTCGACTAGAGCGCGGCAGACTGCCTGGCTGGGATCTTGATACTGCCAGCAGGGTAGCTTGGAGACATGGTGTCCACAGGGCAATTCGACGTCGATGTTTGAGACCTGGATTGTACAATTCTCGTCGCACTGTTGGCCGCATACGTACTGGCAGTTGTGACTGCAGCCTTCCTTGGCTCTATTGCAGGGCTTGAGGCAGTACGTTGATTGGTGCATGCCGTCAGAATGACACTTGTTGACACACGAATGACCGCACGGCAGACGCTGTCCACACAGCAGATTACATCCAGCTTCTGGAGAGACAATGGAGAAGTCGTCTGGTGTGGTGATCTGCAGAGGTGTCTCTGGATGGCGTGGACAGCAGAGCTCAAGATGAGGCCCCAAGTTGCCGTCTTTGTTGAGCATCTCTAGCACATGGCCCCACATTGGAATATGCGCATATGTCTCGCTGTTGCCGATGATGTACATTCCCTGCTGAGCTCGGGACAACAGCACGTTGATACGATTAGAGGTACGCAAAAAGCCACATTTGCGTTGTTCATTCGAGCGGACCAAAGAAATGATAACCACTTTGGCCTCTTCACCTTGAAAGTTGTCAACAGTAGCAAGACGAAGAGCCTGCAACAAGGTGCTCTTGTGTACACCTAGGCGCGGTGGCTGTCGAGCATTCGTAACACCGCTGAAAGCTTCTTGAACCTCATCGTCATCCTCACCATCGCTGTTGAGCGCCATCTCATCAATGTCTCTGTCGTTAATAATGACCTCGGCAAAGCTGTTCAATGAACGACGAAGCTTTCGCAACTGGCCAAGGTAAGGCGTCAGAACTGCGATGTCGGATCGTCGATACACACCTTGCCTTACCAAATGCCGCACAAGCGCGAACACCATGTCGACTTCATACCGGTTTGTGTGTGAAGTTGAGTCAGACCTCTCCTTTCCACTGTCTTCAGCTTCACGATGATCAAGCCAGAAGAGTCTGCGCCGCATGCCCGAGACCTGTGGATACTTTGCAACTACAGCATCGTCGTGCAAGTCTGGGTACAAAGTCGAGCGGATTAAAGTTGAGATGGATGGGTGCATACGACGCTGGATCTCCAAGGTGACAAATGGCACAGCTCTGTTCTCGTTCTCGTTTGGATGTACAAGGCGCTCGAAGAGAGAGATATCCATCTTGACTTGCGAACGCGCATTGTCGACAGAGAGCTCGTAGTTTTGAGCTTTCGGGCGCAGTTGTTGATGGTCTCCGATCAGAATGGCATGTTCAATAGACGGCAGCATTGCAGTAAGCAGGTGCGCTTCCAACACTTCGCCAGCCTCTTCCACGACCAACACCTTGCTGTTGAGTCTACGAAGAAGATCGAGATTGCGCGCCAGGCCAGAGGTGGTGACACCAATCACATTGGCGCCCTCGAGTACACGATGGTCAACTTCGGCTCTGATCTTGTTGATACCAGCTTTGGCATCTTGGTAGGCCTTGAGATTTGCGAGAAGGGATTGCTGAATTGGGTCCAAGATTTGCTCGACCCAGTGCGAATAGAGACGCTGGCGCTCTGCAACTGAGAGGGAGAAGATATCGTGCCCGTGATTGCCACCAGGCATCGGCGAGAATCTTGGGGCGCCTTTTAGCCAAGGTGCAATACCCACTGCCGCTCGCTTGTTCTGCACAAGCTCAAACCCGTCCTGGTCAATCTCGGGCGCCACCAGCTGATCATGGTAGCAGGGATATCTCTCCTTCAAGTAGGTCAAGACTGAGGCCTGGGAGAAGCGCTGCAATTCTCTGAGACTCTCGCTGGCCAAAGTTCTGAAATGCTCGACGTTTTGCTTGTGCTGCCAGCGTTCTCTTGCCTCCAACTTTGTCCAAGGCTCCTTCTGCGCAACAGCTCGGAGATTTAGCGCTAATAATCTCTCGCTTTTGCAACGTGAACCAATGCGAATCACTTGATCAACATCTGCATCGACAAGGTGTTCAAGAATCTGATCCAGCGCATGGTTAGTGAAAGTAACACAAAGGACGGGGCCAAGATTGGCAGCCTTCTTGTTTTCAATGAGCACCTTGATCAGCGCAACTCCAGTGTAGCTCTTTCCCGTGCCAGGAGGTCCTTGGATGAGTGCCACGGATCTACAGAGGGTCGAGATCAGTGCTTCAGCCTGGGAGTGGTCGAGCGTTGTCTGCGCACTGAGCAGATCGGCCTGCATTGGCGAATTCACGTCGAGGGTTATGGTCTCATTCTCATGGTTGGTTGACAATGTGGAAAGATCGAAGCTGAATCCCTGTCGCTTTGTGTACGCTGGGGCTTCCACTTGAGTTGCATGCTGGCTATCTGCAGTCGGAGCAAGTAGCTCAGCGAAGGGCAAATCCTCGGACAAAGTCATGTGTTGTAAGGCCTCGAGCGTGTGCTTGAACGCTGGCAGTAGCACTCCTGGGAATTCCAAAAGGGAGAAGGAAAGATTCTTGTGACTCTCCTTGTATGCAAAGCCGAAATGGAAGAGAAGAGTCTCGATGTCAGCATCGATGTGGTTGACTAGCTGTACGATCACGTTTGCCTTTCGTTGATCACCAGCGCGTGGATAAAGCTTCTCGATTGATCTCTCTGACTTGTTGCTGGCTTCGGAGGGGAAAGTAGCAGCCAGTACGGTCAAGAAAACGGCCATCTGATCGGAACCGAGTAACATGATGAGAGCTTCCGGGGCCAGCCTGCCACTCTCTGCCCACCACTCCTTGCGTTGGGATTGGCTCTTGTTGATGAGTTCGCGAGGTTGATCGAATTCCAGAACGCAGAGCAGGCCTTTTTGTGGGTCCATCTCGACGTCGATGAGCCGAACATTGCGATAGCTGTATGTACGTGCGCCAGTGTCTTTCAAGGCACCCGTCTGCTCGAAGGGATCTTGGATGCGACTGAGTTCGAGGCGTGCAGCATCACGCAACTGGCCGACCGTGTCTTGGCGGAGTAGGCGAAACTGCCTGTCGAGGAGGCCAGCAGCTCCTTGCAGATGCCAGGTCGAAGGATCACTTCTCGGCAAGTATTCTGCCCTGTCACCCAAAATCTCTCCCATGGTAGGCAGAATCTGGATGTGATGTATGTCTTGGAAGTCGTTGTCGTGGCGAGGGCCTTGCTTAGAGAGATTACCGGGCTGATCTACGAGGAGCTCAAAGGTCGGCTTCCGGCGAGTGTGGTCATGCTTGCTTTGATTTGGCGCAGCGCCGATGTTCTCGCCCAAGCCTAGGCGGAGGCACATCTTCTTGTAGTACTTGAGGGCATTGCCACTCAGCGGGCAGTCTTTGGCAAGAGCGATGATTGTCTCGGCGCATGAGCGCAAGTCGTCATTCACTTGCGCAGAGCGATTCACCTCCAAGACGGCGGAAAGTGAGATGAGACATGGCTCAAACTCAGCCTGACTGAGCTCTTCGTAAGTCAGACCGCGTATGGCTGCGGTGAATACTGCAACAGAACGCTTGCCGTTGATGCCGTAGAGGTAGTTGAGAAGCGTTCCAAGACGCGTCTCGAGAACTGAAGACGAGAGGACTTGATGGTGTGCAATGATGCGAAGGAAGGGAAGTAGTTCGGTTCTGAAAGAGTTGCGCATCGCCTCATCCTCCAGCAGGGCGAAATCGGCATTGAGCATCTCGCCGAGACGGGCGAGCCCTCCCTCATTGGAGAGGGTGGTGATGATTTCCTGCATAGTATTGGCATCGTCTAGTAGTGCAAGCGCTTGTTGAATGAAGCCTGCAAATCTTCTGCCGAGCGGCTGCGCCATGTTGATGTCGCGCTTTTCCTTCTTGACATGGTATCGCCACTGAACGAACTGGTCGTAGGCTGTGGAGCCACTGGACTGCGGAGCCTGCATAGCCTGCTCAGACTGCTTGCCATTCAAGCCATTCTCTTGCCAAGCTAAGGGATCGTGTGAGAACTTGCACCAGTTTCCGTATCTGCAAGCACCCCTCGCGAATGCGTGACATGGAAGCTTTTGGACTGATCCGGAATCGTGTGGTGAGGTTGTGTGGCTGTACTTGCAGGCGTCGCCAAAGCGGCAAATCCCGCGCTGAAAGAAGGGGCATGGTTGCTTGAGTTTATCCATTGCGGTAAGGGTGCATGTGAGTGAGAAAAGTGAAGGCGTAGCTGCGCGGTTGTGTTTTGTAGATGAGCGAAAACCCTCGTCAGATGTCTTGCGCTGCGAAAAAGACGACGTTGCCCAGTGCTGCAAACAGACAGCGGAAGGAAAGCAAGGGGATTTGTGTAAGATGGGACCGTAGCCGCCAAGTAGAAGAAGAGGGTAAGGGGGCCGATCGAGCGCAGAGAAGAGCGGGGTCGTACACGCGGAAGGTAAGGGAGGGAATTGGGTGGGGAAAAGAAGGATTTAGCAAGGTCAATGTTGCACGGCTCTTGCCAGAAGAGGAGAAGGTGGTAGGAAGGAGGGAGAGCAGGGAGCAAAACAAAGCTTATATATACCAACTGATCCAGCGCAGTGGTACAGGCTCTTGCCCAACCGAACCGCAGCATTGCTTCAGGGTCTGTGCACAAGACCCTGAAAATGCATCAGATGCGCAGTGCGCACAAAACGCAAAATGCTGCAACACGTGTGGCCCCTGCGCAGATGCGCACGCCAAGTCACGTGCAGCACAAACGCACGCGTGCCTCATCTGGACTTTAACTCACCCAAACCTCGCTGCCCCACAATCTAACAGGATTTCCATATTGCTTTCGTATCATCCAATTGACCCTCATCTTACGGCCGTGTGAGTCAGGCTGGGATGGATCGTGATTGGCTCAAGACTTGGCTTCACACAGAACCCTATGCCCATCAACGGGTGTGAAGATAACCGCCTCTCCAACCCAGCAAGACACTGACAATGCCTTTGCGGAACAAGCAATCCAGACCATTCAGAAGTTTGCTCAGAGTTTGCTCTACATCTCAAACATGCACAAATGCTGGTGGCCACATGCTATCTCACAAGCCGTGTTCATTCACAATTGTGTGCTGCTGAGCAGTCGCAAGATGAGGTTGTGGATCGATGGTCTTTCAGAGGTTAGCGAGGCTTAGCGACGATGAGAGTCATATCTCGTCCCGCCGCGAACATCCCGGCCGAGAGGCCAAGGTGCGCGTGGTGCGGTACAAATTGACTAGCAGGCACCACATGCAGAAACATAATAATGCCCTTTGAGCTCTTCTATGGCAAACACCCTCAGCTATGTCAAATCTGATGCTTCGGTTCTGTGGCTTACGTAGTCCTCCGGGGCAGCACTCGGCACTTCATTCATTGCGAGCGGTCAGCAGCTGTGCAGTGCTGATGGCATCCTGCTAGAGTCCCTTGTAAGCGGTCTCGCACCTGAAACCAGATTGCATGTTTCCAGTTGTTTTCAGTGAGATCAACTGGGTAAGATCTTGCTTGGTAGGTTTTGGTTGAAAGTAACCAGAGGGTTGAGTTCTGGTAGGTTTCAGCTGACTGCCTTGAACACTCTGTTCAGAGGCTATGCAGCATGTCTGTAACATGTTGGTTTGGGAATGGTATAAGATACAACTCCCCAATACAGCACGAGTGTTCGTAGCACTGCTGCTTGATGCTCTTGTTGTCACCTGTATTGAAAGATATGTCGCCTTGCGTAGCTATGGTTTGGACGGGCTGGTTTTAAGTTTGTAGACAAATTGGAGAGAGGTGGTATTGCAAACTATCTACAGCAACAGATGCAACTATTTAAGTGAAACAAGATGAGACAAGACAGGTTGCTTGAGTGGCCCCAAGCTCCTCAACCCCTATGCATGATGCAGGGGTGCTCCAAGCAAGGAGGTCCAGCTCCTTGACCCCTTTATCAGCAATATCGGCATGATGCTGCCAATACGAGGTTGGGCCAACCTCCAACAGGACGGACCCCTGGCAAAGGTCTACATCGTTGAGGGGAAGTGTCACGGGATCGGGAATCGGGTGACCAAACCGAACATAGTGAGCAGTAAAACCACTACACCAGCTAGACCCTTAGCTGGTGTACCCAATTCACACAACACTGAAGTATAAGCATTTTCACTCCCAATTGCTCCGGACTCGGAGAACGGAATTCCTATTCCGGTGACAGGAAGGATAAGACAGCTGGGAAGGTTCCACATGCAAGGAGCAGGACCAAGCTCAGCCAAGAGAGGGACCAGGCTCGGAAGCATGTAGCTGGTTACCACACAGGGGGTTCACAAGATAGGGGTCAGGAGAACCATCACCAGTTAGGAGGAAGGAGAGCTGTGTCAAAGACACTGGTGTATAGGTCATGAGGAGGAGGGACAGTGTCAAAGAGGTTGACATACAGCTCAGGAGGAGCAGGAGTGGTGTTGCAGGTGACACCAGACCAACACATAAATACTCTCACTTTGTCATAGCATATGAGTGGATCCTCATCCACTCTACACCATACATAACTAGTTATAGCTTACACATAAGTATACATTAGTATCCAGTCAGCAAGTTGCAATCTCAATAGATTGCTTCCATTGTAGTGCATGTGTTGTATCACAGCTCACTGACATCCAAAGGTGGTTCATAGCAACCAGCAGTCTGGCTCACAATCATAGAACCAAAGGCAGTCATCCACTGCAGTCTGGGGATCACCTCCAGCACTCAGTCAACACACTGGACACTCGTGTTGACACCAACAACATCATTCACACCAGACCTTGGTGTCATCATAATACATTAATAGTTTTTGATCATGCTGAGCTACCTCTGGATGGTGTGTCCACAGTGGTCAGTTGAAACTTGCAATAGCAATCAATCTACCACAGGTTCAAGCAAGGAAAGTCATAGAGTCTTCTCTATGACATATCTCAACAAGAACAGTAATACACAACACTTTATCACATATCTCAACAGGATCTGTAATAGATACATTTCTATTACAGATATCCGATTTCAGGTGCGAGACCTCTGACAGCCGCTTCCTGAGACGCTTGGCCTTTGTTCATCAGACCCTGTGCCCAGATCATGCTCAAGTACACATTGTGAATGATTAGGACATATGCAAACTTGGTTGCACCATGCATTGGGCCCATTATGTCCATGGACACCAGTTCAAGTGGCACACTCATGTGTCGAGGGTGAGCTACAGTCCTTGTGGTGGCCTTGCTGCATATGCACACATTGCAAAGCACACTGGGATGAGTAGCTCGCAATGAGGAGATGTTGTGCAAGACAGTCACTGTGCACATGCATAGTATTGAGTCATGACTGGCATGGCCTAGCTGCCAATGCCAGAGATCTGCCTTGGGACATACTCTTTGGAACCACTCAGTGCTAGGAGTTTGGGCTGCAAAGGTGAGGGAGATAGCAGGTTTGGGCATGTTATTGTCCCATATGATCATGGCAGTGGCAGGGTATCCATCCCCATTTGTTGGCACACAGCTCACATGACCATTCTTGTCTTGAACTGTAATGAGCTCATCTTCAAAAGTCACTTTACCTTGGGCATGTGTGACTGACTTGGTACCAATGAGGTTAGTCACAAGACCAGGAATGAGGAGACAGTCCTGGTATGTTATTTGTTCCCATTGACACATCTTGGGACTAAAGCTCAGGAGGCTGACCATTCCCCCCATCTTGGTGGTGGAGAGTAGCCCACCATTGGTGGTGGTAATGCTGACTTTGTGATCCATATCCTGCCAGCCTTTCCCATACTGAGGGGAATTGACCATGATGCAGGATGCTCCTGAGTCAAACAAAAACAGCACAAACCATGGTGGCAAATCAATTGGTGCTGGCTTGGTTTCTGTGAAGAAAGTCAGAGCCAGCATTGTATCCTATTCCTCTCGAGCAATCTCAAGTGGCAGTATAATACATGTTGTCATAGGACCGGATGCACAGGAAGCAGGAAGAACCGAAGTCATATGAGAAGGAGCACAGGAATTGCAGGATCAGGCAAAACGAGGGTTTACAGCAGAGTTCAGTGAGATCTGTAGTAGAAAGGCTCTACAGCAGATCTTGCTCACATCGGTATGAGCAGGATACTACAGCAAAGCCCACTGGAATCTGTAGTATTGTGATCATATGACAGATCTTGCAGGAACCAGTGAGAGGACACCAATTTCATAGATCTCACAACAAGTCAGATGCTGAAGGCATTGGGTTTGCCACCCTGATGAAGCAGGGGACTGGCTTGACAATGAACTTGGGGGAAGGAAGATGGGAGAGATGAAAGGGGGTGCAAGTCGCCACTCAGATGAAGTGGGAATGGCCTCTGTCGACTATGAAGCAGCACAATGACTGTTCATCCACAGGAAGCAAGGAAAGTGGTGCTGATGAGCAGTGTCATAGGGCAAATGGGACTGATAAGGAGACAAGAGGAGGAGGAGCAGTGTTAGAGGAGGACTCCCAGAGCAGAAGCAATGTTGCAGGTGACATTGCAGGTTTGGCTATATAACCATGCTCCTTGTCATAGTAGTTGAGTGGATCCTCATCCACTCTACACTTTACATTACTAGCTATAACTTCACGATAAGTATACTTAGTAGATTTGTCATTGGTAGCAATTGCAGAGCATTGCTACTACCATAGTGCATGTGTTGTATCACCACTTGATACCATCCAAAGGCAGTTCATTCTGCAGTCCAGAGATCAATCAATACCAAAGGCAGTTCATACTGTGGTCCAGCTCTCTCGATCATTAGAACTGAAGGCAGTTGTCCACTGTGGTCTGGGGATCATCACACTCAGTTGACACATTGGATACTTGTGTTGGTGCAAGCATATTCATGCCAGATCTTGGTGTCACTTCAAAGCATCTATTGAATAGCAATCATGCTGAGCTACCTCTGAATGGAGTGCCCACAGTGATTAGTCGAAATTGGCAATAGACATCAGTTACAACATATTCAGGTGAGAACAGTCATAGAAGGCTCCTACAACAGATTTGAGCAAGAACAATAATAGAGGGCTTCTACCACAGTTCTCACTAAGCTCAGTAATAGTGGCTTTCTACCACAGATTTCGGGTTTCAGGCGCACAACCCCTGACACATGTGTTCGCATGACTCTTCGGCGGCACCTTGACTCTCCCTTCTTTCCAGCGAGCATGGGAAGCATCGTTTGGACAACAATTGGCTGCATGACCGAGTTTACCACACACCCAGCAGTTAATGAGAGTGGCGGCTCGCAAAGCGGTGAGTTTGGACTCCTCGGTTGTGTGGTGGTGCTGGTTCACTGGAACACTCATGGCCGCAAGTTCATAACATCTGCATAAGACATCAGCAACACTCTCAGCCATCTGCTCTCTACCATGATGTTGTTCATGCAGGATGAACACCAAGTTGAACAGGGTGTTTCTGTTGGATGGCAGTGCATGCTTGAGGGTCCTATAACAGTGATCAGGCATCCATGGAGTCTTCAGGTATGTGTGCAATTCCAAGACATGAGCTTCCCATTTGATGAGGAAGTCATATGCATGGCGACCCACTTGATTCCAGCATAGTGCATAGGCTGAGGCAAGAAGCTTGTACTCTTTGGTGATAGAGTGCATGGTACACTTGTCCACCACCCAGTTGAATAGTTCAACAGTGATTGGCACTGGCTGATCACCATGTTCTGCAAAGTATTCAGTGTGCAGTCTGTCCAAGAAACTATGCATGACAATTGAACTGAGCATTGAGTTGATGTCTGCAAAAGTCATTGCTTTTCAGTTGAGGACATTTCATGTGAATGGGACAATGGACAGCATTGCAAGTAGCTTGCATTGCCATGCATGTACCAAGGCTGACCTAGGATTGAGAAGGTCTTGATCATCCCACCTCATCTTGTCATTTAGACCAGAAAGCACTTTTGAATGGTGGTTAGTGAGCATGTTGAGCTTGGGTGTGGGCCCTGGAGTGGTGTCACAACTGACTAAGCACCAGTTGGAGACATCTGAGTCAGAAGTGGGGGGATCACCTCCAACAGATGTGGAAGTGTCTACTTTCATAGGATGGTTGTGTCATTCACTGTCATGAGTGGATTCCAATGGACCTTCAATCTTGAGATCAAGGATACAAGATGCATCCCATTCTTTGTTGGCTACAAAGAGATTCACTCTAGTTTGCATTTGCCTACCAAGCTCAATTCGATTGGTGAACAGGCCGAGACTGTGTGTTCCTTGATAGAGGGCACTGACACACTTGGCCAAGATAGTCAAAGGTGAAATAGTTTGTTCCCCATCATTGTCGACAATGAATTCCAGTAGTTGACTGTCCTTTGGAGCATTGGGTGTACCATAGACCTCATCCTCCATGACATGATTAAAGTGATCTTGGACCATTCTAGGTAGTTGTGGCAGTAGGTCCTGCACAGTAGCAGCGAAGGAGTTGTAGATGGAGTAGTTTACTTTGAACATACTGACAGTGTATCAGCTTGTTGGGCTCATAACCTCTTGGAGTTTGAAGGCAATTGGGTCCCAATAACTGGCAATCGGGGAGAGTCTAAGTACAATGTCACTACTTCTTTAAGGCAGAAACATACATACTCAATTGACTAGTGAACATGGTGGGAGCCTGGTGCTCCTGGCTTGATATATACAGCTCACAAGTAAACTGTCCCACAAATTTACATGTCACCATACATCACTCTGATGCCCAATAGCCATAAGTTGTATTGCCACACTGTCTGATATCATCTGAAAGCCCTGCTTCTTCTCTCCAAGACTGTGTAAATGATATTGACATTGACTAAGAAAATTGTGCTATGAAGAAGAGCCAAGAATTTTTTTATTGTGGGACAGTTTATGGAGCATGCTCCCAAATAGCAACACCACTACATTCCTGACCTTGTGGGCTTTTGACTATAATGAAACTTGCAATGTAACTTGGTGGGCACCTTCATAAACATCAAAAGTAGTGATGTGGAAAGTTTCAGCTCAATCAGATGACTGTGAGTGATCCAGCAGTGCTTCCAGTCTGACACCATCATATCTATACCATCATGCCAAAAACCACCCCAGAGAAGCACCAATTGGCACTCTTTCACCTCCAAAATGGGGAATCTACCTGTTCAGTTGCCAAGCAACTTGGTATGAGCAAGTCTACTGTGAATTGCATCAGCAAAAGCACCTCTGCTGATGTTCCAAAGTCAAAGGGGGGCCAGCCAAGAAAACTCCAGCCTTGTCATGTTTGCTTCCTGGACCACTATTTCAAGCTCAATTCCACCTCCACAGTCAGGAAAGCATATCATGCACTGCAGGAGACATTTCAAGTCAAAGCATGCCCAACCACAGTAAGAAAAGCACTTCATTACTGTTGTTACAAAGCACAGAGGTTAGTGAAAAAACCAAAGCTACTCAAGAGACATTACAAAGCCCATTGCAAATTTGCTAATGAGCACAAGGACATGACTGTTGAGGATTGGAAGAATGTGGTATGGTTTGACAAGACAAAGATCAACTTCTTTGGACTGGATGGTAAGCAGTTCTGTTGGATTAAGAACACTGGCTTCAACAGCAAGCTTGTCAGGCTGACAGTCAAGTTTGGCAGTGGCTCCATCATGATCTGGGGCTGTATGATGTGGGAAGGGGTGGGAGGTATGCACTTGGTGCTGGGTTCAATAAATTCAGACCAATACATTGATATCTTGAATGACAAGCTTGTGAAAACAATCTCAGATTTGTGGCTTCAGCATGCATACACTGACATCATGTTTTAGCAAGACAATGACCCAAAACACATGTTGAAGAAGACAACAATGTGGTTGGAAAGCAATAGCATTAAGGTTATGCAATGGCCAGTGCAGTCACTGGACTTAAACCAAATTGAACACCTCTGGCACCATCTCAAAATGCGACTTTCATGGTATAGTACAATTGCAAAGTCCAGGGATGAACTGCTCAAGAGATGTGAAGCTGAATGGACAGTGATCACTCCAGAGACATGTAGGATGCTAATAGAGAGTATGCCAGACTGCATCAAGGTGGTTCTGAAGGCCAAAGGAGGGAATACAAAGTACTAAGGTGTTGTTGAGGAGCACTCCATAAACTGTCCCACAATTAAAAAAAGTCACAGCTCTTCTTCATAGCACAATTTTCTTAGTCAATGTCAATATCATTTACACAGTCTTGGAGAGAAGAAGCAGGGCTTTCAGATGATATCAGACAGTGTGGCAATACAACTTATGGCTATTGGGCATTAGAGTGATGTATGGTGACATGTAAATTCATGGGACAGTTTATGCATGAGCTGTATACACATGGTGGCACATGCCAAATGTGGGAGTTGCTACACCTAATGATCCAGCCTGACAATGTGTGGGACTGTGTTGTACCTGATCTCTGATCTGATCTATCCTCACTCCATTTCCAGTCAGATTGGTTTCCCCCAATTCCTTCCATAATGGCTTACATCAACTTGCATCATCACATTGGATCGTTTCCCTCAGCAGATACAAGTAAGGGATCGGGTACTACTGTGTCCCACTCATTGTCGTACTTCATCATTAAGAGGGATGCACCCACCTTTGGGTATGTACCGACACTTTGTATATAGATCAAGCGGAGAGCTCGAGGCTCCCACCACATTCTTTCCCTATGTCAATATAGTATAGTGTTTTTGCTCAATAGCTTGAACACTGTGCTTAGACTGATATCTCCCGATAAGCGTCGCTAAGTGTCACATCCTTTATCGTGTCACAGCCTTTATCATGTCACACTTCATCATTAAGAAGGATACTCCCACATTCGGCATGTGCAACGAAGATGTATATATATCAAGCTGAGAGCTCTAGGCTCTCACCACGTTCCTTTAGTCAATCGAGTATAGTGTTTCTGCCCCAATAGCAGCAGTACTGTGCTCTGACTGTCGTCGATCGTTGAGCATCGACATTCGTCCTTCACATTTTTCTATTAGCTCTGGCCTACAAATAGGGTGCGTTGGTATCCCAGGCAGCATAAAGAGCTCACGGCACATTTCTTTCCTTCCCAACCAGCCTCTTCCATTCTTTTTGGAATCATGCGGAATCCACTACACTCGGGTTTGGGTTCTCTCCTCTTCCTCAGCCTTGTTCCTGTTGCAATATCACTACCCGCCGGTCCCAAATGGTCACCCTACGGCTTCCAGAGCCATGACTTCCAGAACCAAAACCTCGACCAATGGCCACCATCTAGCCTCCAGAGTGTCGTAACTCAACAAGGTCCGAACGTCCCTCAACATCAGTTGCCTCAACAGCATTTGTCATCCTTTTGGAACGCCCCACAACTAGCGCATGTCCCTCAACATCAGTTGCCTCAACAGCATTTGGGGCTCTTCGGGGACGCCTCACAACTAGCGCATGTCAGTGCAGTACCTGCAATGCACAGCCGAGCCTCCAAAAAGAGAGCTTCGAGGTCGGGCAAAAAGCCCCGCCCCAGACGTTTTCATTATGCCGAGAACACTGACATCTTCGACCTAATCAACAAAGAAAAATTCCAGGGACAACTAGTACAAGTTGATTTCTCAAATTTGGATACTAATACTCGGGATAGCCTCCTGAAGGTAGTCCGTCAGCCTCACCGCTTACAACATTCCATTTCCCTTGAGCCACAAGGTTTGGAGAACGACGCAGGTACTATTTCTGAGGTCGAGATGTCCATTCACAAAGGTTCCAAGGTGTGGGCCAAAAAAAATGAGGAAGTTTTTGCGAGCATCAACCCGGATGGTCAGACTTTCTACAACTTCTGGGGCATTCCTAAGCCTCCAAAGCCAGGCGCTCCAAAGATCACCTTTCACTACGGCATGGGCTATATAAGGCCCGACGACTTCCAAGCACCGAACAGGCAGATAGATACAAAGGTATTACAGGGAGCCGAGGCTGCTGCGCACCTTCACTAGGAGTGCAACAGCAGATATCTCGGGAATGCTCAAGCAGTATCCTTCCTATCCAAGCTTTCATATGCTCGTTCAACGGTCCTTTGGGACCGGACTATCTCTTTAGGGCTGATAGCTGTCTCTCTCCATCTCTCTCTCTTAAAACGACAAACTATCAGAGGCCTCTTCTTGACAAAAAAGGCCACTGACACTTGCTGTTGGAGGTCGGCCTGACCTCGTATCGGCGGCGTTTGCCGATATCGCCGATATAGGGGTCGAGGGGACGGACCTCCTTGTGATGCATCCCTGCATTGCAATAGGGGTTGAGGGGCTTGGGACTCCTCAACCGGCGTGTCCCATCTGTTTCAGCAAACATAAATAGTCGCACTCGTTATGTAGATAGTCATGTCAATACACCGATCTTCCCTCGTCGTCTACAAACCTAAAACCAGCTTGTCCAAACCATAGCTACGCAAGGCGACACTCCCTTCAACACTTGCTATGTTGTTCCACTCTCTCAATCATAGCCAACACTCTCATTCACAAGATCGTTGTCCTTCTCTTCACACCCCTGTCTATCATGATCGAATGTGTTAGTACACTCTACAAAGCAATACACAATCTTGGCCCGTTCGTTAGTTGTACTGAGCCAGGCAAACAAATGCGAAATAGAGTGGGATGCAACTTGCATCCTCGACATGAAGATCGAAGGGCCAGTGGACATCGCCCATGATGTTCACCAACACCAACCTCATCTCGTTAGAGGTGATAACCTCATGTCGATTAGAGGCCACACTCCTGCTTTCAGTCCAAATGATCTTAATTGTTGTCTGATTGGTCGAGATGCTGTTAGGAGATATCGGGCATATCGGCTCGTTAAGACCGGTAACCCGATAAGGCTTGGACATACCGGTCAAGAGGAAGTTTCTAGAAAGGAAACCTCTAGAAAGGAGAAGGTGGTCTTCCCATTGCCCTTCGTACCCTGATGAAAAGGTATAAGAAGCAGCACTCAGATAGTAGCTTCTGTAGACTTCACCATCCATCTGCACTTATGTTCGTTGTCGCCACATGTAATAAACACCGCATCCTACCATCAGAACCATCACATTTCAACAAATTATGAGACCTAGCGGTTAGTAGGCTCCCCGACATCATCAAATGTTAACATTTGGACTAGCTCCTGGAAGAACGACCCCAGTTGTAGCACCTGGCTCACCGATAAGGTTCGAGACATCAAGCAGCTCGTCATCGAAAGGCTCGAGCAACAATATCACCGACAAGATGGATACAGCAATGTCCATAGTATCGCCACCAGTGCTGCGAGGCAGTAGTGACTACTACACCAGGCCAAGGAAGCTACGAATCTATGTCAACAGAGTCAACCCAATAATGTGAGAGGCAATCACAGGAGTGGTGCTGCACCCAGCCAATGTAACAGACAAGCACCTCTGTATCTCTCTCCAGACAACAGCAAGATGGGCTGTCAATATCCTCCTACGAGCTGTCGCCCCAGAGATCACCAACATGATCTGCGAGGATCAAACTGCAAACAAGATATGGAAGTACCTTGAGTGGAGGTACTCAAAGGGTACAATCATTTAGCCATACATTTTGCTAACAGAGCTTACCCACCTCATTCAAGTTGGAAGTGTAAACAAAGTCATCTCAAACATTGAACACATTGCCAACAAAAGAGCCCAGATGGGCCACCCAGTCAACTCTGGTATGAAGCTTGGCTGCCTGCTCTGTGGTGTGCAACCACACCTTCACCTGTACACTGCAGCATGCAAAGCTCAGTGGGAGTCCATTGCTCTCAGTAAAGCAAGCAATCCCACTGAAGCATCCAGTGCAGAGCTCAAACTCAAGCTCAAACACCTGTTCAACACTGCAGCCATGGGTTTGCATAACTACAAAGAATCAGCACATCTCAAGGAACAAGAGGTCAACAATGTGACACTAGTCACTCAGTTCACAAACAACAATCAAAGTGGCTACCAACACCACCAACAACCTACCCAGGCCCAGAACCAGCAAAACCCAACCAGAAACCAAGTAACCTGCTGGAATTGTGATGGTCACAGCCACATCTCGTTGGAATGCCTGACCCCTGAAAGGGAGGAGAAACATGTCAAGCAAGGACAAGGCGGAAGAGGAAGATAGAAGGGAAATGGCAGACAGACTGCAGGGGTAACTGGAGATGACCAAGATCAGGACAAGCCAAACAATCAAGACACACATGTCCTGACTGTCCTTGCAACAGGAACAGCTGGTGGGAAGCCTGACAATGGCTGGATCTGGGACACTGGTGCCGACGTCCACATCTGCAAGGACGAATTGATTATGACAGATCTACAGCACATCAATGGTTGCATCCAACAGGCACAAGGCCATTCAAGTATGACACTGTGGGAAAAGTAGCCCTGAGTATCAACACCAATGTCGGCATCAAGCACATCGTGTTGTCAAGGGTTGTGCTTATATGCAATGGCAACTTCAACCTGTTCTCCCCAAGAGCAGCTGCCAAGACATGTGGAGGAGATGTCAAACGTGACAAGCAGGGCAGAGATTGTATTGTGATTGAAAAGGATCGACAGCAAAGGCAGCTTGATTGTGCTACCATACACAACGGAAGAGTGTACCTTGACATAGTCTCTAAAGATGCCTCAAGCAACAATGCAGCACCAAAGGAAAGCATTGCAAAGGCCAAGAAGGAGACTTGGGTCCTGCAAGCCAAGTCAGACACCAATGCCGTCGTGCTCTGGTGTACATGGCATTCCTGACTTGGACACATAAGTTTGGATCACATCCAGAAGTCACTCAAGGCAGCCGGTATTGATATCCAAGGCATGCCAAAGGACTTCTGCTGTGAGGCATGCAACACAACAAAGTTCACCCATCCACCATTTGGCCAAGGAAGGAATGAAACAAAGGCAAAGTTAGATGTAGTCATCAGCAACCTACAAGGACCAATGCAAGTCCTGAGCATTGGAGGAGCAAGGTACATGCTTACCATAACTGATATACACACCTGTTTTGGTTGGGTCAGAACACTTGCATCAAAGGACACCACCAAGGCTGCAGTCAAGAAGTGGTTGGAGAAAATGAAGCAAGAAGCAGGTTCATACCCAAAGGTCTTCCAGAGTGACAATGGCAGAGAGTATATGTTGAACACCTTCAAGACCATGCTATGCCAATGTGGCATCATCCAACAGTGGACCACTCCTTACACACCCCAGCAGATTGGCATTGCCAAATGCTCTAACCACATGATCATGAACATAGTTCAACCAATGCTTGCCACTGCCACACTGCCAGCACCACTATGGGCCAAAGCCATTCACCACACAAACTGGATCTGAAATTGGACTTACTCCAAGGTCATCAGAGAAGTCCCCTACACACTATGGTTTGGACAAAAAGTAAGGATGAACAATGTCAAAACCTTTGGGACATAGTCTGGGTGAAAGACACAAGACTTGGAAAAGGCGAACTCAAGCTCAACCACCATGCATGACAATGCTTCTGGGTTGGGGTACCTAATCTCTCTGACACCACTCACAGTTGCATTGATGCCAGTGATCACTCAAAGGTCTACATCTCCAGGGATGTCAGATTCAATACCGAGGTACTCTCTGATGCAATCATGGACATCAACACCAACTGCACCAGCCAAAACATTGAGAACAACAGTCCGATCTGGGACCTTGACGACAATTTAGCAATCAACAATGTGCTATGCGACCCAGCACCACACAACGCTCACACCTAAGAACCCAGCAAGACTTCAGTCACCAGCAGCTCACCCCTCTCCTCACCACCAATAACCATCATACAAGATCTGGAGGAAGAAACACCAACAGCCACAGCCACCCAACATGATTGACATGTGAGCCCGATGACAGACCCAATTGACTTCAAGACCAAACTCACAATGGCCACACAATACCTTTGTCAAGGAAGCAGCAGCACCCAAGAACCCAATTCATCCATAGACGCCGAAAAGACAGACAAGCCGCCTGAAGAGCAACTCGCAATTGCGACCAACAACATCCAGTCCGACCTCAACACACACAACCTTGCTGTCAGAGGTCACGCACCTGAAACCCGAAATCTGTAGTAAAAGGCAATTACAATTAATCTCCACAAGATCTGTAGTAAGGGCCTCTTAATATTGTTCCTGCTCAAACCTGTCATAGAAGCCTTCTATGACTGTTCTTGCTTGAATATGTTGTAACTTGAAGGTTATTGCAGGTTTCGACTGACCGCTGGGGACACTCTGTCCGGAGGTAGCTTGGCACAAAACACAAGGCTCAGCTGGTAGCTCAAGGCTTTACGCAAGTGCAAGGCATCAACTATCACAATATGCACTCGCCTATGGTAAGCATGACATGCCTCCAGCTTGTCATCTGTTATGGTCTAAAATTCAACTTCTGCATCCAGCAAATCAACTTTGTCACAGCATACCTTAATGGAGAGCTCACAGATGTCAACATATACTTGGTGCTGCCACCTGGCTTTGAAGACCAATACACACAGACACCACAATCAGTCTGCCACCTCAAGAAGGCACTCTACAGACTCAAGCAATCTGGCTTGGAGTGGTTTGTGAAGCTGGACAAGAGCCTCCATCAGATGGGTTTCAAGCAACTTGGATGGAACATAGCTGTATATAAGATGGAGTCAGATGTGACTGCTGTCTATGTTGACAATATCATCATTGTAGGCCAGGACAGTGAGGTAGACGCCATCATCGATTTGATCCAATCATGCTTCAAGATCACTGGAGGAGACAATGCACAATAGTGTCTTGGTGTCCACAGTCAACAAGGCAATGGCTCAGTTTCACTCACACAAGACATGTACATCAATGGGATACTTGCTCAATTCAGCATGGACCATGCCGCAGAAGTCAATGTACTGCTGGAACCCTCTGCAACAAACTTGCCACTTACTGACCCAAGCCACCATCCTCTCACCAGGGACCAAGTGGCCACTTACCAACAGATCATTGGGTCGATCTTGTACCTCATGACCTCGACCCAACCAGATCTCGCATTTCTGGTCAGCAAGCTTGTGAGTCACCTCATGTTGCCAACAACAGTTCACCTCAACCAGGCTCGTCACCTGCTACGCTACATACTACACACCCAATCACATACACTAATGTATTCATGTAACGAGTCTAGTGTCCCCACTGTATACTCCGACGCTGACCACGCTGGCAGGTGGAAGGAGAACCCTGTCAGTGGTTGCGCACCTGGAACCCGAAATTTATTGTAAAGGCCAACTAGAATCAACATTGGTGAAATCCATTATAAAGGCCTTCTATGATATTTCTTGCTGGAATCTATTGTAGAAGCCCCTTAGGATCTTTCTTGCCAGAATAGGTTGTAACTATGGTTTAGAATGGAATTCGACTAACTGCTGTGGACACTCCACCCAGTGGTAGCATGGCACAATCAAGGTCCTAGCAAACCTACTTGAACCACACCAGGGTGTGACAACAGCATCTGTCTTGACACAAGTGTCTGTAGTGTTGACAGCCACATGGTTGGGCTGATTGGTTGAGAACCAGACCACAGTGGACAACTGCCTTCGGTATGAGGTCGACAGATCCGGACCGCAGTATGAGACCGCCTTCGGTATCAATCAATATCCAGACCGCAGTAAGGTACTTATCATGGGGCCAGAAGCATGCACAGGAAGGACTGGTTTCATATGAAGGAACCATGCACCAACAATCATGAATTAGGCCAAATGAGAGTTCTGACAGGGTTCAGTGAGATCAGTAGGACCCAGGGCTCTATGACAGAACTCGCCAGGATTGGCAGAAGCAGAGCCTTACTACAGAGTTTGTCAAGATCAGTACAGATTCATGGAGACTGGTTCGAGGATGCATCTATCACCAATCTCACAGCAGGTGGGCAGCAGATAAGGAAGGGGCTCAACATCCGATGAAGTAGGGACCCTATATGACAATGAAGGCGGCACAAGAAGGTGGGCACTATTGTCAGGAGAATGTGGTGAAAGGAGGGGTGCCTTCCACTTGGATAAAGTGGGGGTGACCCCTATCAGCAATGAGGTGGTGCTGGCTCCCCATGACTCAGGAGCAGGAGAAGCAAGGCTGGACAAGGAGGAGGCACCTCGGTAGAGACCTCTGATACAGTACTCGACAAAGAGGGTACTCTCTGGAGAGAGAGTTGGAGCAGAGTCACAGGCAACACTGCAAAGATGTTATATATAGTCATACCTCCTTGTCATAGTAGTTGAGTGGAACTCCATCCACTCTACACACTTTACATTACTAGCTATCACTTTACAACAAGTATACTTAGTATTCTGTCAACAAGTTGCAATCACAGAGCATTGCTTCTATTGCAGTGTGTGTGTTGTATCACTGCTCATTGACATCATCTGAAGGCAGTATTCACTGTGGTCTGGATAATGATCAATACCAAAGGTGGTTCACACTGCAGTCCAGCTCTCTCAATCATAGAACTGAAGGCAGTCATCCACTGCAGTCCAGGGATCATCAACACTCAGTTGACACACTGGACACTCATGTCAGCACAAGCATATTCACACCAGACCTTGGTGTCATCACACAGTATCTATTGGTTACTGATTGTGCCGAGCTACCTCTGGATGGAGTGACCACAGCAGTTAGTCGAAACCTGCAATAACTTCCAAGTTACCACATATTCGAGTGAGAAAAGTCATAGAAGGCTTCTACAACAGATTTCAGCAAGAATAAGAACAAAGGCCTTTTACCACAGATCTCAATAGGATCAGTAGTAGTTGTACTCTTACTACAGATTTCGGGTTTCAGGCACGCAACCTCTGACAGTACTGCCTACAGATGACATCAAGTAGCGGTGATACGACACACACGCTATGATAGAAGCAATGACCTGCAATTGCAACTGTTGATGGAACAACTAAGTATTTGATAAGATAAGAAATAGCTAGTTGTCATGGGGCCTGATGCGCAGGAAGCAAGAAGACCCAAATTCATATGAAGGAGAGCACAGGAATTGCAGAATTGGGCTAAATGAGAGTTTACAGCAGAGTCCACTGAGATCTGTAGTAGAAACAGATCTACAACAGATCCCAACCAATTCAGTACAAATGGGAGGTTATGGCAAAACCTGCTGGAATCTGTAGTATTGTGATTGTATGACAGATCCCACAAGGGGGGGCACTGATCTCATGAGTCTCACCATGAGACAGACATCAACACCATGGATGGGTGGCAAAGACATCTGGGTCTGTCATCAATGAAGCAGGGGAGCTGCTCGGGAATGAACCCCAAGTGGGTAGATGGGAGGAATGAGAGAGGGTGTGAACTGTGGCTCAGATGAGGTGGGAATGGCCCCTGACAATGATGAAACAATGTGAGGACTGTCCATCCACTGGCAGCAAGAGACATGGTGCTGATGAGCAGCATTGCAGGATGGATAGGAGAGACAGGGAAGAGGAAGAGCAGTGTTGGAGAGGCATGCCAGAGTGAAGGCAGTGTTGCAGGTGACATTGTGAGGATGGTATATAACCTCACTCCTCATTGTGGCTGTTGAGTGGATCCCCATCCACTCTACACCATACACTACTAGTTATAGCTTTCACATAAAGTATACATTAGTATTTAGTCAAGCAGTAGCAATTGTAAGACATTGCTCCTATCATAGCATGTGTATTGTATCACTGCTCATTGACATTGATTGACATCTGAAGGTGGTTCATCCAGCAGTCCGGCTCTCTCAACCATCAGAACCAAAGGCAGTCATCCACTGCAGTCCGGGGATCACCTCAAGCACTCAGTTGACACACTGGACACTTGTGTTGGTGCCACCAACAAGCACACTCACACCAGACCTTGGTGTCAGTACAAAGTTCCTATCATTATTGATTGTGCCAAGCTACCTCTGGATGGAGTGTCCACAGCAGTTAGTCAAGACCTGCAGTATCAATCACCTTATCACATCTTCAGATGAGAAAAGTCATAGAGGCCTTCTAAGACAGATCTTGACAGGAACAAAAATAGAAAGCACTCTATCACATATTTTGACAGGATCTGTAATAGACATGTTTCTATTACAGGTTCCAGGTCTCAGGCACGGGACCGCTGACACTAGTTAAGTGTAGAGTGGATGAGGATCCACTTGACTACTATGACAAAGAGAATGCATGGTTATATGGACATTCTCGCAGTGTTGCCTACAACACTGCTCTTGCTCTACCCAGGAGGCATAGGGTCTCCTTCAGCACTGCCCTTCCTCCTCTCATCTCACCTATGGCCCTTGTCTCTCTTAGGGTGTATACTCTTTGTTAACACTGCTTCTCCTGCTCCTTGGGGTCAAGGAGACCCAGTGTCGCTTCATTGTTGATAGGGGTTGCTCCCACCTCCTCCAAGTTGCAGGATGCACCCTCATTGATCTGCTCCAGCTGACAGTGTCCATCCCCTTATGCCAAGTTCATTGTCATGTAGGGCCCTTCCTTCATCTGGGTGGTGGCTCTAACTTCCCATGCCCCATTGTCCTTCTATCTCTAGGGGTCATCTGGCCCCCACTCCTTGTTTGTCTTCTCCTGGGTGGTGTATTTTGCAAGATCAGTGTGATTAGCCCCCTTGACTTGGTTTTGTCAAGATCTGTCATACAGCTCTTGTTCTGCTGATCCTGATGAGTTCAATTGTAAGGTCTATCTTCTGCCAATCTTGACAAACTCTGTTGAAACCCACTTATTTGCCCAATCCCACAATTTGTGTGCATGGCACTTCTTCCTTCTGCGCACCTTGTCCTATGACAACGCTATGACTGCTATTGGCACATACTCTGATGGCCTGTCAGTTGTCAAGGACAGCAGCAGCTGTCATCAGGGCAGTATCTGCAAGCAGTGGTGGCCTGAATACAACATACAGATGCAGGAACACCTGCTGGCTTTGCTGGATCTCAATCCTAGTGAGAACATATGGTATGTATTCAAAACTTGCTTAATAAGCCCTTGCCAGTACCAAAAACCTGGGATGAGCTTGCAAGAGCTGCAGAGGAAGTGTGGAACACCCAGATCATGCTCAAACATATCAACCCTGTGATCAAGTCAATGGAGCATCATGTGGAGCAGGTGCTTACTAAGCATGGAGGTCCACTCAAGTATTAGTTGGCTCTGAGACTCATTGCAATTGAAAGCTGTTCTTTTGGGCTTGCTCACTGTGTGTTTTGCTCAGCCTGACACTTATGAGAGATCAGTCCTCCAAGCAGATGGAAGGTATGCTACCAGACAAGTTGAATCATTGTCTATTGGACCCTGTCCCCAAACTTCGGGAAGGGACTGTACACTTCTTTACCGCCCAATCAAATAGATCTACAGCAATTGGTACCAGTCGATCACCATGCTCAGCAAAGTACTCGGTGTGCAACTAGTTGGAGAAACTACACATGATGATTGAGCTGAGCATAGAGTCAGCATCCTCAAAAGTTGTTGTCTTTCAGCCGAGAACGTTCTGTGCAAAAGGAATAACGGACAGCATTGCGAGCATCTTGCATTGCCAAGCGTGCACAGAGACCGACTTTGGATCAAGGAGGTATCGTTTGTCCCATTTCATTTTGTCATTCAGGCCAGAAAGTACTTTTAGGTGATGATTTGTGAGTGCGCTAAGCTCAGGGGTACATTCTTTTCGTATGTCAATATAGTATAGTGTTTTGCTCTTTAGCTCGAACATCGTACTTAGACTGATATCTCCCAATCGTACGTCGCCAAGTGTCACACTTAGTTTAACATGCACCGCGACTGCAACAAATAAAGCGGTATCTTGGTTCGCTTAATGATGCAGTTTGCGAAATAAGTTAGACAAGTAAATTCATGACACTGTATGTTGAAAGTATAATGGGACACGGATGTCGAAACTCAGTGGTCGACGACGGTCAGAGCACAGTGTTCACGCTATTGAGCAGAAACACTATACTATATTGACCTAAGGAAAGAACATAGTGGTAGCCTCGAGCTCCCTGCTGGATATATATACAAAGGTACGGCACATACCCAAGGGTGGGTGTATCCTACATAATGACAAGGTATAGCAACGAGTGGGACATAGTTGTACCCAATCCCTCTCTTGTATCGGTCTTACCCAATCCCCAATTGAATCTGCTCTGCCCGATCTCCCATCAGACCGGATCTATGTCATCCTTGAGATCGGACTGGTTCGTAATCCCCAACAGATTCCCTATCAAATCGGATCTATGTCATACTTTAGTATCTTACTGGATCGTAATCTTCAGCAACCCCTCTCGATCCATTATGCTCCACCGATATAGTCAAGTCAAGCGGTGGTTAGAGGTGTGGGAGTGACCAGTGATGACGAGACCATAACCTGCTGCAGCAATCGGATCAAATGTGAACTCTCTTGCGGTCGGAGTGGGAGCGACACCGAGCTTGCTGGTTGTGGTCAGCATTTGCGCTACATCGGAAGCTTCGTCTGTTGTTGAGTCCTGCATGGCATTTCCCCTCACGGACATTGCAACATCCCGCTCCTCTTCCAAGTCTATTGGACCCTCGATCATGAGGTCGAGGATTTGTGTAGTGTCGCTGTCTTTGTTTGCGATGAAGAAGTTTACGTGTGCTTTCATTTGCCTTCCGAGATCGAGACGGTTGCGGAAGGGACCGAGTTCGTGCATCGCATAGTAGAGCATACCAACACACTCGATCACGATGGAGAGGGGTGTGATGATCTGGTTCTTGTCACTATTGACGACAAATTGGCCGCCTTTCGGAACATTCGGGGTACCATAGGTCTTGTTGTTGATTAATCTACGAAAACGACCTTGTACCATGTCTGGAAAACGAGGGATGAGGTCCTCGATTGTCTCGACAAGTATTCGTATAATGAGTAGTCAGGGTTTGATATGTTGATAGTGTATCGACTAGTTGGGCTCATAACCTGATAAAAGATTAAAGAAGGACAGGTGTCGACACTTAGCGGTCGACGTCAATCAGAGCAAAGTGGTGGCACATGCCGAGTGTGGGTGTTATCCTACTTAATGATGAAGTGTGACAACGAGCGTGACTAAGTCCTCCTTGTGTCGCAGTCATAAATCTCAAGGAAGAATGTTGTGATTTTCGCTACCACTGGTCTTAAATTCACGAAATTTAGCCGTCACAGGATTTTTTTTGGCGCACCAAAATCAACCCCATTTGGCCTAGGTGAGCTACACATAGAATCACCAAGATGAGTTATAATGTCATTAGAGTTCGGCTTTGCACTGGTGTGTCGGCATTGCCATATTTTAGAAAATCCAACAATTTGGCTTGTCATTAAACTGGCCCAATTCTGGTGGATATTCGCATTGTTTCCACGGTTTTTTCGGGAAGAAGTGTTCATATTGCCGGCTTGCCGACTGTGTGTCGTTTTTACCCAGTTTGGAAGGAAGTACACATGTAAAACCTCATTTTCGTCATAACAACTTCTAGAAGTGAAGTCGAGAAATTGTCGGCTTCAAGAAATCACAGAGCTTCCATCCTTGGATGAAAGATCTGCTGAAGGTAACGATGCTGAAGGTAACGATCCATTATGATGATGTAAGTTGTCGTAAGCCGATACTGCTGAAGATCACGATCCAGTCCGATGCTAAAGGATGACATAGATCTGATCTGGTAGGAGATTGGGCAGAGCGAATCTGATCAGGAATTAGGCAAGGCAGAAACAAGAGAGGGATCGGGTACAACTGTGTCCCACTCATTGTTGTACTTCGTCATTAGGTAGGATGCACCCATTCCTGGGTATGTGCCGTATCTTTGTATATATATCTAGTGGGGAGCTCGAGGCTCCCGCCACATTCTTTTCTTAGGTCAATATAGTATAGTGTTTTTGCTCAATAGCTTGAACACTGTGCTTATACCATCGTTGACCACTCGTATTCGTCTATTATTTCTATCAGATACGGAAGAGATCGGGCAAAGCCGATCAGATCAGAGATTGAGTACCGTTCCGCGAAAAAAAAAAAAAAAAGTTTTGTCGCGGTTGCTTATCAACGAAAATGTCAACAATGGCAGCGCGATTGAACCTCAAAATTATTATTCAACGTAGCTCCTGCGGTTGGAAATTGAGAAAAGATATGACACTTAGCGACGCTTATCGGCGATATGAGTCAAAGCACAGTATTTCAGCCAATATTGCACCTATTGAGCAGAAACACTATGTCACAGGGTCTGCGCAGAAGACCCTGCGCAGGAAACCCCGAATAAACATTAGGCGCGTTGTGCGCACAGACTTGATGAAAAGAGTATGACACTTCGCGACAAGGAAGATCAGGAGATATCAGTCTGTGTACAGTGTTCAAGCTTTTGAGCTAAAACACTATACTATATTGACATGGTAGGAGAACATGGTGAGAGCCTCAAGCTCTCTGCCAGGCATATATACAAAAGTTGACATGTCCCATATGTGGGAACATCACCCTCAACAACAGAGTGTAACAACAAGTGGGATCCAATAGCATTCAATCTCTTCTCCCAGGCTGTGTCAGCCCAATCCCCAATTAGCTTGGATCTACCCAATCCCAATTGGAATCATTACATCTGGTCTCTTGGAGTTGTGCTGGGTTGCCATCTTCAGCACCTGCTCTTGATCCAGAATACTCTTTTGGTGTCATCAAACCAAATAGTTGTCAAAGATGCACAAGCATTGGCACTGTGAGTGGCTTTGTCAAGATATCAACAAGGTTCTCACTGCTTTGTATTGGGGCAATTGTGAGGCAACCATCAGCTACTTTGTCTTGCAGGAAGAAGTGTGCAATGTCAATATGCTTTGTCCTCTTGAAGTGCTGTGGGTCATTGGTGATTGTGCATGCACCTGAAGAATTGCTATACAGTTTTGGGATAGTTGGGTTGAGAACAAGATCGCTGTCATATGAATGCAGTGCTGTAGTCCCTTCTGTGACATGGATTGCTGACATCTTTGGTAGCAGCTGAACAAGCTCCGTGAGGAGGATGTATGGCTGGATGACCATCCCTTTAGAGTAGCAGTCCTCTAGGAGCTTCCAAATTTGGTGGGCAGATCTCTCCTCATCATCATTGATGCTGGCTGCAACATTGGGAGCAACAGTGTCAAGGATAGCAGTCACAGCTTTCCTGGAGGCGGTCAGGTGGAGGTGTCAAAGTTTCTCGTCCTCGATCGACGAGATGGGCACCAGTTGAAGATGTGTCAACATCTCAAGCAATATGCACGCATCACAGCCGAGACACCGAAGTGCAGGGAGCCCACATAAGCGAGGAACACAATGAAGTAAGGGGTAGTCGTCATGGCGACAGTCCAGTGGCACCCGGTATCATAGCAACGCAGGGGTACGGATGAAGTGACACGTCTTGTTTCAGATATCACTAGAGCGGCGAATGGAGTATATATATGTGTTTGTCATTTAGGTTCACTCTATGAAAACCAAGCATTTCAAGAAGTAACATGGTGTCAGGGGTCTCGCGCCTGAAACCCAGGTTGGTCTGTTGAGATACTTGGTGACTATCAAACTGTGCAACAGCTATTGTCTCAGTATCGGTCTTGACGAGCTAGTTGCTTGGCGACTATCAAGTTGCACGATGGGTGGCATTTGTAGTATATACTATCATAGGTTTCGGCTGACCTCTGTGGACACTCCGTTCAGGGGTAGCTCAGCACAATCAATATCAATACATAGGTTATGTTGACACCAAGGTCTGGTGTGATTGTTGGTGATGATGAGGTTGATGGTGTTGGTGATAAGGTTGGTGAGTGTTGATGATAATGAGGTTGATGGTGTTGGTGGTAGGGTTGGTGGTGTCAACATGAGTGTCCAGTGTGTTGACTGATGCTTGAGGTGATCCCTGGACTGCAGTGGACTACTGCCTTCAGTTCTATCTTAATCCAGACTGCTGACCTGCTATGGGGCACCTACAGATGTCAGGTAGTGGTGATACAACACATGCACTACAATGAGGAGCAACCTTGATGGATTGCTGCTATGCTGACTGAAACTAATATATACTTAAGCTGAAGTGATAACTAGTTATGATGTGTGTGTAGAGTGGATGAGGATCCACTCAACCTTTGATGATGAGAAAGCATGGTTATATACCTCTTCACAGCATCACCAGTGACGCTGCTCCTGCTCTCTCTCCAGAGAGTACCTTCTTCATTGAGTACTGTACAGGGGGCCTCTCCTGCTTGCTTGGCACCCCTGTGCCTCTTGAACTGTGTCAACTCCTTCGACACTGCTCCTCCTCCTTGCTATCCTGCTTGTTTGGCACCCCTGTGCCTCCTGAGTGGTGTTGACTCCTTTGACACTGCTCCTCCTCCTCAGGACCTGCTTGCCAGTTCCCTATACACTGCTCCTTCTCCTTTGACTGGTGATGGTTCCTTTGACTCTTGACTCTCAAGCCCCTGAGTGGTAACCATCTGCATGCTCCTTGAGCTTGGTCCTCTTTGTGGCTGTGCCTGCTCCTTGAGCTTGGTCCTCCTTGTGGCTGTGCCTGGCCCTCCTTGCATATGGCTCAGTGCTCCTTTGCATGTGAGTCCATAGGAGTCCATGGCCTCCATGGAGACTGCACTATGACCATGCTCTCTACTGGTATCAACTAGATCTCCAATACCTGTGCTCCTTCCATATGAACCAGTGACCCTCCTGCTTCCTGAGCATTCAGGCCCATGACACTACCCCCCTCTTAAGAGCCGAGCTCCGTCGAGGCATGCTCTGGTCTGGTTCATGCTGACTCCTCCTCCTCCTCGACAACATCGCCATCATCACCCTTCCTCCTTCTCTCAATGTCATTCTCCTTCCTCCTCCTCTCTCTACTCCTCCTGTTCTCTCCTCCTCTCTCTACTTTGTCTACTCACTCGTCCCCCCTCCGACACCTCATACTCCTGGATGAGGTCAGGGCAGTTGAGGTTCTCTACTGGTTCCCATGAAGCAGCTTCTTCTGAGTACCCTCTCCACAACACTTTGTACTCTGTAGTCCCATTGTGTGAATGCTTGTTGATGAGTGCTTCAACTTCAAAATCGAGGTCCTCATCTGGAAGTGATGGTATGGTGGGCTGTTCAGCTCGTTGAGGAAGAGAACTTGTTCTTGCTGGTTTGAGCATGGAGACATGGAACACATCATGCACCCTAAGGTTTGCTGGCAATGTGATCTGATAAGCTCAGCATCCTACTTGTTCCTGAACTGGGTAGGGTCCTGCAAACCGAGTATCTAACTTGGGTGTGGGTCTCCTTGTCTTCCAGTTTCGACAGTTGATATAGACCATATCACCCACCTTGAACTTGATGTCCTTGTGCTTCCTGTTATACTGGTCTACTGATCTATGTTGTGCCTCTCTGATCTGCTCCTGGAGGTACTTGCAATGTGTCATGGGCCTGGATGCTCAAGAAGCAGGAGGGTCACTGGTTCATATGGAAGGAGCACAGGTATCGAAGATCTAGTCAATACCAGTAGAGAGCATGGTCGTAGTGCAGTCTCCATGGAGACCATGGACTCCTATGGACTCACATGCAAAGGAGCACTGAGCCATATGCAAGGAGGGCCAAGCACAGCCACGAGGAGGACCAAGCTCAAGGAGCAGGCACAGCCACAAAGAGGACCAAGCTCAAGGAGCATGCAGATGGTTACCACTCAGGGGCTCGAGAGACAAGAGCCAAAGGAACTGTCACTGATCAAAGGAGAAGGAGCAGTGTCGAAGGAGTCGACACCAGGTCATGAGGAGGAGGAGCAGTGTCAAAGGAGTCGACACCATTCAGGAGGCACAGGGGCGCCAAACAAGCAGCAAGATAGCAAGGAGGAGGAGCAGTGTCGAAGGAGTCGACACCAC